CAATCCGAGACATCATACGTTGCTTTGTTTTAAAAATAATAATTCCGCACCTACGCAAGTATCTCAGGATACGAAAAACGCACAGACATCTTCTACGCACGGTCGCCAATTACCACCATCTTCTTCGTCGCAATTGCCTCCGCTTGCGCACACACAACCCACACAACAGACACGATTAGAACCAACTCCCGTTCCTATTGGAACCACCACTGGTGGAGACAAGGAGTCGTTATGCACGCTTTCATCGTCCATTCATGAGCAGCCGTATGTGACTGAAGTACTTGCTACTCGCTGCTTATTGGACCCCGGGTCACAAAAGCATTATATTACTTCTAAGTGTTGTTTAAAATTGGGTTTAACCATGCAGCCGGACGCACATACCACCGTTAAGGGTATAGGTGGCGCCACTGAACCAGTTAAGGGTGCAGTTGATCTCTCTTTCCGATCGAGATTTAATCATGAGCAATATTATAATATTCGCGCTTTAGTTTTGAATAAAATAACAGGTAACTTACCAACATGTCAAATTGATGTTGGCGCGCTCAGTTACTTAACTAATATTCCGCTCGCAGATGATACGTGGGGAACACCATCAGAAATTGACCTTTTGATTGGTGTCAATCTATTCGCGACCCTTTTGTCTGGAGGTAAAATTATAAATTCACCTGGTACTCCAAACGCGTTGGAGACTGTTCTCGGTTATCTTATTTTAGGTGAAGCTCCCACCTTAACTTCTACGTCTTCTTCATTCTCGTTCTGTTCCACCACTTCGTGCGAGGTTTCAGTAAATTCGCAAATTTTGGGAGATTGAAGAAGTAGATCGCAAACCAATAACAAGTATAGACGATAAATACTGTGAAGATTTTTATACCACAACGACCACTCGTAACGAATCAGGTCACTACGAAGTCGCTTTACCATTTAAGTATAGTTCTAAGTCTTTAAGGGAACTCTTTCGATATCGCTAAACGCAGATTTTATCATTTGGAACGTAAATTCGCATCGCAACCGCAACTGAAATACCTTTATGATGAGGTAATTCACGAATATATAGAAAAACAATATATTTCTCCCGTAGACGTAATTGAAAATAACAGCCCTAGTTATTTTATACCGCATCACGCAGTCTTACGTGAGGACAAAGTGTCCACGAAAATAAGGCCGGTACTAGACGCAAGCGCGACTAAAAATACTGGATTTTCGAATGATATTCTACATACAGGTCCTTCCTTACAACAGGATTTATTTATTATTCTCTTGAATATGAGATTGTTCGCAATCTCAGCTGATGTGCGACAAATGTATTTACGAATAAAAGTTCGCCCGCAAGATCGTTGTTTTCAACGTATTGTATATAGATTTAGTCTTAATAAACCGCTCCAAGTCTTTGAATTTAATAAAGTTGCATTTGGCTTACGTTGCAGCCCGTACTTAGCGTTACGTACTGTAGCTCAGTTAGCTTCCGATGAAGGAAATAAAAACCCTATCGCACTGGTTACCATTGAAGATTCTATGGAACCTTATTTATATTCGCTCGCTCGCAAATTTTCGTCATGGATGAAATTACTTCGTGTAATTTGTTATATTTATAAGTTCGCTAATATTCTTCCACGCGGCGTCATATCCAGATTTGGATTTCGCCGAACGTATAATTATTCGCGCTGTGCAGGGGTTTCATTTTAAAAACGATATTAGCAAGTTAAATAATAAAAAACCTTGTACCGCATCAATAATTAAATTAAATCCATTTTTATCAGACAATCTCTTAAGAGTTGGTGGTCGTCTGACTCATTCTGATGAAGATTTCGATTATAAACACCCTATATTACTTCCGGGCAGAGATCATATAGTTCGATTAATTGTAACACACTTTCATCGTAAAAACCTGCATACAGGCCCAGAATTGTTAATGTCAATACTACGTACTAAATATTGGATTCTCGCAGCTCGACGTATGATTCGCACGATCGTAGCTAATTGTAATATTTGTTTCCGCAATAAACCGCGTCCTACATTCCCACCGATGGGTGATCTGCCTGCACTAAGGGTGAAGGAAGTTCCTAAAGCCGTTGTCCATTGTGGCTGTGATTTCGCAGGTCCGTTTTTTGTAACCCCTTATCGCGGTCGTGGTATAACCACTCGCAAAGCATACGTTTGCTTATTCACGTGCTTAACCACTCGGGCTGTTCATATTGAAAAAATATACAGTTTGTTTTCTCGATTAAAACGTTTTCTCGCTCGCCGCGGTCCTATTCAATGCATGTATACGGATCATGGTACTAATTTTATAGGGGCACGATCCTACCTACGTGAACTTTATTTGTTTTTATCGCAAGAATGTAGATCTGTTTGGGATAAGGAATTAGCTAACAATGGAATTAAGTGGACCCTTATCCCTCCTAACGCACCGCATATGTCCATTGCCTTTGCAATAATATGTATTCTATAAGATAGGTAGTACGCATTTATAATAGGTTAATAAGTTAAGTTAAAATCCTTTGCATTTTTCTTATTTAGTAAATTCCGCATTTGATATTTTTTGTATTTTTTCTTTCTTGTTTTTTGTATTTGTCGCATTCGCAATAAGGTTCAATTATGTAGTTCCTTTATTTTTTGTTAATTTTACTTTGACATTATGTCAAGGCGGGGGGCATGGTTACGCCAAACGCGATGCGTACCTGGTTTGTCTTGTGCATTGACACCCCTCCCGGCTAATTCAATAATCAGTGATGTCATAGCTTTCGCCGCGCGCGCACGTCGCACTCATATCGCACGCATGTCTTAATAGTTGTAATCAACCTGAGTGAATTCCTGAGATTCCCGTAACCGTGTGGGCCCACTGAAGAACAAGCACATTGAAGTAGGGTAAGTCATTCATATACGACCAGCCAGTTTCCTATACAATAATATAGTCCATCGAAGAAGGCTAGATCATAGCCACCGCCGCACCAAGTGGTAAGGTCACAATAATATGTAATTTCAAATTTAAAACTATATAAAAACCATCAAAATTAATACAACATTAAATACTTATTACAAAATTGTGCAAAAACAGACTGGTCGTAGCTACCAATTGAACGTCATCGTCTGCACGGGTCGTCGGGTCAGAAGTTGATAATGTGAGTCAACTCTTAGAAACGAATCGTGATTGAGCTTTGGTTACGTACGATGCAAGTAAATTACTCTTTAGTAGAGAAAAAAGTTTGTATAAAAAGAAACACATTAAGACGTCACAAATGATCTGTATGTGTTGTCTTTCTGTCTGTATGTATTTTCTTTTCCGTTTTGAAACTACGTGTCAAAGTCGGTAATAAAATTTTATTTCTAAACGTGTTCTCTGTAACCTTATGTTGTATTTTTTTTGGTGTCTTAAAACACAATTCGATACCTCATGCTAATTACATCGAAAGAGTATTACTTTTACAATATAATAGTGAAATCGTTACTTTTATTGCTAGCTATACAGTTTACACGGAGGTGGACCTTTATTACATATTTTGTATGACGTTTTTTAGAACAATTAAGTGTTGCCATAAAATTATTTAGTTACTTTTAATAATGCCACTGCTAATAAAATATTATTATACATGGAGTTGGACATTTACTTCATATTTCATATGAGAGTTTTTTATAAAATATAATCCACTGACAAACGACAAAAATAATGAAATTTTATCGTTGTTTAAATTAACTTATCTATCTAAAATCATATCTAAACTAATATAATATTATATTAAACAGAGGAAATTTTATTGTTTATTTGTGAATAAACTTAAGAATACTTAACCAGTTTTTAAAAATAATCTATTAAAATTATTTTCCCAGCTGTTTTATTTTAAAGTAAAATTATAATAGTATTATTAATATTATTAAATTGTAATAGATTGACCTCCACGTCGTTCCGTTATCATCCTCCACTAGTTCACTCCTTGCCAGCGTAAACCGTTAGCGCAGGCGGGTGCACCATTCCATTATCATCCATATGAAAAAAATATATTCGATCAAATATCCTAAATTTATTGGCAATAAAGCTTAAATTACATGATTAAAAAATGACTTGAATATTGCGACCACCTGTAGTCTCACATTGCTCTCTGATCTCGTTGAAATCAAATATCAATGCCGTACGCGTAGACAAACGTCTTTGATATCTATTCATTTCATTTGTAAATCGTATTGGAATCCTCAAATTAATTCTCCTTCAAAAGGTAAATGGCACGTCTGTTGGTAGTAAATAAATTCTCTCTTTAGGTGTTGTGAAGTTCTTTTGTTAAATCACTAGGTATTATTTTAAGATAAGATTTAGAGAGAGCGATCTTAATTATATAATACGTTCTTGCAATAGGTAGGTAGGTATCCATAATATATTAATACGTGGAGCAAAAACTTTGTACTCCTTTTACGAAACTTGCGCTAACGGTGGAGTATAAAAATACGCACAGTTACATATAGTTTATAACAAAGAAGTGCAGAATGTTTTTTTTAAGTTATGCATAAAAATTAAGCATTCAATGCAATAATTAATAAAAAAAATAAAAAACATATAATTTATAATTTATGAATTTCAACCATTGCCCCACCACTAGTTACTCTAAACATTATGTATTCTTCGAATTTTTCAACAACTACTTAATATCAGTTGACCAATGTCAACGATAACAAATGTTTGTTTACATCTTCAGTAACAGATCACAAAAAGCAATTCATTCAATTTATATATACCCTTTTTTGTTGACAGTAAATATTGTGTTAATGTTTCTTTTGATTTGTACATAAACAATAAATTTACACAATATATAATATGTACATAATTTATTGATCAAAAATATATTTATATGCGAAATTTTATGTTCAATATAACAGCCCCTTAATTTGGACTTTTTAATGAGAGAAAAATCGCACTTCGGTTTTTTTCTGTTTATACTACGCGATAGCTGTGCTAAGTTTTTATTAGTTATATGTATAAGAGATAAATTATTATATGTTTGTTATTGTTACAGGTTATTACTGTTAAAGAAGAAACAACATACAAACAAAATGCAGCGGCAATAAGCTGCCAGATAGGTGAGAATCGCAATTAAATTTACTATTGTTACCGCCAAAATGTCCATAATGGAATCTCTCCCGTCATCTATCGTAAGCTTTTTGATGTATGCAAACGTTTAAAGTCAGAAACCAACGCCACTGCGCGCGTCACCAACCACGTACATAAAAAAATATACGTAGTTTAGTAGAACGACGATAGATGGCGTCAGTCGACACCTGGCTGTCATGTCATACACGAAGTGTCATGGCTGGCTGGTCGTCTGTCAGTGTCAAACTCGTTGTTGTATACAAAACCGAGCCAAGCTAATTTATTATTTACTTCCAAGAAAGTTTTCAATTTAATGTCTCCCGTCCTCACACACTTTGACCGTTTACACTGCGGTGATAAGTAAGATCATTAGATTTTGTATTGTGTTTCTTTCATTAATGTTCTATAAATACGGTCCTTCCGGGTTCCGGCGTAGGTTTTCGGCATAAATAGCGTTTATTGCCATCAATACGATCTCGCTATGGTGTATTCTTACAAACTGCTCGAGTTATCATGGTGTTTAAGTGTCAGTTCGTGTTGTTATGGTGGCTAGAGTTCGTCGTTGTTGAGATTTTTATGACTTATTTTTTGTTTACAACTTGTTTCCTGTGCTCAAAACTCAAACTAAAAAATATAGAATACAGCGTGGTGCTTCTCTAATGAATGAGTGACTATCTTCAAGTTGTAGTTTGTTTATGAAATAGTATCTAATATAATATGTCTATATATAACATAATGTTAATATTTATCAAAGACATCTTTCATAAAACTTTATAAGTATACCATCAAAGTTTACTTCAATAATTAATTTCAAAGTATCTTCAAAGTTCCATTTTTTTATTCATAATAGTTAATTTGTCTATAACACACACAATACTATTCTATTGTCTGTTATTATTTTTATTTATATAGAATGAACCATCTAAAATATTGCAACCATAATGCATGAGGGTTGAAGCATGTTCGATCGAACCCTTTTGTCCTCAGCATCCAATGTCCGTCTATGAATCTCTCATTCTGACTATTGCCTCAGCGTTGCGCAGTCGTTCCATTCTCAATATAATTTTTTCCTATAAAAAATATTAATAAGACCATATTAATATAATAAATAATTCTATTAACTGGTATAGTACCTCCATAGTGTATTGTTTGTGTGAACACAATGGACATGGTAAGGTCTTTATAATTTTTTGCCCCATTATGATTTTTTCTATTGCATACTCATTGAGCCATGAAGTTATGATTTGATGTGTTTTGACATGTTCTCATAAATATCTCCCAAGGGTAGTGTTATTATAATTTACTTTTTTCTTTAATATTAAGTAGTGTGGAGAGATTTAATGAAATATGATATGTTATTTCATCCACCTTTATAACATTGATTTTCCACGGTGAAGTGTATGGTATACATTTCTATAGATGTTTGTGCGAACATGGTGTTTTGAAGCCAGCACCGATCGATGATGGAGACTCTTGACTTGATATGCCGTCTCCATTTTTTGTATGCTGTCCCTCTCCAACTTATAGAAACCAAATATAGCCCCAGATATGATCCTTATTGTTTGCCGTATTGATTTTTTACGGTGGCTTGGTTTTCATGTTGCGTAACCATTTTGTAATATATGAACTCGGACGATTCATTTTTTTATTTCTTCTTTATACTGTGATTGTTACTCAGATCATTTGACTAGTAATGGTATATGGTATAGAAATAATTTTATAATTATGCTGTATTTTGTTATTTTGACATTATGAATGAACATTGAATTTTGTTTTTAAATTCTTCCTTGTTTTTTGTCAGGTGGTTTCTCGCCATGCAGCGCGCGGGTGGGAGAAGGGCCTGTGCGCCATGAGCCACACTCCTATAGGCGGCCACCCGCAAGGTAACCCATTTTAAGTATATTATTATTAACAGTATGTAGAGAATTCAAGCATTTTGTATATTTAAATTGGTTTTTTTATACATTTCAATTACAGTTACTGATTTTGATGCTGTACAAGAGTTATTTGACTATAATGTTTTAAAATAGATGAACAATAATAATAACCACTGTATAACTACAACTAGTTTTTAAACATAAGACTTCGATAGGTGAAACCACTCAATAAATTTCAATAATTGAGAATAATTCATATTCTATTTCTATCCTTTTTGTTATAATTAATATTTTGTCACTTTCTTTTCAATGACAAGTTTAACATAAAAGTAAAATTAAATAGGGGCTACTAATTCTACTATTGAAAATGATTTTTTTATAGAAAATATAATATCTATTTTTTATATTTAGTATATTGGGACTTGGAGAACAATCACAATTTTAAACTTTCGTGTTTAATGTGCATTATTTATATTGGTAATCGGTATTAACGAGAATAATTTTATGATAATTAAGATATTGACCTCTCTCGATGTTTCGATTAGTTTGTACTAGCCACAAGAGAGGTAAATACTATCGTTTACCATAAAATTATTGTGTTAAGACCAATTAATATTATGAATAATAAAAAAATATATATTTGTAGGTTGGGAGCACAAACTTGCTGACAGGTCGTCGCTGCCGCCTGCTTCAGGGGAGGAGAAGAGTAAATCTCAGTCCAAACATGTGTTCACACAACCTTACCCTTCCAAGTATGATTTGAAATTTTTATTTATTTATTTACATTTAGAATATCAAGTAATTTTACAAATGAAAATATATACACAGGCAAAAACTCCGGAAATTTATCAGTATAGTTTGAAGGGTGAACTGCGTGGAGTTCCACCTGACATTGCTAGCATGAGGTCAACAATGAGTTACTAACAATCGCCTTCTTCTCTAAAAATAAGTAGTAAAATATTGGACAAAAAGCACTTTTAATTAAAATATGTATAATATAAAGCATTACAGAGGCACAATATCGTATTTGTGTAAGTTAGACTATTTATTTTATGTATCAATGTTGATTGGTTGTGGTCAGGATGGGTATGGCGTGGCGCGAGCAGACGGAAGGCTCGTCCGGTAGTTCGGCGCGCTCGCCCGCCTCGCCGCCCTACATGCGCTGGGCCCGCAGTCTGCACGAGTTATTGGAGGTACAGTTTTGCAATCATTTCTACTTCTGTTTTCTGTTATTTTTAAACTTTCGTGTTTACTATACATTATATTGTTAGGAACATATTTTTGCTTATTTATTAAAGGTCAAACCAAGTCTAACTATACACATTGAATCAATATAAAAACACTCTAAGCCACTAACAGTGCTTGACAAGTAACAACAGATTAACCGTGTTAAATTCGACATTACTACATATAAAGACAGACACTTTATAAAATTAATAGAATAACGTATATTAATAACGAAAAAGAACTTGCCAACGAACCATGGAGAGAAGTGTGATAGGAAAGAGAAAAATAGAAAACATAAACCACCAAACTACTAGATAACTACAACACAGAATATAAATGTCAAAACTAGACAGCTATAATGACGTTGTGTTGTACACATATTATGAAAGGATAAATGGAGCAAGATCATAACTACCTTGGTACCCAAGATAAGGGACAAAGGAAATGAGGACGACCTAATAAAACATAGGAAGATGAAATATTTAAAACAGCAGGAAAAATATGAACCAGAATCACTCAATATAGAATAGAATGGAAGTTTTTATATTTTATTAAATTAGTTTGATATTTTGGAATCCACTACTTAATGGATTTTATATTATTTTGTTTAATTCGACTTTAATTAGCATGTGTACAAATATTCAATGCGGAAACCTGACTATCTTTCTGATCTTCTCTAATTATGATCAAATTTCTTCTCTGAACGAGGCATCCTCAGGTATTGATGAAGTTCGACTATGGTTTGGAAGCGTAGTGTTGACTGTTAGTCGCGGTTTAATCGCCGAACAAGCACACGGTTAATCAAATTAATATGTGTTGGCACACAGTACTCAATGGATTTATATTATACAGCAGACCTCTTTTTATATTTCCTATTTTGAACCATGTTTTTAGATACAATTTTAAACTTTTTTTTCTTTAGTTCTATAGTTGTGTCAACTATACTGCAAAGGATTGGTGAGTGAGTAATGCCAGTCGTATTATAGTGTTTAATAATTGTGTTTGTTTATTTGTCACAGGACGCGGAGGGCGTGCGGCTGTTCCGCAAGTACGTGGGCGGCGCGGGCGGACTGCACGTGGACCGCCTCAATTTCTACTTCGCGGTGCAGGGCCTGCGACAGGAGACCGACCCGGCCAAGATACGCCAGGTCGTCTCCGCTATATACAAGTTGGTCTTCATTCATTATAGCTATAAAAAGTTTTCGTTCGTTCGTTTTCGTGTTTAATATATATTATTTATATTATTAACCGGGTCTTAACACGAATAATTTTATAGGAAATAAAGGAACCTATCTCGACGTTTCGACTAGTACTCCGTACACTTCTTAACCGTACCTTTATTTTCGAAAAAAATATTTGTGTTAAGATCCGGTTAATAATATAATTAATATAATATAATATAAATAATCTATAAAAAGTCGTCGGAAATATGTAAAATATATTTTTTCAATACATTTCTGAGTTCAGCCAAACAAACAAACTCGTCAGCTTTATAATATTAGCCAATGCTTCCTTTCTGTGCCTTATACATTAGCTACTGGTGTTGTTTGTCCAGATTTCTCCGAAAGTCACAGCTAGCGATGCCTGAAGACCTGAAGCAACACGTGAAGCAGAGTCTCAAGGATGGCTCCAACATCGAGAGGAGCATATTCGACAATATGGAACAAGAGGTCAGCCTACATTTTATTATGATATATATATTGAACAATGATTTTTTTTTGTGGTAGCATGTAATTGGTTTTTATTTCATTTTATAATTTCTGTTTATTAATCTCTCTGTAAATTTATATGCGCAATATAATATTGTATTATTCTCACTATAAATATTATTTTTGCAAAGAATTTAAATTGAATCCATATGGTGGAAGATAGTAGACATACCTGATTTTAGAAATCGAGTGTGATTGGACGGATATTATTTTTGTCAGAGAAAATTTACAATTACATGCAGGAAAGGCGTTTGAGTGAATTATAGGCAGGAAAATGTTTTGTGAGTAGACGGGAGTGTAACGGTGGTGTTTGTGACAGGTGACGCGGTGTATAAAGGAGTCCACGTACCAGGCGTTCCTGCGGTCGGACGCGTACGTGTCGTATGTGAGCGCGGCCACGCAGCCGCTCTCGTCGCCGGACGCCTCGCCGCCCCATCCGCCGCTACTGAACCCGCTCAGAGACGTATGTTCACTCTACATTTTTCTATTTATACCACGATGGTGCACAAAATTGCATGTATTATATTTATTGGACTAAAGATTATTTCTACTTCTTTCTTTTGATACTTTTTTTATCTGAATGCAATTATATAAATATTAAATTTAAATTGATTTGTAAAGGCCATTTTTTTAATACTTCGCTTGTCTTGGCTAAAAACAATATATATACTACCATATGCTCTCGCCTTTGTATTTATTTAAAAGAGCAACGCGAAGGGTGTTAGAGCGTGTGAGAGTGGTAGAATCAAATAACTATTCTAAAGTGCTTATATTAAATTTATTGGAATAAAGATTATTATTAGGATCGGCACGATGGCACTCCAAACCTAAGAAAGACTTATGGAGCGGCCGAAAGCTAACTATCGCCTGATGGATATGACTTTAGGCCGAGGGCACCGCTAATAACCTCGGCTGAGGCCTTCGTAATTTCGATCCCCGTTTGATTCGAACGGGGTATCGATCGGAGGGGACCGGTGATTTAGGATTCGAGTATAGTTCTGGGTGTGCGTACAGGGCGCCGCAGGAGCTGGTACGGGCGGCGGCGGCGGCGGGGGCGGGGGCGGGGGGCTGCCCACGCTGCACGAGGGACAGGAGCTGTCCGGCGGGCCGCCCGCGCGGCTCACGCACGACGCGCTGCTCGCCACGCAGTCGCGCCGTCTGCACCACCACCATCCACCGTCAGTGTACACCTTTACCACCATACTCACACCACACTTGCTCACCTACGCAGAGTGCGAGCTCGACGTCTAGTGTACATTAGATAAACTTGAAACTGATGTCTATGATCGCCAGTCGAGAGAGCTAAAACATAACGGAAATATTTTGTGCTTCTTGTAATGGCTCGGATGAATACTTTAGTAGATACGGGTCTACGGCCCAAAATAGCCCAGTTGATGCAAAGTGCGAAAAGGTTTTGCTTTCATTGTAAAAAGTACCAATCCATAGAGCCCACAATTTTTTTTATTTAAGACATTTTTTACAAATTGAACTAATTCGAGCTTACACTTTGCCTGTGCTCACACTACTGCCACTCGGAACATATTAACTGGCAAACAAATGGCTACAAATTTGATGTACCTCACAATATCAATTTTCCTTTTTAGTTATAACACTTTATTGCACCACCATAGAACATTAATAAAATTAAATCATTAAAAATAAAACTGATTACAAAAGGCGGTCTTATCGCTAATGCAATCTTTTCCAGACAACCTTTGGAAAGAGAGTATTTACAAAAAATAGACTAGGCTATGAGAAATAGGGTCGCTCAATAAATTGAATCTAAATAATATTAAAATTGACATATATACACTTATGTAAATATAATAAATATCAGATATATTGGATATTTAAATATCTAACTGTACGCAATTCATATATTTGATATCATATATACATTGTCATGTTGATATCTATATGACTCAATATCTATATATGAGTTATACCCAGTACATAGTTTGAGTATCAATCAAAGTATTGATACATTGATTGATACTGTATATATCTACTAGATAGATATATACATAAAACTCTTAGATTCTATTCAAAATAATTTAAAAGCTATATTAACCTTACATACTTATGTAGAAGAGTTTCCTAATGATAAACTTATAAAATGGTCATCTCACCACTCTATTCCTTTTTGTTATACCATTATTTATGCATATTGAATACAATTTTATTGAAAATTTATATATATCTTTACCACATTGTTCCGAATGGAGGAAGTGTGTAGAAACATATTTCATTAGATATTAGTTATAGATATGTCAGTAGAAGTTGTAATTTTGTACTATTTGTTTTGTACATAAAATTTGGTTTTTTTGTTTAATATTTAAATTATAATTTGCGTATTTCTAAATTTCTAGTAATAATTAGAATGTAATCGTACAAAGCTGACGTATCAACTAGTTTTATAGTGTGACCCCTTTAAGATTTCTGTGTGACCCCAGCATTGCATGACCGTCCCCGCACATAATGAGCGCAACATTTAATTTTTATTTTAATATTATTTTCTCCAACGCAGCTTTATTGATATTCCGTGTATTGTTTGCCCCCATGATTGTGTCCCCGCGCCTGCATGTCGCCCTGCCGCATTGTATACACGCTATAAAACCTGCTGTACCGCCGGTCTACGTAAAACCTCATCACCTTCTTTTCTCTCCTTTTCATCTATAAAAATATCCTTAAAACCATCATTTTTTAAAATTTCTAATTACAATGTCAATTGATGATACAATTGTGTTATTTCAAATATAAAAACGGAATACGATGCATATATCCGATTATTGACCGGATATTATGCTGCCGTTTTTTAAAATATGCGCATATCCAATATTATACCGATACTATCCCACCTCTCATACATTATTATTGATTTGCTCATCCCTCTCGTCTGCCATATTTTTATCGAATTGCATTTATAATATCGAATCACAATATTTGATAATTGATCTATTACTGCATCACTCTCTATATATTCAATACTTATTACTTCCTCTCTCATATTATCATCAATTTTGATTTTATAAACATGCAATATTTCGATGATATATTGAATCACAATATCCGATATTCGATCCCTCCTCGGATAAACGATAATACAATATTATCGATATTATATCGAACCTCAATATACGATACCTGATCCCGCATCTATTATTACATCACTCCTCTCTGGTATTGTTATCGATTCGCATTTATAAAAATGCAATACTTCGATGTCGTATTGATCCCGTCCCGGACAAACGATAATGCATCATTATCGATTGTTATAACAAATCCCAATGTCCTGACCCCGATCCCGTACTATCGGCTGCCGGTTCGGTACCGTGCGACGGCGGCGGTGCAGGCACCGGTCGCGGTCGGTGTACAGCGCGCACGTGACGTACGCGGGCTACTGCCCCGCCTCCCGGCAGGACTCGGAGCGCGCCAGCCTCAGCAGCGGACGCACCGACAGCGACGCCATCTCACTCTCCGGCAGCAGTCTGTGAGTATCGTCCCTCTCGCTCGCACCACCGCCCCTCGCGGATATACCTCCAGCGAGGAACCTACGGAAAACAAATATTTTTAGACAGAATTTACACTCAGTTTTTAATTTTTAACTAAACGAATGATTGTCCATTCTAAATTACATAAACATTTCTAAATTTGTAATTGTTATAGTTAAACAATGTCAAACTTTTTATGACCAGGATTTTAAAACTTCATAAAGATACTTATACATATATTAAATTAAAAATATATTGTGTTTTTAAAAGTCGAATCTACTCGATTCACTTGACTTTATTTATTTTTTAACAATTGAAACCTCTAATACTCCAATTGCTACAAAACTCTGTTTGTGGCGATACGACCCTTATACTCACCTCAGCGACACAACGTAAGTATTATATTGTAGATAACTGTAGTATTTTGTTTTATATAAGTTTAAATTTTTTTTCGCTTCATTTTAGAAATATGTTGTGTTTGTAGATGTGAAATAGAATGTGTATATTTATACATCAAGTTGGTAAAAATTTTTAATTATAAAAAATGTTTATTACATTTAAGAGACTTTGTGTGAACCCTGTAATAATTAACAGCCAATTCCATCATCATAACTTGCATTGAAACATCTCATAGGGCTGCCACCAACAGCTTATTCATGACCTGTTTATATTTAATAATATCCATTGTTGCACATTGAACAAATAATATTTTTATAATTACTATAATTATTCAATCCCTTTCTAATATTCTTGATGCTACATTCCTGGTTTTGTATTAATTAAATGCAATTAAAGTACATTACTACATTTTATAATTTATAATAATATATACTTTTACAACATATATGTTGTATTAAGTACTACATATAAGTTGGCAATGAAGAATTCCGATATATATACGAGATTGATAGTGAAATAAAAAAACATCCTAATAATAATTAATACGGTTGGCAATGGTAGAAAGTCTTATTTTAAGATAAAATAAATAACTAACACACCAATGCTTTGCAGTACATTTGAGTATGTTTAACTAAAGATTTAAACAGAAAATATGAAAGTCAAAAATTGTATATAGGAAAACATAGTTCAAAATAAGAAAATATTTTAAAGTCTGTCGCTAACAGTAATCCTTGTGGTAATCTACCTATACTGAAATATGAATATTGTTTTGTTGCGTATGTGCAGTGATGGCATGTCAGTCCGCGGGCGCGAGACGCGCGAGCCTCGAGACAGAACGCGCGCTCGTCCGGCCGGACTCGACCGCCACGCGGTCATCAACAGGGAGCAGGACACCGCCATGGTGAGCACGCACGCACCCACGCACGCACGCACGCACACGCACCCACTCACGCACCCACGCACGCACCCACGCACGCACACGCACCCACGCACTCGCACCCACTTACGCACCCACGCACGCACCCACGCACGCACCCACTCACGCACCCACGCACGCACCCACGCACGCACACGCACCCACTCACGCACCCACGCACGCACACGCACCCACTCACGCACCCACGCACGCACACGCACCCACGCACGCACACGCACCCACGCACGCACACGCACCCACTATCCAACACAAAAATTCAATTCCAATCAGTAGTTCCTAGAGATTAGCGCGTTCAAACGAACAAACAAAAAACTGCTTTATAATATTAGTATAGATTATAATTTTGTTTGCTGATTGTAGCGACTGATTATTGTTATTGTGTTGTGATCTATACACGAGGTGTGTGTATGCGCAGGTAATCCCGCGCACGCAGCGCATGCAGTCGGAACAGCTGCGCGTGCTGTCGCCGACGGAGTTCGCGCCGCTCCTCATTGAGAAGCTGGAGCGAGTGCGCAGGGACCAGGAGACCAAGGAACGGCTTGAGAGACGCCTCGCAGAGGTAACCATAACCTTTATTTAATTTTTAACTTCATTAGGATGTTTGGGCTTGTAATGTACGGTACTTCAAGGTAGTTCGGATTACGTTTATTAAACAGTTGTCTGACATTCGGTGTTTCATTCAATCTTTACAGGATTATTGTTTGGTGGTTAGACCTGTAGAACTGCGACCTAGATAGATCTATTGTGATCGCCCTTTTTCAGAGTTCGCTACCTAAAATCGTCCAGTACAGGAATTGAAGGATATTCTTAAATGTGACGGATTTAAAAAAATAATAAAATTCAGTCTAGTTTCTTGCCAGTTTTTCTCAATTTAATCTGTAAACTAAACTAGATGGTAGGGAAAAAAAATTAATACAAAAAACTTGGAGTTCTAAAATGTCCTACATGAATAAATGATTTTCGATTTGATTTGATAACTTTCTGGTATGTATGTGTATTAGGGCGAGAGCGAAGAGGCATCGACACAGGCTCTGCCCCCACAGTTGGTGGCCGCCGCCATACGAGAGAAGCTGCAGCCCGACGATGACAACGACCAGGATATACTCGGTTAGTTTATTGTATACGAGTATATATTTTCTCTCAGGTCTCATATATTGGCAGACAGAATATACATTATATTTTCTATCAGATATCTGTAACATATAGTTTACAGGCAGATAAAATATAAAAAGCATTACAAATATTCATTAATATAACAAACTTTAGGAGAAATAATATCCAAGTCCTGGCAGAATCACATCAATATTTTAGCTTAGTTCAATAATCACACAAAAAGATACGATAAAATATGGATGTTCAGGTTAGATATCAAATTAAATAAAAGAAATGTAAAATAATTATATCGTTATACCCCTGAATACTTCACAGAACGTATAGTTTTGCCGTTTCACTTATACTATATGTAGTTCTATCTAGACTCTTTTAGTGCAATAAGATACGATTACATGTCATAGATTGAGATACTTGCATCAGTAATAGTATTTTATTGACCCTAATTCATACTCGGTGTAATCACAACAGACCAGCACGTGTCGCGAGTGTGGTCCGAGCGCACTCCCGGAGCTTCGCCACCTGGCGGCCGCCGCGCGCGCATGCGACACGCGCCCCACGCGCCCCACGGGCCCCACGCGCCCCACGCGCCCCACCCGCCCCACGCGCGAAGGGCGCCCTCCGCGCTGTCGGCCGACTCGGGCCATTACGACGCTCCGCCTGACTCGCTGCATCACCCGCATTCACTCACCCGCAGGTACATATACAGGTTTATAAACCTTCCGTAATTTGTAACCAGATGACTACTTTTATATCCGATATTTATTTTAAAATACCCACCCTCAAACGCAGGTCGTTCTCGAAGAAAACGGTGACGGAGCTGACGGACAGCGGCGTGTCGGTGGTGAGCGAGGGCACGGCGAGTGCGGCGGGCGTGGAGCCTCGCATACTGCTGTGGATGGCCGAGGGCTCGGAGCGGCTCGAGCGGTTGGAGCGGTTGGAGCGGTTAGAGCGACTCGAGCGGTTGGAGCGGCTCGAACGCCGCAACTACCGCGAGCTGTCCTCCCGGGGCTCTTCGGCCGACAGAGAGGAGCACCGTCGCCGCGATAAGCAGGCGCCGCGCACACGGTCAGTCCGACTACATTTGTATTCTTTATTGTACTGAACGTGGAAAAAAGAAAGAAGTATAATGTTGTCTTTAGCGCATACTGCTGGCGTCATACGAACATTAAGCTGTAAACGTCGAGTGAAAATCGAGTATGTCTGTGAGCGGATAATTATGATGACACAAAGTACACATGTAAAATTACATTTTTGCATTAATTTAAATTTCTGTTCTTCATTATATAGGATATTAAAAACTGTACAATCATCCAACTAAATTTTTCCATGAATTTAAATTTCGGTTCTTGATTGTAGTGTATATGGAATAGAACCCGCGACCAATGGAAATAAAGCATTGTGCTAAACTGTTAGACCATCGAGGCAGGAGTTGCTGTAAATAAATAACTTCCACATATAATGACGACTTGTTCTATAAAAGTTATTTTGTATTGCAGCGGCAGTGGCAGCAAGTCTAGCAGCACCAGTGGCGGCGGTGGCGGCAGTGGTGGCGGTGGTGGAGCCACAGAGCCCCACACAGTCGTGGTGGTGACGTTTCTTGACGAGAATGTACCGTACCGGTTCAAGGTGCCTGCCGCGCCCCTCACCCTCAAAGTCTTTAAGGACTACCTGCCCAGGAAGGGAAACTATAGGTACGACATTTAACCAACGCTAATGGGGTATTTTTAATTTCTATTACATACAGTATTAGTAATGTGGGACTGTTGACCCCATTGCTAATAATTTTCCATTTCAGGCCTCCCCGCGGTTCCTCTGGAAACAATTATGATAAAATCCTGGTCAATTTGTCACGATGAGCTAACTGATCTAACCTCATACTCATCTTATCATACTACAGTGGTGCCCCGCCAGCGTAAACCGTTAGCGCAGACAGGTGCACCATTCCATTATCATCCATGAAAAAAAATCTAATAGGGCGTCAGTAGTACAGTGATAGGGTACAGTTAAATAAGCTAGAAGTCAGGTCACATAGCCTAGTTAATTATAATTATGGAGTCAAATAGCTGCCTTTACACGTACGCTTCTTTCACGGCGAATAGGCTTTCACACAGGACAGACTATGTATCTAAATGTAGACAAAGAGAACGAGAAAGACCGCACATTCCCGCGTCCTACAGTCGTGTTTGTTTTAGCGCCTTTTTGTAATAATTAGTTATCATTGCAAAGTGACGGACATCTGACTACGGAGCAAAAGCATAATTATAGAGTTATTAAAAGAACATCGCGCGTGAAAAAACATTTCGTATAAAGGCAGTAGTTGTCCACTTTATTAACAATCCCTTCATCCACTATAAGCTTCCTTAGTAAATTGTGTAAATAAAAAAAAATATTTGTACAGATATTTCTTCAAGACGAACTGCGCAGATCTGGACACTGTGATCCAGGAGGAGGTGAACAACGACAACGACACACTGCCCATGTTCGAGGGGAAGGTTATGGCGCGCGTCAAAAGCATAGAGTAGGCACTCCACTACCGCGCCCTGTCTACTACTCCCATTGATAAAAATGTATATGTAAAAAACTAAGGAATTCATTTATACAGCCAAATAAAAGTGACGATTCGCTATACGAGACAAATTCCAGTTCAAGTACAACATAGTATTCAAAATTTTTAAATATGGAATACTCTTTTAGAAGTATATTTTTTATTTACGATCAATTGCATTTATATTGCTAGATGTAATGAGTTGTTGCCATTAATATAAAAAAAACTGTCAGGTTTATTTTATAGTAGACATTGCTGGCTGGTTTTTATGCTACATTGAATGCAGCATTACTTTACTGATTTATTTGACTATTTATCATCACTGGCCGAATCGTGACTCGTATTCCCATGTAATAAGGTTTTATTTTGAATTATCGTAACTGTTACTATGGTGCCATTTATTGAGAGAACTTAGTATTTATTTTATTGTTTATTCATCAAAATATTATGGATATTTTTAAAAAGGAATGACATAAAAGTGTTTAATTATTAGTACAGAATAGATTCTATAGATTCTATTAGATTCTATATTAATAACATATCCAAACAAATTCTTGTTAAAATGTCGATTTTGGATTCACTTAAATCAAGTTTCTCTATATAATGAAAATAAATCTACAAATTCTTATGCAAAAAATAAGCTTCTATTTTAAATATAGGTAAATTGCCTATGTCGCTTTTATTTGGTCTAAAATGAATACGGTTATATTGTTTAAACTTACGTATATAATTATATACAGGGTTTTTTTTTTATGAATACTGCCTTTAATATTTTTTATGAAAGTGAATAACAATAATTCCCAATTAAATTAAACGAGAAAGAAACGTATTATATTAATACTTGTAACAAACATATAGAAGACAGGGCGAGGCTAGAATTTATTATAAATTTATTTATTTATAGCAGTTACGGTCGTCATATCGTAATAGCCATAAACGTGTTGTAAAATAAAAAAAATCGGTTCCTCGTTATACTAGCCGTTTGTGCACTAGTTTAATATCACACGGAATTATCGCAGCGGATTCATTTGGAAATTTTGTCTTTTTTTAATTCACAAGGTTTAGTCAAGAGAGAAATACGCGGACTGTTTTTAAATCTACAAACGTTATAATAAGTTATTTATAACGAAATAATAGAATATAACATTCAGTTTGTTGTGACTATTACATAAATATTGCTAGAATTTGTAATTATAATTTCAAACAGGATATTTTGTACCATGATTCTATTATTTCTTAGCTTTCTACAATTACATAACCATCCGTAAAAAAGGTTTTTGTACATTTTTTGTATAATATATATATATATACTCCTGTTATATGATTTCTCTATTTCAACATGGCAACTCTATATAAAGAAACAAAGAACAATTTCGGAACTCTATTATAAATTTTTGATCTGGGTATAAATATTGTCCTGACGTAATTTAATTCAATATGTTGTAGATTTAGAAAGTGTTGCGTATGTTTGTTTGACTAAAGTGCACAACCGGTGCTAGTGTTTTATTTTTTTTACTTGAGCTAGATGAGTACGCTTACTATTGTACGATATTTTTTTTAATACACAATTTTTTTTTTATAATATACCTAGTGTTACTTGAATGACTGCTTAGTTTGTATATTTTTAAATTAATATTTTAGGTATAAATGAGGTGTTCTGTTTGGAAAAATATAAACTTATGTTAATAATTGGCGTTTGGCATTAATGCGACATTATGAATTTGTACAGTTGAATACAAAATGTGTTGTTTGTTTTTGTTACAAATATATATATTTTTTTAATATTGCATCTTTTGGGTATGTTATAATCGGCGCGCGGCAGCATGGTACATGATCTTGTACCACTTTTTAATTTAAAAGAACTGTATTGAGATTTTTACAGAATATTTTCCAACAATCAATTGTTATTTCGAAAAATAGGTCTTTGATGAATTGGCCTTTTGTTTTATTCACTGTTTGTGTGTCTGTGACCACGCTATAATGCTCGGAGTGTAACATGAATAATTCGCTAAGATTTCATACGAATATTAACTAATATCAATATTATGGTAGATTTGACATATCATAACAGTGTGTAATAGACCTACATTAGAGATATTTTAATTTGATATTTTATATCATAGACAAACGATACATTCTGTGTTCAACTTCCGGTTCATTCAAAATTTCAAATCATTGCATGATGGGATCTCATTCGTATATCAACTATACAATTATATGAATTAAATACAATAAGTGGAAGGTAAAATGTAAATTATTTCCGTTCTGCAGCTGTGAGTAGGACTAATTAGAGAAAAAGAAATATTAATATGTTTATTGTATCCTTTGTGAACAGTTACAATTGGCCAATGAATTTGCAATTAAAGGAATAGCTATTGTGTTTATTGGAGAGAATTTAATATATATATATATATATTATTACGTGAAGCAAAAACTGTCACTTGTTTACAACAATTGTGCGGACGGAGCAGTATGTAAAATGATAATATTTTTCAAGATTTAAGCATAAAAAATACATACAACATTTATTTGACACACACACACACACGCATATATACTCCTTTGTTATTGGTTAGTCTGTGGTCAGATTGAGAATAGAAATATTGTTTGTTCTTAAATATTACTTGTCTATAGTCTTACTGTATGTTAAATTAATTATGGTCGAATTTCGACCACTGGGCCACCACTAGTGTGTGTTAGATATGCTAGAAACCAATTATCCAAGATCTGTCGTACATGCTTTTAAGCAATCGGATGTCAAAGTTGTATCTTATAATCGCTTGAATTCTGTTCAATTAGATGAACAATTTTAATGAAAGATTATAAATACATCAAACATTTCTGTTGGCTGACTAGCTAATATAGTATTCTATTTTTAGTTAACATATTCGTAGTTAGAAATTTTGGTTACACACATAAATCTTTAATTTTATATTTCAATAATTTCTTTTTACAAATATAGACAATATCCACAAAATTTAAAATTTTGATTTATACTATTGAAATTACACGGATTTTCAAGCCGGGAGTTATCGTACAGAGTGTAAAAAAAGGTTGACTTTCTGATAAATTGCTAATTGGATATAATATTAAATTCTCTTCGTACATTAGCTATGACACAAAAACTAGAATGAAAACATTTTGAACGTCTTTCCAAATTGTTTGACTCTAAATTCCACATACAGTAACATTTCGAATTACGTCTCTTCCACATTTAATACCTAAAATTAATAGCGTAAGTTCGGAGTGTTATTGTTGTTTGTATAAATGTCATTTTTATATCGTAACTGTATCACTACATGTTGCTACTGCGAAGTTATTGCCAGACTGAGTTTCCCTTAAGTTAGTTACGATACCTAGTCTACCTCCAGCGTACGATGCTCCGCCGACAGCGGTCGTGCCGGCGCCGTGTCGTTGCCGCGTCGTATCCGCGTCGGCGGCGTGTCGTGCGCGGGAACGTGCCCGTTAGTACTTACTATTTCGCATATTGTAAAATATAAGTTAGAATGTCAAGTCCGGTCCAGTGTGTAGTCGGCAGCGTCACTGCGTACACTTGTACGAAAATATTATTGTGACGTCATTTTTAAGGATACATTGGGATTGATTTTTTTGTTTGTAGTTAATATTTTGCTGGATGATCAAGTGTGCGCATTTGCGCTGCTGACTGTACGCGAGTATTAGAGGGGTGTTGCCAGCGAAACGAGTGCACAATAACGAATGCACGATCTTGTGAATAGGGTGCGAAACATGTGCCTTCAATGTTGATACATTTTTCATAGTTGATGCTTCTAATTAGTGAGTAAGTTAACACTTGTAAATATAGACGTAAAGCTACTTCGATTCGAAATCTATTTTTATTAATTTAATTAAACTAAACAATTTTTTTTATTTATTGCCTAAGATTGCGTTGTGGGTCCGCTCCAACCGTCTCGGAGACGTCTAATATGAATTCTATTGTACCACTCTACAAGGTTCCATTTTAAAATTTCATTACGTAAATATAAGCGTCGGTTATGGATGAATTATTTGATGTTCAGTTCACTTACGCTCCATTTCAAACGAACCACATTATTAATATGGTCAATGTCGCGATCTTTCGTTGAAAAATATATTGAGGGTAGTTGATAAAACTCTTGGCACCTAACGATGTTGGCATCGTTATATTCCAGTCAGCTAATGCTAAAACCTCATTCAAACCTGTTTTGTTTATTCACTTTATTTTAAGAGAATATCTATAAATTGAATATGAGGTTTTGGTGTTTTTATGAGAGCGTAAGTGCATATATGATGATCTATCTGTCTAAAGTTTAGTTGTATTTATGTAAAAGGCGCTATTAAATAATGAATTGCTTCCAGTAATGAAAATATCCATTTCCCTAACCTTCGTATTATATTTTAAAAAATTAAGTATTTGTAAATCTTTCTTTAATATTATTGCTTGTTCAATTTATTATTTTCTTTATAAAAACTTATATTATCTGTTATCTTGTATAAACTTTCGTATTTTACGGCCTTGGAATGACTTTTAGGCAACTAGTTTATAGCCGCGATTTCGCGTAACCGATACTTTCATTGAATTGCGTCTTGATTTATATTTCAACTTTATTTACCATGACATCTGAAGGACATACATCCAAAGCCGTAAAACAGAAAAAAAAATATTAAAAAAATGTTCTCATAGAGAAAGTAATAAAAAGAGCAATGATTCATGAACAAATTGTAATAAGAAATGGAATAAAATGAAATCATGTTGACGTCTGAGACGAATAAAATGAAACATGCTTCCTATGTGTGGTTGCGGATGTAATATGTATAGAGTAAATTATATCAGTCTACATAACGCAACAAGGCGCTTGTAATACAGCGTCTCAAAATACCCTATGATATAAGTCCCTTAGGGCACAAACTATGTCGGAGTTAAAATTGCTTGTTAAATTGTAAAAAAAATTATAATGTTTTCCATTTAGAGTGTATACGAATGAAAATTTAAGCTAAATTTGTAATAAAATTATTGACGTACTATAAAGTATTATTTCAATGAAACAACGTAACGGTCGTTAATGGTAAAAGAATTTCACTAATCGGACTGTCTTATTTTTTTATCTAGCACATGTAACAATTAAAAATTAAACAGAACTGTGCCATATATGTATGCCGTTTTATTTTTATATTACTTCGTAACTATTCTAATGTTGTATGCCGCAGCTGGACTGGCGAATCCTGAAGCTCTGAAAGGCTGCGTACGCACTTTTTGTAAAGTTTTTCGGCTGAAAGCCAACTGCTACCGGAAAAATACAAGTATAGGTTGATTTTTATATTTGATATTTTAGTAGTACTTCCATACTGACAAAATATCGATACAAATTAAGAAAGTAATAACTTTCTTACTCCTGTCCAATACGAAAAACCATATAGTGACTGTTTTGTCTAAAAAAATTCTGACGTGATTATTGGGTGTGAATTGATAAAAAAATAGCATTACGAATGTATCCATTTATTTTACAACAGTCTTATTCCTTTACAATTTTACAAGTACAAAATTGTTCTCAAAATGTTCCTCCGCTTTATATCAACCAACATCACATAAAAAATACCGGACCATACATAAATTGATCGATACCACATGTATTGAAAAGAAGACGTTGGATATCGCTGTCTCGTTCTATCTCATGGATGCGTTGGCAATCAATAGTCTTGTATGCCAACCTACCCTCTGGAATCATATCTTTTTAATCCCAAACTCCTTTACAAATCTTGACACTTATTGTCTTCTAGGCACAATTCCCTTTCTTTTTTTAATATGTACATACTTATACATAACCATATTTTAGTACTTAGTTATTATAAACTAATACAGCAGCACGACAAATTGCTAGTTTTTTACAACAAATAATACTTAGTAAGTTTCTCTACACCTTTATATTTTAAAGAATACAATTTTCATTATTTCTGCATTAATCTTCTCTTTATCATCAAAAACTGTTTGATGATTGATGACTCTATTAGGTGGCTGTCGACAGACAGTATTTGTTATGGTTGTCAAGAACATAATAAGTTTATATTACAATCTTGTTACATTATTAAGAAAAGCATCAATAACGTGTAAGATTATAAAACAAAACCGCGTGTTAAACTCTTGAACAAAACAAGTTGCATCGTCTCAGCTTCCAAACAGAGATTAAATCATTCATTGCTTTTGACAAATTGTCAATTTCTGCAATGATTAACAATTGTAAACCAGCTAATGGTCAGGTTTATGTTATCTGAAGATGTCCCGGATTCCCTGTACTAGCTGCTTCACGACGGGATCCTGGTCTTCGTAGCCAGCGGAGCGCATGTGGTGTGATATACTGGAAATACACTGCAGACAAACATTTTTATATTATTTTTTGTTTTAGTTTCATTTCTCAGTCTGCTGGTTTGTTACGCTTTGCTTTACTACCACTTGGAGACGGAAACTATGTGTGGTGTAGTGTTAGTGTGCATTTGTATGTTATTATTATTATTTAAAATGGGTTTTCTTTTGTTTTGTAATAAAAATAATAAGAGTATTATTATTATACTTTCTTGAATAAGGGTGGCCAAAATTACTCTTTATAATATCGTCAAAATCGCTTCAGTCATTTACAAGTTTTTTAATAAATTTTTTATAGCTAAATACCATATAAGTATACATTAATATGCATTAGTGGAAGATGATTTGAAATAACACAGACACTTGTTACTTCAAATGTCCATAGGCATCATAAGATAGCTATATGCTTGTTTGTCACCAAAATAGTGAAATGATACTATATTTTACAAAAAACATGCAAAGAAAAGTTATACATAATAACAAAAATTTTATTCTCAACACTAACCTTTTCTAAATAAGTCATCTTCGCCTGCGGGCAGACATCATTCGCGACGTCAATCATATACTGACTGTGATTACTATCCGTCTCGTAGCACAAGATCGAGACAATCTCTTCCAGGTACCCGGGCAGGTTGTCCAGGGTGAGGTCAGGAATCAGTTTTACGCTTAGCTGGTACCCGACTGGATTATCCTCGTCACCTTCTTCTTCTTCTACGCGAATACAGCTTTAAGAGGCAAAAAAATATGTTTATTTACTGCAATAATTATTGACTGTAAAATGAGGACTGGGAAGGGATAGTGATTTTATCACGAATAACTAACATTTTTATATTAGTAATGTGGTGAAGTCGGGAGAAATTATTAGTAATGACCTCAAGCTCATCTTATCATCCTCCACTGGTGCTCCGCCCTCGTAAACCGTTAGCGCAGGTCAGGTCATCATATTTCACCATTATCATAGGCGGCTTTATAATTCCATAATCCTCTATGAACAAATAAGCGCGTTCAGTTTTCTATACTATACTATTTAGTAACATAGACAAAATCCTTTTTCTATTTTTGAAATCGTATATATAAACACGTTAAAATTATGCGCAATTAAAACACAGATTAGAACACGATACAGAGACGGTTTTGTTTTTTAATTATTACGTATCTGGAAGCAGTAGCAGTAGTACATAGCCACGTACCGGTAGTGCGAGGCGGTGCGTCCGACGGGCCAGTGCTGCGAGGTGATGAGCGCCAGGAAGGGAGCGCCCCGCTCGAGCGCGCGCTGCAGGCGGCGCTGCGTGCGCAGGTCGCGGTCCGAGGGCGCCGCCCCGAACGTGGGGTGCGAGTGGTGCCAACCGCACGCGCCGCCGCCCAGCGCCGCAGCCGCCGCCGCCGCTGAAACTGTACCCCTACACTTTGTACAAACTCACCTTGTATGAGTATCACCTACTAGTGAGGTAAAATAGAAGTAAAATTGAGGGACGAGTGAACTAAAATAGAGGGTAAGGGGGTAAGTCATAAACCTCGCCACAAGTCACCGAGGGGGAGGGGTTTAGATTGCTAAAAAACAATACGTGATTCATGAACAGGCCCTTACAAAAACATGAGCATGATTAAAAAATAACATTCTTGACAGGTATGGTGGGGTAAGACGCTGATGTCATCCGCCATTTGTCTCTACTGGCTGCCATTCTAGTACACTCGTGAAATGTACCGCCTACCGCTTCTTTGCTGACAATAAAACAATTACCGGGGTCCATATCACAGTGGGTGAGCTCGGCGGCAGCTGCTGCAGGCTGGTACCGCGCGAGCGTGACGGCTTCGGGGGCCGCGGGGGCTGTGGGGGCGGCGGGGGCGGCGGGGGCGGCCCCCAGTAGCCCCATGACCTCGGCGCGCGACGTGTGCGCGTGCGTGTCCATACTGATCAACGCCGACACGTGCATGCGTACACAAAATGGAGCCTGCATTGAAAAACAGTAACCCTCTTTTTATAAACACGTATAATGACAAACTTTTGTTTAAATCTTAAACTATTTTTCGATTTTATTCAAAAACGTTACACAACACTCTAATATGACATATAAAATATATAATTATCATTCTACATTTTCATAACACCACACTGTAAAATTAATTACATAAAAAAGTATCGTCACAGCCAGATTCTAACGCGGAAAATAGCTTGAAATTTAAAAAAATACGTTGGCGGTCATTCGGAATAATAATCTATTTTCTTGAAAGTTTCAATATCTCGTTGACATTATTTATTTATTTAGGATCAAAAACAGGTTCACAATAAGGAAACTTATAATTATTTTCCATTTTCTACGTACTATGTTATTGTAAACCCAACATGCATGATCACAAATTATATTAAAGTATTAAGATATGTGGGTCGCATACATACTAAACGCATACAAGCTAATATATTTTCTACTTATAATTATGATGGTGTATATGTAGTTGGTTGAATGAGGAAAAGAGATATGAGATATGTGTGTTACAGGTTTTACTAAAGATACGAGGAAAAATCATTTGTATGTGCGAATGTGTGTTTGTACATATGAGTGTAGTGTGGGTGTGTGTGTGTGTTGGTGCGCGCGTATGTATGTGTGTATACATGTGTATCAGTGTGACTAGGTAAAAAGAAGGAATTATATTATTATTCTATGTGATTATAGTATACGTAAGGCTTTAAGTTTATTAATTACTGACCTTCTAAAACCTATATATGACAATTTAAATATATCCAATTCATTAAAGTTATCATTGTACGACTGCAAAATGCGAGTAATAGGTTTACGAATACCTGCATTAGTTCGACTTGCTTTAATCGAAAAGAGTCTATGGGGGCGTGATGTTCTCATTTCAACTCTGGGGGGTATGTTGTAATATATACTTGATGACATATCTAAACAATCATATTTGTTATTACAGATATCATAAAGCAGCATACATTGTAATTGAGAGCGTCTTAAGCTCAAGCTCAGCAATTTATAATGTTTAAGTAGATCATATATTCATATAGTCTTCTACGAAAAAACATAAAATGTATACGTCTGAGGAACTTCTTTTGAACCATTTCTAGTTTATTCTTATATTTATCATGGGGATTCCATACGGTCACTGCGTATTCTAACTGTGATCTTACTAATGACTGAAACAGATGAATATATGTAGAAAAGTTTCTAAACCTAGTACCTGATCTCATTATGAACCCGTACATTTTATAAGCCTTATTAATTATACTCTCTATGTGTAAATCAAGATGTAGTTTAGAATCAAGAATTATTCCAAGATCCTTGATGTCGTTAACTTTAGTTAGTATTGTATTACAGAGTGAATATGGGTAGTACTAATTTTTATTTTCTTTGTAAATGTGATGGCTTTACATTTATTCACACTAAGTTCAAGTTTGTTATTATTGCAGTAATTTGTAAAACGATTTAAATCTTCTTGAAATTTAACATGGTCTTCTATATTGTTAATAGTATAATATAATTTTAAGTCATTAGATGTATGTTCAGGCATTTCTCATTCTTACTCAATTTCTTTATATTTAATACATACCGGCCTGTCTGCGTTGTAGACGCGGCAGGGTAGCAGCGGTACGGGCTGCAGGTGAGGCCGCGGGGGTCGTCGCGGCGGCCTTCGACGCGGCTCAGCCCCCACGGCCACCAAGTCACCCGCCGCCGTGTGCATTATGGTGTAACCGCCATCTCCCGCCTGTCAATGAACCACATATTTTATCGAACCAGGTGTTATTTTTAGGAATTCCACTACCATTAGCATGTGTGAGACTACCAAATATTCAGTGCGGAATTCTGACCTCCACCTCCACTTTCACATAGGCAACATCATCATTACATCATCACCCATTAAAAAAATATATAACTCATACAAAGAGCTGACATTATATTAATTTTAAAAATATTTTTATGTTTACGCACCAAAGTCATAATTTTCTTCTGCCTCTTAGGCATTGGTTCAAACTTCCTGTGAGACTCTGATATTGGTGGTTCATCAGCACATTTGGAAATTGTTGAATTGCTTTTTGATCTGCTCCTGGTAGAATCATTGTCACTATCAACATCCACTTCTATATCACTTTCTGGCTCTGAATCTTTCTTTTTCTCAATTTTTATCTGCAATTCAATGTAATAATAAGTAAGAAATAATTAATAACTACTTATGGATGTTATACCACTATCTAATCCAGAAGCAAAGACAATGTATGCAGTCCCCCAGGAGTTGTTGCCTCTGGAGTTAATGCCGGAGCCAAGGAGCTTGCCTGAGGCCTTAACCTTCTAGGGGATGTGGCCCTGTGTCTGTATACTAATTAACTAATAGGAACATTGTTTTTATAAACATTTCCTAGCAATATAAAATATGACATTTTGTATGTTTCTTAATTATTACACAATAGATGGATGCATTCAAATAAAAATTGATTAATTTTTTTATTTAGCGAGGAATACCTGAAATCTTGGAAATCAAATCAAATCATACAATTTAAACAATAAACAAAAAATTTAAAAATTGTAACAGACACAGACTTTAATAAATATTCTACTATATATAAATAGGGTCCTACCACTTGCTCCCCTTCTGATAGCGGCAATGCCTGCCCTGAACCTAAAATTATTTGCATTCTAGGACTTTTACTCTCTTCAGACAGACTTGAATCCTTCCTTTGCCTCCCTTGAGGCGACTTCATGAGTTCTTTAGATTTACTCCTTTGCCTATTTTTATCACTGCCAGACACTTTCCTTCTATGGTTACCCAATTTCTTGCTAACTTTTGCCTTTTGATATTTCTCTATATTTTTTGATACAATATCAGTTAAGTCCATATCAGACCCTATAGACTCAGTAGATCCTATCATTAAGTCATCATCATAGAATATTTCTTTAGGATCTATATCCACAGTGTTAACCTTTGCATTATCAAATACATCAGGTTTTAATAAACTGTTCTTGGACTTAACATATTTCTTTTTTCTGTTCAAAACTTTCGATTTTGTATTTGGGCTCATTTCAATTATATTTGTAGCATCATCCATCACTATTTCCTCTTGAACAACAGATGGCACACCATCGGGCTCTTCACCCTCCAAAACAAATGTAGGAGTATCAAGAAGAATACCATATTCAGCCTCAATTAAAGCTTGAATTTCCACTTCTGTCTTTGTTGTTAATGTTTGTGATATTTTCCGAATATTTCTACCATATTTTGCCTGAAAACAATACACAAGTCTTGTTATATTCTTTATAACCTCTTTATATCTTCACACCATGTCGTTTACAGAGTAGACAGAGAAAAGAACACCAGTGCTATTTATAAACACAACTCTAGCTGTATTCGCTTCCATAAATGACTTATTGCATAAAATATACATTTTATTTATTATAATAATAATATTTATTTTCTCAGCATAACATTAACATAATTTGGGAAAATAATACAATAATATAGAATACTATGAATTATATAAAATTATAATATTTATGCCTTATTGATACCTACCATTTCTTTTTCTAGAGTGTCTCTCTCAAGTGCAGTCCATGCTGTGTACACATCAATTTTCTCTCTCTCTATGGAACTATTCCGTGATGTAGGTTTTGTTGGTGTATGCTGCTCCCTGAAATTTATAAATAACAGTAGTAATAACATGCTATTTTTCTATTCTTATAGGCACAATACATTGCTACTAGCTTAATTGAAATAAAGAGAATAATGAAAGTTTAGACCAATTGTATAACAATGTAGATAATTTCTTCTACATTCATTTACAATCATTACAAACTAACAATTTGACAACATAATTAACAACAAACTGCAATATAAGGAATTTAAATTTAAAGATTCCACAGACTGTGATTACATATTCCTTTGTTTCAAACTCTTACCTATTCAAAACTTTATTCTGGATATCATACCAGTTGGTTGCAGTAGAGTCGAGAAGCCACTGCGGGTGAACTGTATCCTCGCGACTTGAACACGAAGGGCTGAAATTTATTTAACAAGACACTTTCAAACAGTTTAACTTAAGTTTTTTAATAAATGATAAAGATATCTAGAATTTGTTTGCATATTGAATTACATATACATTTTCTTTATTATAAAGAAAAGACAAAAAAAAGAACAATACAAAGCAGCAGCAGTTGTTTTTATAGGAATTTGATGTCAACAAATAATGACAACATAACCATATAAGAAAATGAAATCTTGCTGAATATTTATACAATTAGATAAATAAAATAATATTAATTGTGGAATTCTTAACAGAAATATACATACATTCCTTGATTATTTTGCGCAAAACAAGAATTAAAAGAAAAATCTCCCAATACGTCAATTTCATCTTCGTCCGCCATTTTACTGTAATATTTTTTAATTTACGGCATGGATACGAGCGTAGATTAAGAATAGTTTATGGTCAGGACCACAAACTATATAGAGGTCAGATTTATGACTTCGAATGATATGTCGATGTTATCGAAGTCTGACATAGGTGTCAAAACTGTTTTTGACTAGATATCGATGAATATCAACATCTCTAGCAACTCATCAAAACAGCAGCTGATCAGCTGTATTTCAATTTCAGTATTTTGCAATCATATTTGTGTTTTATTATTAATTTTGTACTAACATTTTTATTATAGATTTTCAATACCTATTCAATAATTGTTACAATTCACTATCATATCTGTCTGTAGTGAATACAATGAATATATTACGGAAACTTTATAACTTATCGTCACCGGGAGTTTATAGAAACTTTTCCTTGTCGTCATCAAATAATGCAAGTTATTCGTAAGTATACTAGTATATTTATACATCCGTGTTAATATGAGTAGACAGATATTATATGGAGGTTAAAGTGACTATTTTTTAATTATCACTTTGTCGAAAAATTTACATAATGCACATCTTAAATATTTTTTAATTAAAATTTGCGTGTAAATTAATGAGATACCTATTTAATAAGTTACTTTCCTAGGATGATTAATCTGCTTTGCAATTTTTGCCGGGGTGGATAATAAAGACTTACTGAGCTCGTGACTACATTATAACTTTTATGTTTATGAACTAATTGAAATAAAACAAACACAAAATTTGAATAAAAACAATTAATTAATGTAAACCGCACTCAAATTGTTTAAGCTGTTTCTCACAAACACCCAGACAAACATATATTTTTTTTAAAAGCAATTTTTTTATATATTGATAAAGTTTCCCTAATAATATTTGGGGTGTGAGCTGCATGTGTGAACAGCTCAGCTCTGATGTGTGAGCTGCATTACTGTAAAGTTTCATCAAAATCTGTTCAGTAGTTTTTGCTTGAAAAAGTAACAAATATCCATTCTTAGTCACAAATTTTCGTGATTATGATATTAATGTATATATATAAAAATGAATTGCTTTTCGTTAGTCTTGCTAAAACTAGAGCATATAGCTAATTTTAGTCTTGATATATTCGTGGAAGTCCAGGAAAGGTTTAAACGGTGATAAAATATGAACAAATTGCATGTAAAGTAATAAAAACAACAATTTTTTTTCCATACAAACTTAAAAAAACCTTTGACATATTTAATTTTGAGGTAGAATGGAATCTATGGGATCAGCTAGTAACATATATATATATATATACATATACATTTTGTTGAAATAAACAGAAACATTGAATATATTTTTGTTGTATTTGTAGGTGTAAATTACTAGTAGTAGGTGGAGGTTCTGGAGGCTGTACTATTGCAGCCAAGTTTGCGAGGAGACTCAAGAAGGATGCTGTTATTGTACTGGAACCCAGTAGCGTAAGATTATTTTTATTAATACCTTTGGGAAATATCTATAGTTTGATTTATTCTATTAGTGTTACAACACATAAACCAGTTCAGGTTGGGTCTAGTTCACCATCCAGCCCTTAGAACTAAGCTTGCAAGTTCTCACCAGCAGCTTCTCTGTAATTTAGACTACATTGTAGAGTGTTCCTAGTGAACTTGACCAGATGGAGGAGGCTGCCATATAAAGTGTCCATCTTCCGTCGCAGCTGGAGTCCTGAAAGAATGCTTTCACAATCCTCTGACTCTAACTATGGGATTTTTGTGGTTTTCATTGGATGACATGTTACATTTTATACCTATCTTGTTGTATGTGCGGGATTATGTTTAATATTATCCATACTTTAAAAAAGGGTTTATCTAACTGATGAAATGTTCTAATGTCTGATGCTAGTGGAGACAAACTAGGTGTAATCTTTATTTTCTTTTTTTGCTTTCTAGTATCTACTATGTTAATACCAGAATTCCCAAAGGCTCAGGTGTACTAGCACCTGGCAGTAATTCTATTGAGTACAAGATAAATCCCAAATATGTCGACAAGGATTGTCTAATTGTTGAATGTATTGTACATTCAGAATATAGTAAGGTATATCAGGTCATATCTGTGGAGTTCCACTCGTGAAATTTTGTTTAGTTTATGGTCATATAATCACGATTGGCTAACTGCCCTGATCTCATTCTCATCTTATTGTCCTATACTGATGCCCCGCCAGCGTATAGGTACCATCACATTATTATAAAACATATGTTATGACAATGCATTCCACTACTTACATAGCACAAGATACGATAGATGATTATCTATGACAATACAAATACTAACAATAGGTTGTAAATATTGTTTGATTGCACATTACCATATCAGAAGGTTACGTAACTATAATAGTGATGGCTTTGGTGGTTTAGCGGTTTAGCACACCACCTTACTTCAGATGGTCGCAGGTTCGATTCCTTACACAGTACAAATATTTGTATTCATTAATATGATTGTTTTGGTCTGGGTGTATTATATGTATATTATGAACTAACTGATCCGCGCAACTTCGTCTGTATCATACTTGACATTCCTCCATCATTATATTTCTCCCAATGTACATAACAGCTTCTAAATTATATCCTACGTGTTATTGTTCTGATGTATAGGTTGTACTAATGTAAAGTTTCATCAAAATCCGTTCAGTAGTTTTTGCGTAAAAGAATAACCAACATCCATCCATATATCCAAACAATCCACACTCATAAACTTACGCGTCGTAATTATCTATGTATTTATATTGGTTATCTAGTACCCATAACACAAGCTCTGTTTATGTTGGGACTAGATGGCTGTCTATTGTCCTGAGATATTATTATTATTAATAGTCCCCCCCGGTGGTGGTAATATAATGTGTTAATGATGATAAACAAGTTCTGATATCGAAAAATGATAAATCTAGTGATAAATACCACTTACCGTGATATGAATGCACAAAAGATACTTGTAAACGAAGTGTTTGCAAATATCCATCAGTGATAATAATGCACCAATGACCTTATTTACTACAGTGCGACTTTTACAAACTTATTTGCGTAGGCATCTCTGTCAAACCTATTTTAGCCGCTAAGAAGCTTATTTTGTAAGCTATTCATTGGCAAGTTATATGTATAACATGTAACATAACATAAATAACATATAACATTAATTTATATATATACTGTATGTCCCGGAAAACGTTTTGCCTATAAAAAAATAGGGGTTGTTGGAAGAAATGTGAACATTTAAAGACGTTTTGTCGATTATTTTTTTGGGTGGGACACCTTTATCTTCTAAGGTTTATAGAATATATAACAACCTATTCTAAGACTTGTCGAGTATACATAAAAATTTCATTAAAATCTGTTCAGTAGTTCTGGATTCCATAGTAGACAAATGACGTAACACGAAGCTTTCGATATCGGTCCAGTAGTTTTGGATTCCATCGCGGACAAATAACGTGACACGCAGTTTTTATATGTTAAGCTATATATAATTCAGGATCACTACTATCAACCCCTGTTCACGCTAGTCGGCGCAGGCGTGACCAAAGTGGCAGATACTCGAAAATTAGAAGGAAGCGTGTTACCCACTAATGCAAAGTGGATAAAGGATTCAGCTGACTGTATCGACCCTGAAAAGGGATTTGTTACGACGAGAGAGGGTCATGTCATAAATTATGAATACATTGTGATTGCTGTGGGCTTGCAGAATGATTATGCTAAGGTGAGTGTAGTTGATACTAATATTATAAAGAGAGAGATTTTGTTACGATATACTCTTTAACTAAACTCCGGAACCAATGCAACGATTATTTTAAATAATGTCTATTCAAAAAAGCAGCCCACCAGTTTTTTTTTGCTCATTCTTCTTGTGATGAATTTACGTTCCGACTGAGTGGTAGAATAAAAGAATATGACAATTCAAAAGTTGTGTTGAGTTTATTTGAATAAAGATTATTTTATTTCAGAATATCTTTCTGAAATAAAATAATCTTCTAATCTCTGTTTCTAGGCATATATTACATAGTAATATAGGCTGTATATTAAATAAATTTATATAAAAAAGTATAGAATAGAATTTTATTGACTCGTAGAAACATTAACATCAAATGTCAACATTACTGAAAACAATACATGCAACAACTTACACATTATAAAACAGAGTCCATGTGGACCACAACTCAGCATAATGCTGGAAACATAGTTTCCAGCGCTGATTTTCAGTATACATTGTATATACATTATTGCACTTGTAACATTAAATAATTAAGATTTTTATCTTTGAAAGAGATCTCTTCCAAGCTCTTCAAAATGTCTTCCAGACAATCTAAGGCTGTGACAGAGTTAGTGCACGAGGCACTGGTGGTGCACGAGTGTAGTTTTATATTAATATATACTTTTTATAAACAGAAAAAATACATTTTAATAACTTCACACGTATCACCGGTATTATTATAACCATCTATTAATAGACTAATGAAAAAATAACACGTCAAGAACAACAGACCAATTTACAACATTCTCTATTTTGAAGTGTGTTCGAAAACAAGATGGCGATATAACCGGTCTTAACGGAAAGGTGCATACACTTGTATTATATATGGTATAGATTGCTAAAATGGGAGCATTGCTAGCAATGTATACATATAATGAGATTATGAGTGATGAGATGAGATGAGATTATATATAACGAGTATTACTAAAAATCCCCTCCTCACTACTCTTTCAGGTTCCTGGCCTAAGCGAAGCTTTAGAGGATAACAATAGTTGTGTATCAACAATATTCGCCCCTCAGTACTGCGGGAACACGTGGCGAGATCTGCAGAAGTTCAACGGTGGCGATGCTATATTCACGTATCCTGATTCTCTGATAAAGTGTCCTGGTGCTCCACAGAAGATCGTGTACTTAGCTGAGTCATACTTTACAAAGGTTGGGCGAATAAAGTCATTCATCTATTATTTTATTTTTTACTAGCTGTACACGCGACTTCGTCCGCGTGGAATTTAACTTTATTTTTCTAAAAAAAAGTAGCCGAAGTTACTCCTTATTACATCAGCTACCTGCCAATAAAAGCCTCGTCAAAACGGTCCAGCCAGTTCAGAGATTAGCCAGAACAAACAGACAGACAGACAAAAATTGTAGAAATCATTGTTTTGGTGCATGTACGTTTCTATATTCATGTAGTAAAAAACGGTTATTTCAATATTACAAATAGTCACTCCAATTTTATTTATATGTATAGATTTGCTTTATTGATTTAAATTTGGTACAAAAGGTGGACCCAATGCTATAGCATTCTCTCCCAGTCATTCTTTGGTATGTGCAGAGATACTTAAATGCGGCTAATGGAATTATTATAAAATAAAAATATTATATATATATATGATTTATTTGTACTGAAAATAAATAATAATATTATTATTGTGTTGTACTACGGACATGTCGATGTTTTGGGGCTTCATATCTATAGTTTACGAGACGTCAGTTTCTTTGCAATTCAAGTGTTTCAAAAGTAATATATTTTCAACTAGTTGTGCCCGCGTGATATTTATAGTCTATGTGTTATTATCACATATAAGCTATATTATTATAGTTTCCTTAAAATCCAATTAGTAGTTTATACGTGAAAGAGTAACATCCATCCACTTTAGCAGACTTCTGTGTTTAATATTAGAAAGTTAAGTTTGTAAAAAGATAAGTGACTACTTAGACTATGTATTTTTACATAGACTATGTACTTTGCTTACTTTTTAAAATTATGTTTATTACAGACGAATGTTCGATCTAAGTCGAATGTCATCTATAACACGTGTCTGCCAGTTATATTTGGGGTTAAGAAGTATGCTGATGCATTGCTGAAGGTTGTCGAACGGAAGCAAATCAAGGTCAACTACAGAACCGTGCTCAAGGAAGTACACCATGATAGAAAGGAGGCTGTATTCGTCAATGCTGATGATAAGACGAAGGTATGTATATGTTGTATTACATAATTACTAGCAGTGTCCGCTTTGATGTATAAGTTATTTACCGTAAAGTTTCATCAAAATCTGTTCAGTAGTTTTTGCGTGAAAGATTAACAAATCTATCCATACTCACAAACTTTCTCGTTTATAATATTATTAAGAATTAAGATGTATATTGGTTTTGTTTTTGAAATTTTAGTACATTTTTTTAATTGTGGCCAATATTATCTCTGGTGAATATTTTTTATCAATCGCAGTTAACAAAATCTGTTTTTAATGTGACGCGGTCATTATTTACACGTACAATTTAGGAAAATCATGGGATATTAGCACGTTTTATTATTTTTTATTGCATTCTCAATATTTCGGCAGTGTTTCAACCGACATGATCATGGGAACTTAATAATAATAAATAAAACGTCATAAGATCCCGTGATTTCTCCTAATTATACATATAAAAAATATCATATGAAATATATACAAATTAAATGACATAAATATAATTTTATTTAATTGTATCACAAGGAAACCACGATGCAATACAACTTGCTTCACGTGGCGGGGTACCGTGTGTCGACAAGTACATGAAGATATACGCCGGAGTTCCTCAATTACTACCGTGGCGCTAAAGTGACTACAACGCCATTTTTTTTTTTTATACCACTTAGCATCGTCGACCATCTGATGGTAAATGGCTACCGTAGCCTGTGTGTCGACAATATACAAAACCCCCATGCTGTAGTCTCGTCGGCAGGTAGTTCATGCAGCACATAAAGTACCCCAACATATACGGCATCGGCGACTGTACCAACACGAAGTCTCGCCTCAAGCTAAGTGGTTCGATACCGTTAGAGAGATTGGGATCATCGACAATTCTCATAGCAGCAAGACAGCCGCAGCTGTTGGTAAGTTTTAGTGTCAATTACTACCGTTCGCCATCGTGCCTCGCTAAAGTGACTATAACGCCATCTAGTTTTTGAGTGAGATAACGACCATAGTATATTTTTAATTAATCGTTTAACATCATTTGTTTCGGGGAGAGAACAGAGCCTTGCGGGACGCCAGCGTTAATGTCCATAGCTATTGGAGCAACCAATTCAAACGGGGATCGAAAATAGGACGATCGAATGCCTGAGCCGAGGTTCGAACCCCTGTGTGGTGCCCAGTTGAGCGATTATGGCGAAAGCCATATTGACGACTAAAGTCGTATCCGTCAGGAGCTGTGTATTAATTACACGCTCCATCACCTTGGAGAGAGCAAAGATGCGATAGCGATAGGCCTGTAGTTTGATGGGTTTGACCTGTCGCCCTCCATAAGTCCTTCCGACGGGAAATTGGAGTGCCGAAGAGGCTGCACTCGCACTTGTTGACGTCGAGAGACCTAACGTCCAAAAAGGTGCACAACAAATCGCTGTATGTGCCAAGTTATCATCCGGCTTCCGTAGCTGGTAAGGACGACTGACTAAAATTACCTTCGGCAGCCTTAGCAAGGGACCAAAAGGCTCGACTTCCAGAAGGATGACGGGCTAATCGCTCCCCAATTTTGCTGACGAAGTCGAATTTGGCTCTAGCAATTACTCTTTTACTAAACCTGCCAACATTAAATTCCGAGTAGTCCGAAAAAAAATAAAACATTTGTACTTATAAGCTTGAAGAAAAAATATAAATATTGAAGATTAAATCTAATAATAATTATGATATAAAATGTATATTCTAGAAATTTGATGTAGTCATGTTTATTTTTGAGATTAAGACATAAGTTCTGATTTGACCGTAACAATCCTACCTAATAATAATCATGATAGTAATATCCCTGGACAGTATACACAGCGCCATCTAGTCCCAAGCTGAGTAGCTATTTTTTTGTATCTATATACATAATATTCATGGAAAAAACTGAAATCATTACAAACAATCATACTTATGAATACAAATGCACTGTGCGAGGAATCTAATCTGCAACCATCAGAAATGAATCGACGTGCTAAACCGCTAGACCACCAAGACATTATCATATATGTATCATTAACTCCACTTTCAGCGAAACACAACACTATTTGTGCTGCTTGGTGGACGTACAAGATGTATCAAAATACATCAAGCTATGCCCTCCCTTCGAAATCTAGTTTTTGAGTGAGATAACGACCATAGTATATTTTTAATTAATTTATATCATTTGTTTCCCCATCCAATTCAAACGGGGATCGAAAATACGACGGCCTGAGCCGAGGTTCGAACCCCTAGTGGTGCATCAAACGGGGATCAAAAATACGCTAAGTACGATGCAGAAGGACAGCCCTAAAGAGAAGAAATATAAATATTGTACAACGGATGTAGTCATGTTTATTTTTGAGATTAAGACATAAGTTCTGATTTGACCGTAACAATCCTACCTAATAATAATCATGGTCTAGCGTGTCCGCTGCTCACTTCGTACAGCACGTGCATACTGGCGGAGTTCTTATATGACGGCGTGCCAAGGGAAACACTACCATTTGACCAGGTAATAAGGCACAATTTTAGTTACACTAATTATTGTATGTAGTCATTAATAATATAGAGATAATATATAATATAATCTGAATACAGTTCGGCCAGTTCTAATTTGACTGACACTAAATCTATTTGTATTAATGAGCATACAAAATATTCACTATGACGTTGACAATTGACAATGCCACACTGGTCAGAGAACTAGATACTAGATAATTCGGACCCTTCTGGGTGGGTGAAGGTTGTGGCCTCGAGGCGAACTCCTTTGCCCCGTCATCAACTCCAGGGGCAATAACCTCCGGGTAGCTGGATTTAAGAAGTAGTACCATATTTGGGGACTAATTTTTGAAGTTTTTACAATACCTCGTTGTATACGGTATATTTATTTTATATATAAATGTTTCCAGGCGAGGGAGAGCACGTTAGCTTTCTACATGAAAAAGGATCTATTCCCTTTCCTGTATTGGAACCTAATGCTGAAAGGATACTACCACGGTCCAGAGTTCATAAGGAAAATCATCAATCCATTCGCTAAGTAGAGCGAATGAAAATGGTAACATATTTATCCGGAGTAAGCGATATTCTTCGATGGAATTAAGATATAATGACAACGTATCTGTCCCACTGCTGGGCATGAACAATTGTTGGGTAAAAATGAATGGGATACCTTGTGTAAAAAATAAATTCAATTACAAACCATGTTTTTGTTTTAAACATGTCGCATGTGTAATTATACTGCAGTAGAAGATAAGTCCTATTTAGCATTTGTGCCTGGATGACAAATTTTTTTTTGTAGCGTTCTCAATGTGTAATCTTTCCAAATCGTTTGGGTGGTTTCTAATATATACATATACCTATGATATAAATATAATACAATATGTTAGAAGTATTTAATTGTATAAGATCGATAATTCTAATTCTCATTTATTCATTAATATTCATTATAGACAAGAAATACGATTTTCGTACAATTAGATATATGTCATCTCAAAAGGTCATCTCGATCGATGAACCATGTGATAATGAACCTAAAGAGGTTATTAATACTAAATAAATTATATTTCAATGAATTAACAAATTTATTTGCAATTTGGAAGTGAAATATAAAGAAATGATCTCTCATAAATCTGTATTTAATCGAGTTAGCAACTAGTTTAAATGAAATCGAAATGTTTTAACTCTATCTACGTTATAAAAGTTTAATCTCTTACTCATAAAAAACTATGATCTTAAAAATCCAACTGTAATTATTCCAATGATTAAGAAAATTATATTAACATAGATTTATACATATCAATATAAAATTTTGTAAAAAGTGTAAAGGAAATTAAATAAAATGTGAGAGAACGTTATATCCGTGGTGCTATCATGTTTAATAGTGACTGTTAATATGTAAATAAATTTCAATAGTAACTATATATTTATTAGATTTCTAACGTTTTATAAATAGTAGGGTTTTTTACCGTAAAATATTTAAAAAAATATAATTACAAATGTAAAAGTCTATACAGATATTTGTCACTAAAATATCCAAATGTGTGCTTTAAATGTATTTTGTTTGTTGTCATGCTTAAAGCTTATTTGATGGATGATAGGATGAGAATGAAAAGATAAGCTCAACGTGATGAATTCACCAGTAATTAAACATCACGGGTTACCAGGGAGATTACATGGAGATTTCTAGCAATGGGGCCTATAGGCCCCATAGTGACAAGCCGCTCCCTCCCCTCTCATTTATATATTTTGTGATATTAATGCTCATGATTAATCATATTTGTGAATAATGAAATTATACAAGTGGTTTTTTTACACATTTAGTAAGTTTTTTTGTTGACTGTTTGATATTCTGTTCGATACTTTAATTAATCGTTATACAAAGATTTTTTTTATATATTTGTATTGACTAAGTTGTTCAAAGTGATAATGGTTGTTTACAGATATTCATGTATATACAGATATCTTTGTTGTTATGCACTGAAAAATATATTATTTATTTCACAAAATAATTGTATTTTTAATTTATTGATTGTATGCTGTTGAAGTGGGAGCGAGAGGTATCTCTCTACAATCTTCTGAAAGATTTTAGCCTTAGAACTGCAGTAAGTTCTACACTAGAACGTGTATCTAAAGCTGCATTAGCAGGTTCTTACCAGATTTGGCTGGGTAGGGAGAGAAACACGAGAGGTCAACGTGAGTTTTGACGTACTTTACGTACGTACGTAAGGGGCCCTTAATTCTACACACGGGTTACACGTCCCGGGAACTGCTCATAGTTTTCCTTTCTGCCACACAATGGATTCGGCACCCGCGTGGTGAATCCATGGAATGTTAAGAAGTTCGTCTCAATATTCCAAAGTAGTCTTTTAAGTGGTTTACATAGGGTTACTTTTTGTTTATCCCGGTCATGCAAATTGTCTCGTAACTTGAATAAGTCAAGTTATATAATAATTCTAATACTTACTTAGGTAAGGTCCGGTACAGTATCGCGTGATTGTGGTTGCTAGTATTAATAATACTAGTTCTTAAGAAATTACAGAATAAAATATAAAAAAGGTTTTAAACGCTTACGCATTTTTTTAAATATCTAGTAACCGAAATATAGTTTATAGTTTTGTATATTGCCACTTCCGTCCCATGTTTTTTCATAAGTGATCCATACTGAAGATAGGTATAAGATACAGCTTTTGTATAAGTTCCAAACATCAAATCACGAATTTGGTATAGAATTCAAAATTGCAGTATAATTTCTGGGTAGAATATTAAATCCAGTTGGTCATTACAGTCATCACTCAAATGAAAGTCATAAAATAATGACCGTTTCAATAAAGTGGATAAATTCTTGTGTTAAAACAAATGGGGATTATTTTTAATAATCTGAGACATTGTGGCAGAACCCTACGTTACTACAGTAATGTGGTTCCGTGTACAAATGAATACAAGTGCGTATTTACTGTTATCGTCATACGGTTAAAAGCGGATATTTCTCTATTAGATGGGTTTTTCCGTTTATGTTACACAATACGTGAGACTCAGCCGGATTTTTAGGATTCTAAAAAATCATCTAAAAATTATTGTAGTATAGTTTTGATTAGAAAGTAATCATCATAATCGAGTCAACAATTAGAGGAATGGTTATGCCATATATGTCGTCGCCCGCCATGCAACGCCCACTCAAAACCCGAAGCGTTTTCATTGTAGAAAACATAATGTATAATACAGAGAGCATTCCGTAATTTAACTAACATACGATGTAGGTGCCATTCAATGTGTTTTAACCGATCCTTCAGATAGTGCTGCAAAAGCAATTACGTCACTGGTGCAGTGATTTAGTTATTAGTTTTAGGGTACAATGGGACTGGCATATGTTATGACTCCCGGATTTCCGAGAATAGTGGGGCATACGAGTAGCCCGCGGACGGATCTGTAGTCTTATTGGTACAAAATCCCTAAATTTCAAAGATATAAAAAAGACTGACATACTCTTATATACATAGAAAACACCCAGACCGTTACAAACAATCATACTCATGATTATAAATGTTTGCACCGTGCTAGGCACAAGAAATCGAATCCGCGACCATCGGAAGTAAAGCGGTGAGCTAAATCGCTAGACCACCGAGGTCATCAATATTTAAGGTTTTAGATTTTAACTTGGGTATATCAGTGAAAACCGTACACATATCGCTGAAGCCGTTTATGATATTAGCGCGCACAAACGCACAGACCAACGCATAAATTGTAACCATAATTGTTTTGCTCATATATATTCTATGAAATCAGTATGATTTTCCTTAGTTTTTACCTTTAGATGTAAATTACTGGTTGTCGGCGGCGGGACGGCGGGATGCAGCGTCGCATGGAGGTTCTCTAGAAAGTTATACAACGACGATATCATTGTACTGGAACCTTCTAAGGCACGTATATATTTATTATAAGTATTTATTCCTTTATACATATACACAAACGCGCGCGCGCATTTGCTAGGGACACTATCACAAAGCTGTCTCTTCTCGTTATGAAAACAACTGACATAATTTTCAATGCAGCTGTCTTTAGTGGACTGTATTTTACTACAATAGGATTTGGTTTCCGGTTCAGTTTCAGCAAGGCTTCCCAGAACTTCGGGCTTGTCCGAACTTACCTTTTATACGGGTTACCTGTTTACCGCCAAAACCGACGATAGGTCCTCTCCAGTATCAACTCTTGCGTTCTTCTATTGTTTCGTAAATAAACTAATAATATTCACGAATTTAGTAAACAAATCTGTATAAAATATCGACAATTACATGATTGATGATGAAACGACTCCCACCCTCGTAATCTTTTTATTTTATTTTTTTATATTTTACGGCATTGGATATCGCAATAGTGTTACCGCGCGCATTATTGTAAATAGTAAACACATACAACTATAAATGTAAAAGTATGTCCGTCTGTTACCTTGTCACGACGAAACTACTGAATGAATGTTAATGAATGAATGAATGAATTTGTTGTGAATATAGACTGTATCATGAGGAGTCATATGGCTATATTTTATCTTAAAAGCGTCCACAGTTGGCGAGCTGACGCCAACATCCGATTCGAAGGACCATTGAATGTGTCCTGGATAACAAATGAAATGACAATTGGTGTACTTAATATGAAGTAAATTTAAAATAGTAAGTTTATTAAGTAGGCCGTTAGGTATTGGTGCTGGTCGGACAAGAAGTGGCCGGTGTCTGTCGCCGCAATGGCATTGCGTAAACAAGCAAGTTGGACATAAATATGTCGACTCATGATGTAATATTAAATAATATTACCAGGTTCACTATTACCAACCACTGTTTACATTGATTGCGGCCGGAATTCGACAATATGGACAATGTCAAAGACCAACGAAGTCTGTTTTGCCGCCCCGTGTGCGGTGGCTCGAAGATTGTGCAGAGGATTTTGATCCTTGTAACTGTATTGTACATACGAAAAACGGACATAAAATACGATACAAGTACATGGTTATTGGCGTTGGGTTGAAGAATGATTATCATAAGGTAAAATAAGATATCTTTCAATCATAATAATTGTAGGGCAAAAGTTAAAGAATTAAGTTACGTCAGACTTTTTAAGGTATAATAATGGAAGGCTCTCACCTGCGCTATCGGTACATTTTTTATTTTAATTTATGTAGGTAACTTATACATATATCTGTACCTTAAAGATTAATATATATAGAAATTATACATAGAACTACATATACCTATGCTGGCGGGCCAACAGTGAAGGATTACAAGATGAGAATGAAGGCAGGTTAGTTAGCCCATAGTCCAATTTATTTTCAAAGAACGAATTTTTATCCGTTATCTCAATATCAACTCAGTTGAGTCGATATTTTACAGATTTACTTTACTCCAAACTACATACCTATTTTGATTACGATTCTAATCCAACGATTTACGCAAAGTAGGTAATTGTGTATATATCGATTACAATATTAGTTTTATTCATTGACAATGATATATCGTAACAGTGTAAATAGGTTGTTAATGTATATCTAATTTTAAAGTACATAGGTAGGTTAATTATGCAGTTTTTAACTGGGTAAACTTCTCAACCGAACGTTTTCGAAACGGAATTTGCTTCGACAGTAGACTCGCTGGTTATTTCTTATTTAGATTCCAGGTCTAGTGCGTGCATTGAACTATCACAACAGTGGTGTCTCCACAATCTATTCCCCGGCGCACTGCGTCAAAACATGGTGCTGCCTTAGCCGATTCAAAGGTGGGCACGCAATCTTCACATTTCCCAACTCCGGTACCAAGTGTTCAGGGGCTGCACAAAAGATTATGTACCTGGCTGACGATTATTGGAGACAGGTGAGCATGAGTACACAGTAACACTCTTAATATCCTCCATATTTTGCTATTTCTGACGATTAAGATAAGTTTGTACTCACATAGCAAATTCTTTATCTTTAATTCCAAACAACACGTAAAGCATTCCAAACAATGAAATAAAAATCATCAAACAGAAACTAAAATCGAATGGGAATCAGAAATCTAAATGGGATATCAGACATAAATAAAAAATGTGTAGTTACAATAAAACAACTGTAATTAAATCTTCAATTAAGAACCCTGTAATTTCAGCATAATATTCGCCACCTAACCAACATCACGTACAATACTGGCGGTGAAGCTATATTTGGTGTGTCCAAGTATGCCGACGCACTGACTAAGGTAGCTGGATGTAGGAATATCACAGTCAATTGCTGTACCAACTTAGTAGAAGTCTCGGAAGATGGAGCTGTGTTCGAGAATTTGGCGGGAAAGGTAACGTACCACAGATAAAATAATATTACACACTGTTACAGATAAGATAATATTACGTACTGTATATAACAGTACCTATGTAATATTATTTTATCTGTGGTAAGAGTTACGACGATTTTTTTTTAATTTATAATCATCATAAATTTTTCATCACACACGATAAGTATTGGGGTTTTTTAATGGGCGATAATGGAATGGTACTTCCTACTGTTCTAGCGATGTATAGATACACGGTGGCGGGATCTCACTGGAGAATGATATGATGTGGATGATGCCAGGTTTCGTATGTAGGTGATTGTTAGCTAGCTGATTGTTAAGAAAGAGGAAAGTGATCTTATTGCTAGCAATGTATCAGGTCGACTTTCAAGCGGTCCCCTTGAAGAATTCCATGTTATGGACAATTTCTGGTAAATTCGCCACGATGGGCAATGGGACATGACTTCTGCATTATTCTTCACTAGGCGCCAGCGTATACCGTTAGCGGAGGCGGGCATCATTACATTATTAAACGGTCCTTTCCCCCCTAGAGTGAAAGATTAGGTTATACCAGCAAGTTATTTCGAGGTTTGCTTCTCATTTAGGTATCTTTTTTCCTATTCGTCTATAAATAAAACAGTTCTGGTGACGCATCACACGTAAACATAATAATATCATGAAAATACACTTTCTTATCAAATTCTGAAAATTGACATTGTATAATGACGCATTATACATACATCTAGGTATTCCTCATTCATAAAAACTACAAACATACATCACAAATGTTTGTTTCAGTTCTACAAAACTATTCTAGGTATTGAAATGCGTTGCCCTCCTGCTGTCCAGTAGTTGTAATGGATTTTGTACATGAGGTTTTTTATCATCGGACATACTCATGAACGAGTGCTGCTTATTGGGACTGGTCTGCTCTAATCAATACGCCTGATTTACTCAAATTGATTTACTCAATCAATTGGTTATTGTGACTCTAATGTATTAATTAACTAGTTGGTAATTTGTATTTATTAACTCAACTGAATAATGTAATATTACATCTAAATTCTTTAAAAGAGCAACACGCAAGTTTCTTACTCATTCTTCTTATGATAAGAGAACTTTCCTAATGAGATTAGATTGAAAAATAAATGAGATGACTATTCAAAAGTGCTTCAATGTAAGTTTATTTAAATGAATTATTTTCTGTTCTACTCTATTATTATAATTTAGGAACTCCTTTATTTTATAATAAGCGTTTTTTATAAAGAAATATTTTTGAAACAATTCAGAGTATAACCCTGCCGTACAACCTGCTCCACGTAACACCCCCTATGTCGCCGCCAGCGTGCCTGATGCGGTGTGAAGACCTGATCACGGAGAAGGGTTACTTAGATGTCGACAAGTACACTTTGCAGCACACCAAGTATGCTAACATTTACGGCGTCGGCGACTGTGCCAATACGCCTAATAGTAAAACTGCAGCCGCTGTTGGTAAGTCAATAACAATAATATTCAATTCAAAATATCTTTATTCATGTAGGATGTTCGGAAGTATGATGATCTGGAGCTGATACTTGTTACGTATTTTGTGACGTAGTTTATGTGTATAGCTTATGATTCTCTCTTTCCATACCGCATTTTAGGGTCTATAAGTCAAAATAAATTTAGTGCTAACTTCTTGGTAAAGTTATTAATTTTAATTCTTAATCTTACTAAAACCACTGGTAAGATAATATTACACATATACTGTAACAATAAGCGTTAATATATAAGTTACTTGAATATGTTCAAAGCCGGTCAAAGCCACGTCGTGGAGCTTAACTTGCTTAATACAATGGAGGGCAAGGAACTGACGGCCAGATACAACGGGTATGGAGCTTGTCCCATGCTCACTTCCTACAACACGGGGATACTAGCAGAATTCCTCTATGACAGGAGACTGTGCGAGACGTTCCCTTTCGATCAGGTAATATTTATCCTGCCCGGTAAAGAAACCCCATCTAACCAGTCCAACTGAGTCTTTAAATCGTCTAGAAACTAATTGAAGAGAAGAGAATAAATTATTAATATTAATATTTCTTCTTTAAGTTTCATTCCTATTGGATGTTGGTTAACATTATGGCTTTATTTGAAGTTGGGCTACAGCACCAAACTTTAGCTAAGAATGTCCCTTTCTGCCGGGACTTTTTTTTTCCAATCTTCTCCTTCATGATCAGCTGAAGAAAATATATATGTATATATATATATATATATATAAATATATTAGAAATATATTTAAGTATTCTTGTAAGTTGTCTAGTACCTTCTTGGGACTAGCTGGCGCTGTGTGAATTGTCCTAAGTTATTATTACTATAAATTCAATATCAGTCAGGCCGTAAGCATGTCTGTCTGTCTGTTCATTAGTTACATAAAAATAAATACAACTACTACTCGCCTCGACTACTACATTTTTATTTATTTATTTGAGCGACTAACAAGACATCCACACATTTATATACAAAGTTACAAGAAGTTCTCGTCGATTGCATTAAGAAGTAGACGTGTCGCATTTTATTTTTTTATTCGTAAATTTTAAAATATATTTCAGAGCAAAGAACGTCGATTATTCTACTACATGAAGAAGCATTTATTCCCATTTCTTTATTGGAACAGACTGATAAAAGGCAAATGGGACGGACCCGCCGCACTACGTAAGATGATAAACCCATTCGGACGATGATAATTAAACAAAATGAGAAAATAGAAAAATATTTATATTTATATTAAATTACTCTATAACATATTTTCTTAAAACTAAACTATATTTACACAAGTTATATAAATTTTATTAGGAATCCTCTGATGTATTCAATTAATTTTTAAACAGTACAATAAAAAAAACTTAATAAATACATTTTCACTTTTAATTTACAATTTGGTAATTAAACACTTAACTTTTTAAAAAGTTACTGCATAATGTCGGTCATTTTGTAATTTGAGTGTCATGTCATTTTTTTCTATTTGTTGCAATAATATGTTATTCTATCACTCATATTTCTAGCGGTTTAGCACACCGCCTTTTTACTTGTCGCGGGTTCAATTCTCGCACGATAAAAACATTTGTATTCATTATTATTAATGTATTGGTCTGTTGTTTTATGTATATTATCTGTGTGTACAAAAAATGTAAATTGTCCAAGGATTTTTTATTATAATAATAAATAATGACTATACAACATAAAAGTATTTATATGATACAATTAGGTAACTTCTTATTGAATTTTGTGTATATATCCATACACACAATTTTGGAAATTTAAATCTATCATAGGTAGTAACAATTAAAATAAATAATATTCAAATATTATATAATAATGTCAATTTTCCAATAACATGGAAGTTCTATGTGTTAATATTTACCATAAAAAGAATAGCTTTCGCTAGAAATCTACTATTATTATTTTTACTAAAATTTATATAAGGATGGATGTTTGTTGTTCTTTTACGCAAAAACTACTGGACGGATTCGATTAAAGTTTGGTACTCAGATAGACCATATCCTATATTAACACATAGGATACTTTTAACTCGAATTCACGCGATCAACGCCGCGGGAGATGGCTAGTTAAATAAATAAAGTTTGTTTCATATTTCACGCTTTATTCATGGGGTACATTTGTTCCTTATCAATACCATTGAAGTATTTAATATCGGATGCTTTCTGTCGTTTCCGGTGCTTGGTGGCTTGCTGCATTTTGATTTTTTGTCTCGTTTTCACTAAGTACACTATCAGTGCGATAGCAACGAACAGTGATACAATGATAGAAACAGATAGCACTATGGTCATTGTAGTCACTTTAGGGAAATATTCTTCTGCCGATGCTTCTACCTGTGAAGGAATTAAAATACGTTTAAAACAACTCATAATGGTTGTAGATGGTAAGTAGTAAATTCGTTACTTTTTAAGCTAGAACGATGTAACTTTTTTATTTGGCATTTATTGTTAGATTACTGAATATATTTTATTATTTGGTCAAGGTCACATATTACGCAGACGAAGTTGCAGGTACAGCTCGTAATACATATAGGTATATTTACTGGATTTTTGTACAATTATATACGTTATATAAGCAGAAGAAGGAAACAAGAGTGGACTGGACAGTGCAAGATGGGATGGGAAGAAAGGAATCATCTTGATATTCACTATATCAAGATAACTGCGAACAGGGATGAATATAAGAGTAAAACATTATGCCGACCGCAAATGTATGGAATAAAGAAGATGCAGATAGTGGATGCGCATAACGCAAGACAGAAAAATGTGACGCTATATAAAATTCCCCCGACTTGGAATGGGAGTAATTCTTAATTAAAAAACAAGAAAATATACCTCATCTCACTCGCTGATATAATTAATATGTTCTACAAATCAGATTCCAGTAATCAGAGTTTTGTGACAAAAATGAGAATATTAGAAATCAAACTGTATATATATAGAACAGTTTTCACTAGTACATAAAATAAATATGACAAATAAAAAAAAATATTGCGAATATTTAGGGGGCCTAATCTTATTAATATTATAAACGCGAAATTTTGTGAGTATGGATGGATGTTTTGGTACTATTTCACGTAAAAACTACTGAACGGATTTTTGCCGAACTTTACAGTAATATAAACTTATATATTAGAATAACATATAGGCTATAAATTTCACGCGGATGAAATCGCGGGCACAGCTAGTATTTGAATGCTTTTGATTGGCCTAACATCCCCGATGGTTAAAATATACAACTTACAGCCGTATATTAATATAATTTGTAATTAGAGTAGAATAGAATAGAAAATCATTTATTCAAATAAACTTACATTGAAGCACTTTTGAATAGTCATAACATTTTTTTTAATCTACCGCTCATTCGGAATGCTGTTTCATCAGAAGAAAAACAAGCAAGAAACTTGTGTGTTGCTCTTTTAAATAATGTATTCTTACTTAAAATTTAAGTTTCGGTGTGTGAATACAAACCACCGATTAGCACTAATTCAATGAAATAATAAAATAGAAAAAACATTCAATACACAACAACTGGTTAAACAATTAATAAGAGAAAATAAGTCATAGTGATTAGAGCAGACCAGTCCACACAAGCAGCACCCGTTCACGAGTATGACGGATGAGCCAGCCACCACTGCGCTCGACCATATTTTAGGGAGCCCAGTGACCCACCCACCACGCCGCCACAAGTCTGCACATTTTCGTGAGCATGACTACTCAAAACACCAGACCACGTCATAGCTACTCACAATTGACATCTGATGGTTGTCAATTGTCATTTACTGCCAGAGAGTTAGTTAGCAAACAATTACTTTGTGTTAGTCTGATCGTTAATTGATAGGTACATACCATGAAGGTATCGTGAGGTCCTGACCTCTGGTACACGTCATTGCAGAGCGGCTCTTCTGTCCAGTTATACCAATGCACGAGTCGTAGACCCTTAAAACCCTGCGGGGAGCCGCACCTGTATATACACGTTTTTTATGTAATTGAAATGCCAAACAAGATGACGGCCCACCTGATGGTAAGCGGTCATCACATCGTCATGTAAGGGTCGTGATACCAATCAAGCGATGCCATTCCAGGATTAATATGTAATTGGAATGACAAGCTAACGGCCCACTTGATGTTAAGCGGTCATCACATTATCATGTAAGGCTCGTGTTACCATCCAAGCAGTCATCACATTATCATGTAAGACTCGTGTTACCACTCAAGTGTTACCATTCCAGGATTATTCTGTAATTGGAATGGCAAGCTAACGGCCCACCTGATGGTAAGCGATAACCATCGCCTACATACTAATAACACTACGGACATCACGTTATCATATCCTGGAGCAGTCATCAACAACGAAAACAAATCCTCGGAACGGTGAGGACGCACCATGAAGCCTGCGAAGACACCAGGAGTCTTCTGCACTTTTGGGAGGAGCTTGGCTGGCTACTTTAGTAGTCTGGCTCTGCACGCACAACGGCCCGAATGAGAGGCTAATTGCGGAGAATGGAGTCCAACATACAATACAATACAATACAATACCATCACGTTATCATGGCTCGTGATACTATCTATGCGTTGTCATTCCAGAGCACTAACATTTCATGTATATTATTCTGTAATTTCATTGCCTAATATCATGCTACAACAGAAATACAGCAAACGTTTTTTTACAAAGTCTGTAACGGTATTATGCACAATATATAGGTAGAATATTTTTAAATCTATCTTTATTATATTTAACCGAGATAGACTTTTATTTTTTTATTCTTTTGTACAAAATTAACAATGTGGACGACTCTGCCCGTCAATTATGGCGATGATGAGAGAACATAGATCAGAGGCGATGCAATTTAATCATAGAAATTAAGGTATATAAACAGATGACTAAAGAAAAATAATATACAACTTTGTAACAGGTCTTCTGGAGACAGAGGTACCTACAAAGCTATGTTTCCATTTACCGTGACAAAAAAATTTATAAATAAAATCAGTCCAAGCGTTTAGATTTTCAATCATATACATATATATGGACAAAAGAAATATACATTACATAGTATATGTATAAAAAATATTTTATTAGATACTTCTATATAACTATTTACGTTAGTGAATTTCTCTTCATCACATTACCTCATATCCAATAGCAGCGTTGGATATTTGTCATACATTCTCGCCAGCAGTTCATCCAGCATCCACTCTAAGGAACAATTACAATGCCAAGGGTTCATCTGCAGATTGACGCCTTCCGACACGGAGGACCAGTCGAGTAAGTCTCTTGGTATATTTGTTAGGTTATTCTTACTTATGTCCAACTGGAAAAAGAGAGACGAAAATAAAACTTCTTAGCATTCTATGGATTCATGATGTGCCGGGTCAAACGTGTGGCAGAGAGGGAAACTCCGAGCTGTTCCCGGGTGTAAGTTTTAGTCCCTAAAATTTACCCCTGGGAACTGCTCGGAGTTTGCCGACGTACATCAACACTCACTTTCACCGCTCGTGTTTCTTTCCCTGCCCAGCCAAATTTAGTAGTAGTAGTAGAACTTGCTAATGTAGCTTTTGATACACTTACTGCAGTTCTAGACAGGCAGATCTTTTAGAAGATTGTAGAGAGATTTCGCAAAAATAAAAATAATATTGCCGTATTTTTAGACGATAATGGAATGGATATGGTATACGCTGGAGGGGCGTCAGTATAGGATGATGAGACAAAGTCTGTTGATTAGCCCATCACCATCATTACCAGCAATCCCGTTCCCTAATATTAATAATAATAATAATAACCATGGACTACCATCAATTCCCAAACTAAGTAGACCTTATATACTAGACAACTGGTATAGATACTTAGATACATTTTTCTTTGTAAATTCATAGACACAGACCGATACAAATATTTGTATTCATGACAAATGTTTGACGCGAGCGAGGAATTGAACCCGTGATTATAAGGAAGAAAGTAAGGCGGTATCTAAACGGCTAGACAATCGAGGCTCTCAATTGATTTCATAGACACTTACCATGCATAAAGATGTCCCATCGAAAGCACCAGTTCTGATTTCCTGTAATGATTTACAATTGCTCAAGTAAAGCGAGAAGCATCTTGAGCCCACAACGGTTGTCTCCTGACCGTTCATTACAATATCTTCCCTGCCCATTACGTTACTGAACGACTTATCTTCCACCACTGTCAGACTTTCCAAGTCGTTCATAAGTAAAGTCTTCAAAGCTATAATATTCTTAAAATAAATACTGCGTATAGGGTTGCCATCCAACCGAAGCGTTTTCAAATTTGGAAATATTTCACTGTTAAGAGTTCTTGGTATATCTACGATCATGTTATATGCGAGGTCCAAGTTTAATAAACTCGGCATTTTCTTTTGTATATTCAAATCTGATATTTGGTTTCCACTGATGTCTAGAATCTAGAAGAAAAATAAGAATAACTTTTATTTCAAAAACTTACTACTAAGGTTAAGTTTATCAATGACCCCACACTAGACAATGCCTGTATCGTGGAATGAAAAAATAAAGATTTTTTTTATTCTGCACTTCGGAACATAGATACAATATCATATTTCTAAGTTTATACTTTGTGTAATTTTTCCCTTTTGCATATTTTGCTAACTCCGTAGCCTCCAATAATCTTATCATTGATATTTGATACCTCAGCTTCAATATCTTCACGACTATTGTCCGAGGTGGTTAGTCAGAGTTCTTGTCAAACCACGACATCTATGTCGTGATAACAATACTTGACTTCTCTGTAGTTTATTTAAATACAAACTGGCCACCAGACAACCGTAGTCACTCAGATTAAGTTTGGTTTGTTAACAGTACTGGCCCCAAATAAGGGGATAAAGGCAAGGTAATGATGCTGATGCTATCAGTATCAGTATTTTTATCACCTTACAGTCAGTCAGAGATAAACATAAATTGGCACAAAATTTTTCGGTGTCGCCCACAATTGAACTCACGATCTTTTTGGTTTAAGTAGTACTAGTAACCATTAGACCACAACAGTATCAAACATTAAATAAGCTACGATTAAGAAACTCACCTCCAAATTTTGGAAATCTGAACTATCGTCGTCATATATATCAGACAGCCGATTATTAGATAAATCGATCAGCTTTATTCCAACTGGGAATTGCGGCCACTGGTACAGACTATTATATTTCATTATCACAATCTGAACTGAACGAGGTAGTTCAAAAACAAACGCTATGTTGTTGTTAGCAAGATTCAATTCTTGAAGATTACCGCACTTTGCGATTGCAAATTCGTCAATTGTCCCTATTTGATTATATGACAGATCTAACAGCTCACTGAAATATATAACAAGACGGTAAAAATTTCGTTCAATATGATAAAAATAATATAAAAATCACGGCTATTTTACCAATTGGCTAGTCAGAGGTATGATGTGTATGCCAGAAAATTTGAACTCTAAACCAATCTAAGTTGTGAATAGTAAACTATTAGGCTATGACGCTCTCTATAAATGAATACACTAATATCAAGCATTGAGGAGAAAGCGGGTGGTTAATATATACCATGGGAGGAAGAAGTTAACAATAGGCCAACCCTACGATGTATTCCCTGTAACCATCGTGGTAAATTCGAGGTTTCTAACTAAACTGACTTTATCCTCGTCCTATCGGCCTATACCTTTGCTCCGTCAACGTACACCATTAGTGCTGGCGGGTGAACAATTTCTCATCCATACTCGTACATATAAATAAATGTTTATGTTATACTTACATGTTATTATCAGATGCAAACGAATATTTGGAAATATAATTTATTTTGTTATTGCCCAAAAAAACACGTTTTAATCCTTTGAATGCTTCACCATCGCTTCGGAGCGTTAACTCTCCACTAATACTGTTTCTGCTCAGGTCTAGTTCTTCCAATGCGGCCAGACGATTTAACGTTATTATAGGCATCTCAGTTAGAAGATTGCTCTGCAAATTCAACCTTTTCAGCTGCGGTACAAGTATAAAAATATCTGGACCCAGTGCAGCTAATTTATTATATGACAGATCTAGCTCTTCTAAAGTTTCTATTCTAGCGAATAAATCATGTCTAACAATGTTTAGATCGTTTTTGTAGAATGACAATACTTTTAAGTTAGGCACACCGATTAATGGTTCAGGCCAATAGTTCGATATGGTGTTGTCGTCGAAATATAAGGATTCCACTTGAGGATGTGGTGGCAACCTGGAAGTGAGAATTGTAAAATGAAAATTACGACTGAAAAGAACATGGGACATTGATGGCAGTGTTTCATTTAATCCAATAAAAATTATACAAATATGTGAACAATCAATAGTTACTCCAGTTTCTACGACTCAAATCCGCTGGCCTACAGTAGAACTACAGTGAAAAATTATAAATGTAAATGGTGTATTAAGTTTTAAGGTAAAACTGAAATTAAAGTGTGTTCGCTGGTCTCCTTTTTTCATCTTTAATTTCTGTAACTATTATTTTATGCTACAACCTTTCAAAGTCAAAATAAACTCATACCTACTAATGTTATAAATAAGAATGTACCTATATGTAACCATATCGTGCTCAATCCGCTGAATTCGTTTTAATTTGACGTGAAGTTCAAATGTATATCATTGACGTAAATGGCTAACATTTATCTAATAAAAGTATACAAAATCGAGTAGTAACTTGTTATTCATATTATTGCACGAATTTCGTAAAGATTTTGTTTCACTATCACTAACAATTACATTTACTATACATATACCTTACTCTACCATCAAATCAAATCAAAAAAATCATTTATTCAAGTAGAACGTTTTAGCCGTTTATGAACGTCAAATTTATTGTATTATTATTGTTCCCCCATTCCAGTTCAGTATAGAGATATTTTTATATATTAAAAATCTTTTTTTCGCTTCGTCGCTTCCGCTGTCTGTTCGCTTAGATCTTTTGAACTACGCAACCTACTTTCATGCAGTTTTTAGCAATATATCGAGTGATTTGTTGAGATGTTTGTATGAATAATAATTACACGGGTAGCTGTAAAAGGTATCCCTATGTCGATAAGCCGTTATTTAGATCTAGGTTAACCGGATGTAGCAAAGTATAATGACTGTTTCAAGAGGCAAGAGGTGTAATGAAGGTTTGCAAAGTAAACTGCGTATGCCAACATTAATTCAGCACACCATGATTGATGTGACAACTGCGTAAACTGCGCTATTATCATTCCCTACAGATAACATGGCCATTGACCTTACATTGGACCAAAACTGGGTCTTTACTAGAGATTAAAGGAGAAAAATATGCACCTGCTATCTAACCTACATAACTTTGATCCTGTAATTCACTCCTTACTAAATTATTGAGATAAAACATACAGAGATAGGCTCTGCTCTCGTAATATATATATGTGTATTTTCACGTCAAGTTTTATTAAGTTTTGTTAAGTCGTTTAGTTATGTACCTCTACATCACAAAAATCAGATAGACATACGGTTTGGCCATATGTATATATAATAGTACTTTTATGTATATTTAGATGATACCAAGTTCACCGGTTCATCTAGAATTATCTTCTTTTATGTTGACGACCTAGCGGTTTAGTATATCGGTTTACTTCCGATGGTCGAGGGTTCAATACCTCGCACGGTGCAAACATTTGTATTCATGAGTATTATGTATGTATTTACAAAAAAAAACCTCTTAGTAGTTGTTATATATCAGGTGTTTAGTACCCCTAACACAAGCTCTGCTTACCGCAGAACTAGATGGCGGTGTGTTAATTGCTAGACAATTAACACACCGTTATTTATTTTATTTATCTTTACATATAAAATAAATCGTAACGATGCGGGAACTGTCTGTGTGTTTTAATGTTTCAAATAAAAATTGCAGAAAGAATTAAATTAATATATCTATAAGTTGACTGGTACCCATAACACAAGCATCGCTTAGCTTGGGACTAGATGGCGCTGTTCGATTGTCCAGAGATATAATTATTATTATTACCGCATGGTCACAAAGACGTCACAGTAACTGTATGAAATAATTACGAGTACTTGTTGAGTAAGCACTAATCGTAGTGAGGTGACTCCGTCGCTACAGAGTTACTGATAATCTATTTGACGATGAGTGTTCATTGATTTCTTCATATAGGTATGTATTAATGTGCACACCTATACAAAAAAATCAATATATTTTGTTGTTGTTTTTTTTAATAATCTCGGAAATATCACTGCTGGGAGTTGATTTGCTCAATCTGATGATATAATTAAAAAGACGTCGACGACGAGAGATTAAAAGCTGATACAAAACCGAACAGAAGTCATTTTTTATACTGTTGCAGTGCAAATCTAATTGTTTGTTTTTTATTATGAAAACAAAACAGTATTAATCAACAAAGATAATTCGCGCAACGACATCTAGCCATAAGTAGAGCTTGTAGATTTCTATTTATTATACAGACATACACATACATAGTCATGGAAACAAATGTTTCTATTATTCGAGAATAGACTACCTGAGAACCTAGACTGCTGATGCCATCAAGTAGTAAGTAAGCAAGTCTAGCCCTTCAAAACATATCCTGTGTACATAAATAGGTATTTTGTTTTGTTTATGGTGCCAAGTTCGCAGATAAGACACAGATAAATGTACATATCAGTGGAATAGAGGTGCAGGAAAAAATAGACACATATATAAAGCCAATTTAAAACTTTTTTTTTGACTACTCTAATGCTGCTGGCCGTAGCTGCCTTTACAGTTTCACTGGACGGTATGTTCAGTAAATAATATTATTGGCAACTGTTTAATGAAAACAACTGCTAAATCATATTTACTGAGCAAAGCCTATCACGATTACCTGAATGACGAGCACGCATTGCAATAGTTGTTCATGTATGGAACTTTCATTTAATGTTAGATATAGACACCTATATAAATTATACATTGTAAATAAACTGGCTTTATAAAAAAAGTATTTCAATTAAGTTTCTTGCCAGTTCTTCTCAATTGGATCTATATACAGAAAAATTATAATATAAAAAATTTGACGTTCATAAGCGACTAAAATGTCCTATATAAATAAATGATTGTTGAATATGATTTAATTCGAATTTAACTCAAGACAATTCACAAAGCGTTATCTAATCCCAAATTAATCAGAGCTTGTCCTATGATCGGCTACTAAAAAACTGATAGAAAATGAAAACAATGTATTTACATTTATTTGTAAATAATAAAATTAATAAAAAAAACAACTGGACCAATCAAACTCATGAATACAAATGTTAGCCTTGTACTAGTAAAAAACCCGTGACCATGACAAATAAGGCGGTGTGCTAAACCACTAGATCACTGCAGCCGTCAATAAATAAATACAATGAATAGCTACTTACTTCGCCAAGGTTGTGATTCCCAAGCCCTGAAAGTGTGTTGTAATTTTCAGGTTGTGAGGGTTAGGTGGCCATTCGATCTTGTCCAAATCCTCAAACGAATTTGTATTGTCCAATGTAGAGCATAATATATTCAACACAATATTATTATGATTGCCTGCGTTGTCCCGAATTTCGCTACATGTACATACATCTGATAACTTTATTATTCTATTAACTTCACTCTCGCTATCATCGGCAGTTTGAACAGGACTCTCTTGCCCACTTATAGGGTTGGAATATATTAAAAATAACATTATATACACTATGACACTCATTTTTTTCCTGTACTATTTTTATGGCACTATGATACAACTGTACCGGCTTGGTAATCAATGTGGAATGATAAACTGTCTTATCATCTTATCGCTTTATCGGCCTATGTAGGCATACATGTGTATGTTGCTGAAAATGACGTATTCTTCGTAAGCTACAAGACTGGTTGATCCGACTATCTCATTAGATTGTTTGTACCACAGATAGCATTATTACACCAAGAGGCAGCGATCCTTACAGTTGGGCAGCTATATATCCTCAAGGCTGTTATTTCGCATCATAACTCTCCACAACTAACTGATTTGTCATTACACCAGAGAAGACGCAATATAATGATTCCTGGCGTTAGAACTACTTTTGCCAAACGATTTAGCACATACTCGTTCCCGTTCTTATATAAAAAAATTAATGCGCTTTGCAAGTTGGAAAATATTACCAAGATTGAAGCTAAACACAAGGTAAAACATTACCTACAAAAATTAGACTATGATGCCACTGAACAAATTTTAAATAGTATTACGTATTCCTAAAATCCCATTCAATCAATAATTTAATAAGAATGTTAACATGGTGTAATTTGAATAATTTATGGACTATGCACACATATCATCGCAAGAAATATGATGTTGAACTTTAAATTTTCTTTTTGTTCTATTTTATGTTTATTTTGTTTCATTTTTTTTATATAGTCAACAATTGTATTTTTTATGAAATTAATCTAAAAAATCTTAATTAATCTGATATGTATAATAAATTCAATGGTCCAATGTACAATAAATTTTGTAAAATTTGTACGTTATTTGTATAAAGAAAGAATAAAAAGAATAAAGCATAAGTTTGTATTAATCCTGTCAGCTTACATACAGTTTTGTATAACAAGGATTTAACATTCTATGACATTTTTTTCCTTTCGAAGAAAATTAGGGAATAGTAGTGAAACAATGTTACCACAACATCGACAATTCAATTTTGACTCTAGCTACCCCATCTCGGATAAGAGTCGTCCGGTATGTATGTAATACACGTAGTCAAATCACAGAAACAATCATTAGGCAAGAAGCGCTTTTAATTTGAAGGGAAATAGAAAAAATATTTAGTCAATATTAACAAACGCTAATTTTTATCGTATTGCCAAATAAATAATAGTTTCAATTTTAATATTTCAATGATAGTGGTCTAGCGGTTTAGCACACTGCTTTACTATTGTATTCATAAGTATGATTGTTTGTATCCTTCGAGTGTTTTCTATGTATGTATTTAAAAAACAAGAATTAAGTATTTAGATCTGTTGTCTAGTACCCATAACACAAATTCTGTTCAGCTTGGGACTAGATGACGTTTGTGAATTGCCCATGTTTATTATGTTTAGGGTTATGACAAAACATCCGGCACACATAAATATACCATCACAACTATCCTAGATGGGTAGTCAGAGGCATTTTCAACTGTCGACATTATGGCGAACAGAACACTTGACATGTCTTTTCGCTAGTAGGAATAGTTTATTGTTTTGTTACCATCACCCGAGATTTATGAAAATACATTGACACTTACAAATTGGCCACATTCGAAATCTATAAGTTGAATACTAGAGTCTAGAGAAAAGTTCTGCAAATATTGTAGTTCATTTCTCTAAAACTGCACATTCACCTACATACTTAGGTAGTTACACAAAAATGTCGCATAGATTCAAAATTTCACGAACTCTCACAGATAATTTCAGTATATACACAGAATAAATAATCACTATACGGTGGTATAATCTTGTTCTTAAGAATGAGAAATCGCACTAGACTATAAACACATTTTTAAAATTAGAATTAATAACGCCTACACTAAATAATAAAGATCAACACCGAAACATGATTCACTTAAAAACAATCCATTCTAAATTCGAATATGCAGCGCATTTTGGCGCGCTATCCACAAGCGCGGTATGCACTAAACTGCAGTCAGTCGGTAACGTTACACGAACGTGTAACGCGACCGCTGAACCTGCGAACCACAATGGCACCGCAGTAGCGGCATTACACCGACTCGAGTATAATTATATTGTAACCGGACACGCTATAAAATACCATATTAGGTGCATTTTAATAGACACGAAATCTTTTCCCGCGTTATTAATTTAGTTATTCGAGTCTAAACACGAATAAATATTTACCTCTCAAACTGTCATTCCTCAAATTAGTTAGCAGTATAATTATAGTATGTAGTCTCTATTTATCACATAACAGATATGTTGATATAAAATCATTAATAAAGAATTGAATAGAAGCGTTAATAAGATGAAATTAGTTTATTGAGGTGGTAAACATCGTATAAAAAAATATGTTGATTCATCTGCCTGACCTATTTCAGAAGTAGCTTCCTTTGTATGTAGTGTTTATATATATTTTATATTATGTATATCTTTTTTTTATATGTTAGGACAATTCCCACAGTGTCATCTAGTCCCAAGCTAAGCAGAGCTTGTGTTATGGTTACTAGACAACTGATATAAATCTATGTATTTATATCAGTTGTCTAGTAACTAGTAAAGTAGTAGTACTTTTTTTTGTAAATACGTATATAATATATATAGAAAACACCCAGACGGATAGAAATATCATACTCTTGAATACAAATGTTTGTACCGTGCGAAGATTCGAACCCGCGAATTTCGATAGTAAGACGGTGAGCTAACCGTTAAACTGCTACACCACCGTGGCCGTCATTTGATTTTAAATATGAGATATGGCAGTATAATTACTGTGTACAGTGGCATAACACCTTAGTCTGCCGGAATGGCAACGCGTAAGTGGTACAAGGCGTCACGTAATACCTATTGTCATTTACCATCAGATGGGATGTCAATTAGTTTGCCATTCAGCTTATAAGAAAAACATTTAAAATAACGGAGGACGGCGGTTGCCATTTACCATCAGATGGACCGTCAATTAGTTTGCCATTCAGCGTAGAAGAAAAACACTTATTAAAATAACTGAGGACAATGGTTGCCATTTAACATTAGATGGACCGTCAATTAATTTGCCATTCAGCTCCTATGAAAACCTTTTAAAATAACTCTAATTTCCAACAATAGAGTGAATAAAGTGTGCATTTATCAGGGATGTTAGGAGCTCCGTAACCGTAACCGAAACTATCGGATATCCCATATAAAAAATATCCGTAACCGTAACCGAATCCGAAATAAAAGTTTCGGACAATATCGGATAGGGGTGGAGCCTAATTGAGACACGTTATGTAACCATTTTATTAGCTATATATATATATTACTTTTGAAATTCCTAAAAAAAAAATTTAAAACCTGTAAGCGAAATTGTCCGAAACTAACGGATAATCCGAAATAATTTCATATCCCCATCCCTATATCCGAAACCTATCCGTATCCGAAATTTCATATCCATAACATCCCTGGCATTTATGAACAAAACCCGCATTATCTAATGGCACGGTATGTGAGAGAATGTCACACTTGTCTATTTTTGTAGTATTCACATAGTTTGACTGTGGGCGATTAGTTTATCGGCGTTAGTTGATTGCTGTTGAACACGGGTGGCTACTGGCTAAGCTAAAATAATCGGTCTTTACATATAGACATAGGGTCGAATTTAATTTAAAAACTTACATAGGTATTATGTTACGTCCATAGCATGTTACTACAGATTAAAAAAACAAGATTTCTTTTTCACAAATACCATTGTCAGAAATAGAACGCTATTTGAGTATGTTATTAACCAACTTCAAAAATAGAGGGGCTCTATTCAATTTTTTTTTTAATCGAAATTTCAAAGTCCGTTTCGTATGAAATGTGATGTGAAACAAAAAATATCAAGAGAAAATAGTCCAGAGAACAACTGGTAAGAAAGCCAACTGATAGTATACTATACTGATAGTATAGTACATTATTTTTATAAATCAATCACACACACACGCACATTAAATATTTAAAATGTAAAAATATCCTGATCAATTCACTCATAAGTACACCATAATATAGAAGAGAACACTAACTTCTGAAATACGTGTATTTTCTATACGTACCTCAGAAGGCAGGTACCTACTTCATAAATTATTTGTATAAAATATGTGAAATAAATAAATTATTGTAAATTATTATTATATCTAACATAGTTATTAGAATATATATACATATATACAAATTAAAATTAAACAACTCCCCCATTTGGTTTAATATGAACTATACAATAAACATTCTCTGTTACAGCGAGCGTATACCGAAGCACAAAAAATGCTCATTTAAAAATAAAACGTAACGAGAAGTTGGAATAGGAACTAAAAAATAAAATGTACCACCTTAGCCTTTTGGTGCTATACGATTTATTTTACCCATTTTTCATAGTAATTGAAATCGAAGAACTTAATCTTATCTAAACTTATCAAGTGTCTGTTGCAATTGGAATATTATTTTATCTGTGGTTGCAATACAAAAAAATATTATCAATTTCGTCCACAGGACTGCATCGGATTATGGGCCGCTGAGATTATATTTACCTAATAAATACTTATGTGAAAGCGGTGGAATATCTATTATGATCAATTTCAACAAATTGGAAACATATAGGTATATGTATGCTGCCCAAAGTTTAATTTATAGATTTTTGTTTGATTTCGTCCAAACAACGCCCTATTTCGACAAAGATTAAGAAACATTGTAAACAGTTCGTTAGATAAGCACCATAACTAATAGATTATTAATTGCAGTATTAAGTATTTATTTACGTTTCTCATAGTAATGTTCCATGTTTGCTGATCACTAAATATTGTCTTACTTTGTATATTTATTTAATAATTATTAGGATCAGTGTTGCTAGTTGAGCGTCTTGTTTTCCTCCCAAGTTTTTCCGAAAAACTGTGGGAAAAGTTCCAATTTGAGGAGAAAATGCATAATTTTTGGATCAGAGACATTAGTCTTATTCTTAAAAAAAGCCTTAGCCGCTTTGGAAGTCCCTCCACTATTTTGTAGAGGCCTCTGCACTCAATCTCGCTTCTATTTACATAATGTCCAGCTTCGGACAACAGTATTACAAAGCTTGAAAAAGAAACGAATGAGAAAGTCTGTCGTTACCCAGTTGTTACCAAGTCACTAATTAACCGTCATGTAGCCGCCATTCGAGCATGAGTTTTACAAAATTAAACAAAACAAATTAGAAAAATAAACTTTTTATTGGAATACAACAATGTTGAACAATCATATTAAACATACTTGAGAATCACAACAATTAGTTAGGTTATATTCTTTACAATTTTATAACGATTTGACGGTTATTATTCTCGTAGCAATCACGTGAATTCGAGTAAAAAGTATCTCAAGTGCCAAGTTTTATACGAATACATCCAGTAGTTTTTTCATGAAAGAGTACGAAATAATTTCTAGTCTCACAAATTCCGTATTTATAATATTAGTAGGATTTATAAAGACTAATACGATAATTACCATCTTTTCGCACTTTGTAAGCTGATTTAGGCTAATTGCCAGACAGACGTTCAATGAACACATAAATAGACTTTTTTTTTTATTGGATTTAAGTGCTTCTAAGGATTACTTTATTTGACTTGTCAAATAATAATGTCTTACCATCAGCCCTACTGAAATATGGTAAAAGACCTTTATACCATATTTAAAAATAAAAAAATATCTACGGTAAAATATTGTATACAAGAATATACCATATTTTACAAATAATTTGAGCTAAAGGTATAAAGTAACGTTATTATATATTTTTTTAAATAGTAGAATTTATGTTAACAGATAAAATATATAAGGACCAGTTTAAACATAAAAAAAATTGGACTCGTTACACCGAACAAGTATACCTACTTAAATTTTACATCACCCATTTTGACTCGATTCTTATTAAGACTAGCTATTTAAGTATCAATAACGTATATAAGATTTATTCTAAGTACATTTAATTATTAAGGATCTTACCTTTTATAAAGCGAGTTCAATACTCTTTACAATAACATAAAAATATAGGTATATGAAATAGCAATGAAAAATAAGGGATCTCACCCTTTTTAAACGATTAGAATACACTTTGAAGATATGATAAGGTAATATATATTTGCATTGAATAATCTTGGGGTGTATTATATAAATTCATAAGTACATTTGGTCCATTAACATGTACGGTTAACTAACTCCTACTAATCTGATAATACGTATGAAATGATAAGTACATTAATAGATCCAATAATATATGTTATATTAGTTTCTATATGCATTAACTAACGTTTTTCTTTACACATCTTTGATAATATGTCATATCAAATAAATCAAGATAAATCAATTCATCTTTTATGCTAGACCAGACTGCAACTATTTTATTATTATTTAATAGCTCCTAATTCAATAAAACTGTACATTTTAGCACAATATTTTGTTATTATCCTCCTGATTATAGAGAATATATAGAAGTTCTATTAGCTACCTTTACAAGTACGCTCTTTCACAAAAACAACCATGAATCCATTCTTTAAAAAAAAATCATGTATATGTATGCAAAGAGAACAAGAAAGACCGCGAGCACCGCCAGCTCGCTCATCCAGCGTCTTTTTGCGGGCTTCTGACTATGGATTGTTAAATTCAATCACTCATGATTGTATGCGCTGGCTTTCCTTCCGCGCTCCTGATCACCCATGAAAGAACGTGCATGTAAAGGCAGCTAATCTGTCGTTTAGACAACATCTTACGAACATGTATCACAATCGATTTACAACTTACTATACCGGGGAATGTTTTCTAATCAAGTCTAATATATTGAATACTAAAAACAATTGAACCTCAATCTTGGTGTTTCCGAATTTAAAATTACAACCAACAGTTATGTTGGCACAAATTTATTTCACTATAAACCTGACCAATACTTAGCATATAAATAAATTCGTTCACATATGGCATAAATGTGATGTGCCAAAACCCCATGTTCACATAAAATCTAAACTAAACAAATAATACACATTTTTTCGCATATTTCTTCTATATAACAATTTAGTATCTGTTAACAAGAGTTGTTGGACAATATAAAGAATTATAATAAGATAGAAGATCTCGCTAGTTCTTACTGTGCAAGAGAGATAGAGATAAAGCTGTAATTCTTTAATCCCTTTAAAAAGGGTTAATTTACAATAGACAACATTGCAATAGCATATATTGGTTGTCACTCTATTCTCCCAAATTTTAATTTAAAAATGAATAAGTATTATTATAAATATGTTCAACTTTATTTGAAAAGAATATGATACGAGTTTCTTGTCAGTTCTTCTCAGCTCGAAAGCTCTCCGAACTGACGGTAGATTTGACACATCGTAAGAGTCTGTAGACTTACATGAATAAAGATATTTTGAATTGAATTGAATAATAAAATTACAAAAGAAATCCATTTAATGCATTAGAAAAACTACACGAATTAGTACCAAGAATTCCCGCACCATGGGCAGTGTTTATTGTCCAATAATTTTAATATATTGTTTCTGGTGTATCCTTAACATAGAAAAACTAGTTCTAACCAGTTCTACCCGCTTACCGCCGCCACTTTCAGAGCGCATCGTTCTCTTTGAGCAGGTAATGTCCGATCAGTCTTTTCTGAATGTCTGTAACTCCACCATATATCTGCGTACCTCTAGCGTCCCTGTTGACATGAAAGTGAACTGTATGAAAATATTCTACAGCCATATTGACGACCTGAGTAATCTAGCGGTTTGGCACACAGCTTTACTTTCGATGGTTGCTTCGATTTCTCGCCCAGTACCAACATTTGTATTCTTGACTATGATTGTGACAGGTAGGTCTGAGTATTTTATATGTATATTATGTATGTATTTACGAAAAAAAAAATCTTTGTATTTATATCAGTTGTGTAGTATCCATAACACAAGCTTTAGCTAGCTTAAATTGGGACTAGATGGCGCTGTGTGAATTGTCCTGAGATTATTATTATTATTATTATTATTTACAAAAAAAATGTATTTACATATGTCTATCAGTTGTGTAGTATCCATAACACAAGCTTTAGCTAGCTTAAATTGGGACTAGATGGCGCTGTGTGAATTGTCCTGAGATTATTATTATTATTCAGTGGTCAAAACACATTTTTCTTCTGTTTTCCTTCTTTCTACATACCTGAAGTGTCGCTCCGCGTCGTAGTCAGTGGACAGTCCGCGGCCGCCCAGTATCTGCACGCAGTGGTCAGCGACGGCGGCCGCATTCCTTCCGGACACGTACTTGGCCATCGCACTATTCTTCGTGCTCACGTTGGTGGCTGCGCGGTACGTTAGCAGCCGGGCCGTCTCCACCAGAATGGACATATCAGTCAGCCTGTCCTGTTATATATAGACATTTATTATAAGAGTCAGTAGCAGTCAGACGGTTTCATTTCATTAGTACTTAGTTTTTGTTTCACTCACACCTATTTATCCTTAAAAATACCGCTCCCGCTCGCACACTAATGTGTACGACCTAAAAGTGTCTTTTTTTTTGTTATTTTGACATGTGTTTGCTAGACACTTTTTATTCATTATTAGCCCGAATTGCAATACTAATGTGATGTGACAGAACAATGTTTTAAAAAGAAAGTGATTGGTGTTTTAGGTGTAGCTTACTATATACTATATATTGTAAGCTACACTAAAGGATTTCATATCATAATCTTTTAAATAAGACCACTTTTGACGACTTCGGTGGTCTAGCGGTCTAGCACACCGCTTTACGTCCGATGGTCGCGGGTTCGATTCCTCGCACGGCACAAACATTTGTATTCATGAGTATGATTGTTTGTATCGGTCTGGCTATTTTCTATGTATAATATGTATGTATTTACGAAAAATATTATCTATGTATTTGTATCAGTTGTCTAGTACCCATAACACAAGCTTTAGCTAGCTTAACTTGGGTCTAGATGGCGCTGTGTGAATTGTCCTGAGATTATTATATATTATTATTATTATTACTTTTGTGTATTGGGGCAACATGAAAACATGAAAAAATACACGTAAAAATACGAGATATTAAATTAAAAAATGGCTCTCATTTAGGAGGGAGGGGTGAGATCCCCTTTGTATAGTAATTCGTCAATAAAATATAACGTACAATACGTGGTACAATTATCGGAACTCCGATACCTAACAGACTGTATATAAACAATAATTTTATTTCCTCCAATTTTCAAATTACACATTTTTCCCTGATTCATCTTTCCTCTTACAATTTATGTATATTTTTGTGTATTTGGAATGACAAACAAGCTGACGGTAACCGTTACCTATATACAATTTACATTATGAATATGACGTTATCACGTAACTTCCGACACTCATGCGTTGCTATTCCGGACGAGTAAGATAATCATAAATCTTATATTGTAATTTTATTGCCTACAAAGGAAATACATATAATAAAGGCAGCTTGTTGGCTAAAATAGGAAGAGCTTAGGTACTCACGCAGGTCACGGTCACTCTTTTTTAGTAAAAGGTAGTCTACACATATAAATAAAATTGGAGTGTCTGTTTGTAATATTGAAATAACTGTTTTTTACTGCATGCATATGAATATAAATACGGTACATACACCAAAAAACCACTTTTAAAATTTTTTGTCTGTCTGTCTGTCGGTCTGTTTGATCTAATCTCTGAAATGGCTGGGCCGATTTTGACGGGACTTTTTTGCCAGGTAGCTAATGTAATAAGTAGTAACTTAGGCTACTTTTATTTTAGAAACATTATTTTATTATAGAAAAGTAAAGTATAATTCGGACGCGAACGAAGTCGCGGGTACAGCTAGTTGTTATAATAAGTTGTTTTAATGCGGTTTTCATTCATCAACAAAGTAATTTCTGAGGAAGGTTTTAGATATTAAGGTTTTCTGTATTGTATATAAAATGTATACAATACATACAAATAGGAATGAAGTCATGAAATATTGTTACACAAATATTTACCTTAACTGAGGGTAGTCGGGTCAGACTTTTTCCGAACGCAACCCTTTCCTTCGCATAGTTGATAGCTGTATCAAGAGCCGCTTGGGCTATACCTGAAACATACAAAAAACTATTACATACGACGGTTGCTTAATGATACTGGCACGCATCCCCCTAAGAGGGCGCAGGTTGGGGCTAGCTAAGGGATAAGAACTCCCGGGGAACTGGGTTTATCTGGGTAATATTGTTTCTTTCATTTTATTTGTCTTACTGAATGTTAAATGAATTATGGTCGAATTTGGACCACTGGGTGACCATTGGTTGATTCAAAACTGAAATGATATCTAGCCACGATTATTTCTATTCAATTCTTACCAACTGCATGAGCGGCGATCCCTATTCTGCCCTGATCCAACTGCTCCATGGCAATCTTGAAGCCATCCCCGGGCTCGCCCACCATGTATGACTTGGGTATCCTGACATCTTCCAAGGTCAGATCACAAGCCGTCACCGCCCTGTGACAAAGGCTTCAATCCTGTTTGATACGCTCCTTTTATTGAATGAATTGATTGTATGGATAGAGTTTCAAAGAGTAAGAAATACGAAAAATAATCTGATAGTGATGTTAATGGAAGTAACGAGTTAATTACAACATTTAAGCCTGACAATTATTTTGTACTATATTCTTATTTTAGTTTTAGAAAATATTGTTACTATATTTTTTAACTTTGGTACAAAGTCTTTGTACCAAAATTACATTCGAATCTGACGAGTAGTGCAAACATTGACTTTGTTTTACGTTGATTTCGTTGTAAGTCAAAGTCAAAATTATTTATATACATAGGACTCATAGTTTGGCAAGGAACTGGCAAGGAAACCAACTGATATATATATTTAATAATCATTTCAAAATACCATGCATACATATAATCTTTTGCGGTTATAATACAAATAGGATTTCTTTTTTCAAGAATTATAGGATAATTATATATAGAAGGCATCACAGAAGAAAGTTATGTTCTGTGGAAGACATAATCACAAAAAAAAGATAAAATACCTCACGCCGATAATTGGCTCTTTCTTGCCTCTGAATACACCTTCTGCATCTAGAGGCACCAGGAAACCTGAAAAACGACATATTTTATTGTTAAAACAATATTATAACTAATTTTAATAATCAAGGAATTAATAATAACTACAATCAAATACAATATATGAAATGAACCCATAGACGCCAGTTGCGACCAACAGTAATCAACAGTGGGAAAAGGACTGAGTGGTCTAGTCATGATTACCGATCCCCCATATGGTATGTATATGATCCTATCCCATATTAATTTCTTCATAATTGACAGTCTGCTTTTCTAACAAAATGTACCAGTCCGATAAATATGAAAATTTGTAAATATTTTCGGATATTTGTTACTCCGTCATATAAATTGGCAAATTCAGCTTAACAATATCTGTTATCAATTGACATTGAAGCAGTAATACGTGAGTTGTACCTATGTCTGAAGGGTAAGATAGTCCATGATATCTCTGACATAAGAGCTATAATACCTTAATCCGTTAGGAGCGGCAACAGGCCTAAAAAGATTTCTACGTGTACGGGATTTTCAATATATATTTGGCATTACACATTCAAATAAATAAACTATTTTATTAAAATACTTCTAAGAGATATAACAAAATATTCTGATTTCCTCTCTAGTTTAGTCATTTTATTTTTTAAGTTCTCTCCAATGCTATCAATCGAGTTCCCCCTGAGTTCCGGTCTGAGGGTCGTTGTCCCCGGAGCTGATGCCGGGGCACAGGGACTCGCCTCGAGTACTTACCTAACCTACACACTCCTGAAGGAAGATATGTCTTTCAGAATAAGGTTTCATGTCTCTGCATAATATAATTTCAATTCAAACAAAGCAAGTTGCTTGTATAGTAGTCGTAATTTTTCTTACTCTACCACAACTTTCGGAACGCAGACTCATCACAAGAAAAATGAGCAAGAAACTTGCGTGATGCTCTTTTAAATGTGTTGTTTTTAATAAATACGCATTAACAAGTAGGAGGCATGCTTTAATCAACATAGAAACCGATACACATACATTCCTTGTTCAATCAGATAATATTGTTAGCACTAAGAATTTTAAGTTATTTCTATAAAAACATTCTTATCATTTTTATAAAACAGCTTATTGTTTTCACAAAGAAAGTGTTATATACGTTTGAATCTTTTTCAGGCAGATTTATGACAGACTGGCAGTTTGTAAAACCTTACGGAATTCCCATAAAACGAATTACTAGCTTTAGTTATACAGCATTTAGGTAAGGTGAGACAGTATTGCACATGTAGAAGACTTTATAAAAAGTCTACTTCGATGATGCTTTATCCAATATACTTACAAGCTATACCCTTGTGTCTAAGGTCAGGATCAAAAGTGGCAAACACTGTCGTGGCGGAACCCTCGATGGCAGAACTGACCCAGCTCTTCTTGCCTTTGAGCACCCAATAGTCGCCATCTTGAATAGCTTTCGTATTTATGCTTGCTGCGTCACTTCCCGCGCCTTAAAAATATATTTATTTATCATTAGCGACAGATCCCGTATTCAATCGGGTGTACATACAAGGGGGTTGGTAATGTGGTCTAATAAGTCAAGTTGAACTCCACCCAGTTCGCCTTGAAAACCATCGTTGTAAAATGCCATTTGTCAAGACGGGCTAACTGACCTGATTTTATGGTCATTTTATCTTCTTCAACTGGTGCCACCCCCGCGTAAACCGTTAACGAAGGCGCATTGTTCCATTGTCATCCATAAAAAAAATCATGTACAGACCCTCGCGGTACAACAAGTTATACAACTATGTATACATGTATTATAAATATAAACAAATGATATTTAAAGATAAAAAAAGGGGATCAAGGTATTATCATTCAAAAGAGGCGCCTATGATACGATGAACTATGCGAACTCGTTCGCAGATCCCCCGCTCTTTAGTTCGTTAGACAAAACATTATGTATATTATATTTAATATAAAATACAAGTAGAGGTTTTCCCAAAAACATTTTCTTATGTGATTAGAATGACAAGCAAGCCCATCTAATAAGCGGTAACCGTAGCCTATGTACATAAACAGCGCTACGAAATTACGTTATCATGTGACGCCCATAATAGTGTTCATCCCTTGCTTTTCTAGAGGACTATGTTATACATCTTATCCTGCAATATAATGAGACTGAAGTACACACGCAGACAATTTATCAGAGTCTAGTCTGGTGCACTACAATAACATAAAAAAGCAAAATTGAGGTCTAATGGAGCAGTCTACAACCTTTCTCTGAATCAACAGTTAACGAACTGATTTACAGAACCGTTGCGAACTAAGAGCTCTCCGAGAACTATTATGCGTAATTTATTATGACACCCTAAAACTCCACGTGCACAGTTAAGTTACTTATCGAACTTATCGAACCAGTATACACGTTAATGGAGGACTTGTACAAATTAACAATGATTTACTAGTAAATAATAAAAATAAATAAACTGATAATAACTAGTAGGCATCAGTTGACATTATTTCTTATCATTACTAAAACATTTTAACGAATCGCAAAAGTTTTATAGATATGTACTTTATCAATGATGATAAAAATTGAACAAGTCACTATATAAACAAATCCACACAAGGGCACGATATGTCATTTGTATGTAGGTAGTATTTGCCACCCAGACGGGAGATTAGGGTTGCCAAACCTCCCGGCTTGCCAGGGAGACTCCGGTAATAATGGTTAACCTCCCGACCTCCCGGAGTTCTACGGTTTTTCTAAACAATTCCTGTCTATAAAGCTTCATGCGAGCGCATGATTGAGCAAGGAAATAACCGAATGAGTGTTTTTTTTGTAAAAACAGAGTAAAGTAAAAGCAAACAAGAACAAACTTCGATTTTTCACGTAATATTTTTATAATTTGTGGTGGAATAATTATATTATTATAATAACCGACAAATATTAGTTGCTGCGCAAAAGAAATATATATTTAAAGATCAATTAATGATTTACTTTTAATAACAATAAAAATAAATTGATAAAATTTTTAAACATAATATTTTCCCTTCGAAGAATTAGTAACCCTACGGGAGATATAGCCCGTTATCAAATTAGAATATAAACCACTAGCCGATAACCGCGACTTCGCTTGCACTTTTCCAAATTATTTCTTTTGAAATAAAATATAGTGTATGAGACATATCCTTCGGATCAATCTATCTTCAGTGTATCTGTTTGTTTGATACTTCTCGACTAAATGGCTGAATTGACACTAATGACGTGACATAATAATATCTTGGGCGCCATCTAGTCTCCAGCTAAGCAGAGCTTGAGTTGTATGTGAGTACTAAACAATTAATATAAATACATGGCTACATATTTTTGTAAATACGTACATAATATATATAGAAATCACCTCAACCAAAACAAACAATTATACTCATGAATACAAATATTTGTACCGTTCGAGGAAAAACCCGCGACTTTCGAAATAAAGGCAGTGCTAAACCGCTAGACCATCGAGACCGTCAAATATAGATAGTCTATCTAATAAAAATAAGAAAATATCGCTGTAACAGTTATAGTATCATGCAAAAAGTCAATCAAATCATCTACCTTACCAGGTTCACTTAAAGAGAAGCATCCAATTGATCCTTTAGTGAAATCTCTTAAAAACTGCTCCTTCTGCTCTTCTGTTCCCTTCTCATTCACCAAGTTTGCATATAAGAAGTTGTGTATTGATACAATCATGCCAGTACTGGCGCATCCTCTGGACAGCTCTTCCACTGCGATCGCGAGAGACAAGTAGTCCAGGCCAAGACCTCCATACTCCTCGTCAACATTGGCTCCCATAAGACCTAGGTCGGTTAATTTTTTAATCTGAAAATAAAAAAACAATTATAAATTAAAGATCTCGACAATATACCTATGTAGTTATATATAGTATATTGTCATAAATGAGTGAAGCAAAACTTTGTGCCCCTTTTTACGAAAATTGCGCCGACGCAAGTATGAAATTTCGCACACTTATAGTTCATGTAAAAAGAAGTACCAGATGCAATATTTTTTTAAATTATTAAAAAAAACATTACCTACACTACTATATATTCGACACACCCACGCATGTTTATCTCATTACTCCTTTGTTAATGAATTATGGTAGAATTTCGACTATAAATTTTATATTGTAAAGAGGTTAAAGTCTTTGAGGAGGTAATATCTGGATCTATTAAACTGATTTTGAAAATTCTTTTACCAATAGAAGGCTACATTATTTGTGATTGTCATAGGCTACATAACCTCACGCTATTACCAACAGGAGCGGAGCTGCAATGAAAGCTCTTACAAAAACGGAGAAAATGTGACCCAGTTGAAGTTGGGCCAGCTAGATTCTTACATAGCAAACAGTTTAAATTTTATTATATGTATAGAAGATAATAATAGTAAGTGCAAATTGAAATAATAATAAACAAAATAGTTACGACATATAATGGTCGAAAATCAAACAACTACTTACAAACATGTCATATTTTTTTAAATGATGTCTGCTCAGTTCTTGTTGTATTTAAAAGAACACACACCAAACTAAAGTTAATTTATTTTTCTTTTGTTCATCTAAATATGGAAGATAAGTGTGTTGTAGCATGAATTATAATAATGTGTACTTTAATAGTTTCTATGAGTAATTGCTAATTTTTATTGGTTTGAAATATTTTCAAATGATCTTTATCTTTCTTTTTTACCTTTAAAAGTTTTAATACAACTATGGTCGAAATATTTACAACATTATAGTCTACTAAGGCCTTCTACACTTAGTACTTTATATTACTAGCAGACCTGGTCACGCATTGCTGTATTATTATTTTTTTACAATACTACTATATTCTTGAATAAAATAATATTGCGACTATAAATTGAGATGTAATTATCCTATTTTTTAAGTTGGATCAAATTGCACACAATGTGCAAATCAAATTTGACATATAATTTTTATATATAAAGATATGTTTGATATTATTTAACTTTCTACAAAGTATTATAACTAAATCTTTTGGCAAATAAAAATAATCCTGAATACACAGTGCTATAATTTTCTTGTCATATTTTCCATTTTTTTATTGTATATGATGTAATATGGCTACTAAATCTAGACACGCGGCAGCGTGTCAAGCCGAGTTTCAAGTAAACTGGCTTGCAGCACCGTGTGTATATTTACACGAACCATTTGGAGCCACTTTTGACTCCCTCATAACTCAAAAACTCTTTCACACAAACCTATCAAATTTGGTTCATATATTGAGACTTGCGAGATAAATATGTGTTCCAAATTTCATAAACATATCTCAAACGGTTATTTAGATATTAATGTCCAAAAATCGTCATTTTTATCACTGATCAACTATAGATCAAAATTATAACCCACTTCCAGATGACCTAGGAAGTTCAAATTTGGTATGCAGATAGGTAATTAGGTGAATATAAAGGAAAAAATCTGAAACTGGTAAATTGTTATCATTTTACTACAATTTTTCACTTTAATTGATTCTATTTCAACTTATACTGGACGAATACTAAAATTCTATGAAAACGTCGATAGCCACCAATTGACATTGATCCCTGGCGAAAAATCTCATCTTGTACTGGACCGAAAGTAATATTGTATGAAAACGTCGATCATTACCAATTTACGTTGACCCCTTCACATCAGTGTCGATAACTAGCAAACTTCAAATATTGCATTGAGCGGTAAACACTAGTTGCTATAATTTAGATTCTGTCTAAAATATACTCGTACTTATAACTAGGAGTATAGTCGAATTTCGTATTTATTATGTTATTAACTGAGATTTGGTATTCATTATTGTTTCAATATTTAGCGCACATCGATAGTGTAAAATCATTATTTTTATAAATAATTATTAAATAATAGGCATTTCGGTATACGGCGCCGCGGCGCGCGTGTGGGAATAAAACTCAATGTTTTGTTTCTCGATAACTACCCTATTAGGTTGCGATTTAAGCTACGAAATTTATAGCTTTCTTAAATTATACTTATATATTTGTGATTATATTATTATTACATTGTTTTAGTAAATACGTATGGTATAGACAATAGTTTAAACCAAAAATTAATAACAATTTTAGTATAGTTATAAGAAGGAATGTACAGTTAAATCGAGAATGAGAACTTATTGGTAACAAATTGTTTTCTTGAGAATTCAATAGATAACAGTCAATTTGTTACATAATCGTCTTTACGAACTATAACGTGTCAATAACAAGTTTCAGATATTAAATAATGTATATGTTGACAGGGAACAATTCCGTATTTGCTTAACATATGCTATTACTATCCACAAATCACAAGGCCTTAGTTTTGGCAGTCCTCTTCTCAACATAGGCTCCTCTATATTTAATAAAGGGCAGGTTTACGTTGGACTCTTCAGAGTTAAAACCTTAGATGGAGTACGTCTTAACAATTTTGATCCAAGTCACGAGAGCTCTATTGTAGAGTACAACCATCTGTGGACGTTATACCGCCCCGATTTGCCCAAAAATTCCTGATACCGAATTGGCATTGCACTTGAACATTTAAAAGTTACAAGAAAATATAGAAAATAACACAAAAAAAAGACAATTATACCCCGTAAATATACGAAAATACAGTAATTTATCAAAAATAATTTGGTATTAATTTAGTTATAAATAAGTACCTCGTATAATTTATGTACAAAAAGTAATGATATCCCATCAAAAACATAAATGTGAAATGATAGCCGAGTTTAATATTATGATATATGCCTTGATTGTTGACTTCTACGACAAAAGAGATGAGATCTAAATGGGTGCCAAGTTCAATGGTCTGTCCTGAAATGTATTTATCCCATCAAAAACATAAATGTGAAATGATAGCCGAGTTTAATATTATGATATATGCCTTGATTGTTGACTTCTACGACAAAAGAGATGAGATCTAAATGGGTGCCAAGTTCAATGGTCTGTCCTGAAATGTATTTATAACAATATAAAATATCATTTCTTCTTATAACTTTAATATACTGTAGCCTAAGGTCTAACTTATCTATTGAATTCTCAAGAAAACAATTTGTTAGCAATGAGTTCTCATTCTCGAGTTAACTATACATTCCTACTTATAACTATACTAAAATTGTTATTAATTTTTGGTTTAAACTATTGTCTATACCATACGTATTTACTAAAATAATGTAATAATAATATAACCACAAATATATAAGTATAATTTAAGAAAGCTATAAATTTCGTAGCATAAATCGCAACCTTATAGGTTAGATATCGGGAAACAAAACATTGAGACATATGAGGGCGGCTGCCATTCGCTCGGACAGGTTCGCGTCAACGTTTTATCGCACAATGTGCGGCGCCCTATACCGAAATATCTATTATTTAATAATTATTTATAAAAATAATGATTTTACACTATCGATGTGCGCTAAATATTGATATATTAATACCAAATCTCAGTTAATAACATAATAAATACGAAATTCGACTATACTCCTAGTTATAAGTACGAGTATATTTTAGACAGAATCTAAATTATAGCAACTAGTGTTTACCGCTCAATGCAATATTTGTGTTTGCTAGTTATCGACACTGATGTGAAGGGGTCAACGTAAATTGGTAATGATCGACGTTTTCATACAATATTACTTTCCGTCCAGTGCAAGATGAGATTTTTCGCCAGGGATCAATGTCAATTGGTGGCTATCGACGTTTTCATAGAATTTTAGTATTCGTCCAGTATAAGTTGAAATATAATCAATTAAAGTGAAAAATTGTAGTAAAATGATAACAATTTACCAGTTTCAGTTTTTTCCATTATATTCACCTAATTACCTATCTGCATCAAATTTGAACTTCCTTCATCTGGAAGTTTTAATTTTGATCTATAGTTGATCAGTGATAAAAATGACGATTTTTGATGTTTGAATATGGAACACATATTTATCTCGCAAGTCTCAATATATAAACCAATTTTAACAGGTTTATGTGAAAGAATTTTTAAGTTATGAGGGGGTCAAAAGTGGCTCCAAATGGTTCGTGTAAATATACACACGGTGCTGCAGGCCAGTACTTGAAACTCGGGACACAGATGCCGCGTGTCTAGATAACAATATAAAATATCATTTCTTCTTATAACTTATATATACAATAGCCTAAGGTCTAACTCTTGCATATACGAAATATACTGTAGCCTTCGTTCTAAACATGTTACTTGTCGGTTCCTATTTTAATATTAGTAGTAACTAGCAATCGAAAGTAATAATTGGTATATGAGAACTGGCCAAGTTAGACCTTAACAGTATATTATCATATAAGAAGAAATGATATTTTATATTGTTATAAATACATTTCAGGACAGACCATTGAACTTGGCACCCATTTAGATCTCATCTCTTTTGTATCAACAATCAAGGCATATATCATAAGATTAAACTCGGCTATCATTTCACATTTATGTTTTTGATGGGATAAACTATTACTAAAATGTTTTTATAGTTACATAATAAATACCCAAACCTATACAAACATATATGTTTGTATAGTATACTAAAGGAACAGATGTGCAGTGTTAAAATTAAATATATCAATAACTCTTGCAATACAGACTGTTTATGTACACATTTTAATATTGCAAAGTAATATTAATACTTATTAATTAATAACATATACTAAAAGTAACTTAAGTATGTTTTTTGTACGAAACCTATATACCTCATCAAATGGAAATCTACCAGCCAAATCAAGTTTCGATGCATTTGGTCTAAGATTCTTTTTGCTGAAACGTCTACAGAGATCCTGTATGCTTTGCTGCTGATCAGTCAGCTGGGTAGTGAATGTACGGCATTGTGAGGCTGTTGCCTTTGCTCCATGCAGTGTGTACACTAAAAAAAGACATATCACTAATATAACAATCAAACAAAGTTTTTTATGTAACTGGAATGTCAAACAAATTGCCTCCACACCTATTGGTAAGGGTAACTGTGCCTGGTGAGCAAAGCTATGGTCATCAAATTAACATTGAAGTGTCACATACACTTGCAATATCACTATTGTGTTGATCTTTAGGACTGATAATATGCCCTTACATCATGTGACATGTTCAATACCACTCATAGACTAAGATGTAGAAGAATTATGAATTCCTATACTATAATTGCCTTATCGCAGCCTTGAACCAAAACATATCTTATAAGCAAGCTGCTTAGTGGCTAAATTAAGTAGAGAGAAATACACACACAGAGAAAACAATTTACAGTCTCCCTCAATAAAAGTTTTAAATAAATGACATTTTATCTTCACCATTATAATTATTTCCATAAATATATTGAATAGAGTTAATGATAGTGATCCATGGAGTGCCTAAAAAGTTTAAGTTAAACAGTTGGCTAACAATGGTGACCTCAACATAAGTGTATAATAAAGGTCTCTCCATACAAGTCTGGATTTCTATACATAATATACTTCACATACTACTTTATCTGTACTTCCTATTAATACCAACTTTAAAAATAATGTTACTACTAGACATACTTTTTGGCATTTAATATTAAGCATTAATCAAGTTATATTTAATAATTAAAAAAGATATTCAATAAAAAAAAATTAAAACTGGACATACTTTTTGGACTCTCATATCAGGCTCTAAACAAGTTATATTTAAAAATAAAATAAGACATTAAATAGTACTTACAACATAACTTCGTTGATTTTACTAATGCGCCTGTTGCCATTATGAAATTAGATAAAAAAAAATAATGCACCAGTTGTATGTATATGTGTGTAATGTACGTATTCTGTAACTGGAGGTAACTGGTGTATAGTAATCGAGAATCGACATACAAACGCGATGTGCGATAATACAAAATGATAATGTTACAAGGTCACACAAAACTTGTTTTGAAAACTTTACCGCATAAGCCTATACATAAAAATTCAACCTCTAAAGAAAATGCAAGGATACTAATGTAGTATTATTAATTACTGCAGTATAAGAATAACAATAATCATATATTGAAATAAGCAATTAAAAAGATAACAGTGATATGTAAAGTATGTAAATTTTATATTGTATAAAATAAACAAACATGAGTAAAAAAAAATTAAAAGTCACTTGAATTAAATATTCTGAGTATTTATTTTCTAACTATAAAATATTATTAGTATTCTTATTTAGTGATTCATAAAGTGGATATTACCTTGGCAAAATTAACAATAAACGTATTGTACGTAATGACATATGTTTGGTGTCATTGACACACTGACATTCAATTTGACATTGTATTGATTATGCAGCAAATCCAGAAAATATTTTTTTAATTATATGTACTTTGCACATTTCACAATTGTTATAAAATTAAATGTTATAATTCCATCACAAATGAATTTTTTTTTCCGGCTGATGTCCTCAGGACATAATAAATTAGAAAAAACCATTGCTATTTGTTACTTGTCACTAACAAGTCAACTGTCACTTTATAGCTACCAAATTATGTTCCATTTATTTAACATTTCAATAGTTTGTCAATTTTCCTCATCTATTTTAGAAATTCGGAAGAATTTCGAGTTGCATTAAAATCATTTGAGTGTAAACATTTGAATCAAAGTTAATGGGAACACTATTTTTCAACTCAATGAATTAATACCGAAGCCGTAAAAAAAGAAAAAAAATCCTTTTTTGATAACAAAAGTCAATTCGATTTTGTTTGTATTTATCTGTGTTTATCAAAGACAGAAATGAAAATTCTTTAATAATCTTTTAATAGTCTAATTCTTTAATAGAATAATATTGAACTGTGTGTCATGCACAATAATTACTGTGTGCAAAACATTGCTGTAAAAATTAAAAGTCCTTAGATTATCATATTTCTTTTACCTACGCTAATTTCAATACTTGGTGGTAGAAAATTGTGAAAGATGACTTCTATTTTCGATCAGTACGAGCAGGCTTCACAGGTGTCCCAACGGGCACCGCCAGTGTCCGAACCCATGACGTCTTCAGGATATATAAACATGCAACTGGATGATAACACGCCCATGTTTTCGAAGCAGAAGATGAACTTCAACCCATCAGACGTCATCACTCATGTTGCTGTTGCCAGTGATTACCTGGTGCTAGCTATGGCAAATGGAAATCTATTTCGAATGGATTTGAAGAGGCCCAATGAATATGACGGTATGTGAGATATGTGCTTTTTTACTGTTTAACATGTTGGGGACTGCATTGAAAATCTTATTTCACACAAATGGGACCGGCATTTTTTTTATTGTTAGTTATATATAATATTTTTTAAATAGGTATTTAGTGTACAATAACTTGAGGTAGACATTATTTAACCCCTAAATTTATTTCAATTAAAGTGCCCATGGATGATCACCGATCCCGATAACACACCCAATAACATGTTAATCAAATACATTTGTTTTAAATATACAAAATAATAATAAAAATTATGTGCGTTAATTACTGATGGCCCCTAATGTCACTATTCAAGCACACACATCCCATAAATTTTATTATAAAAAATTGTGAGTGTCGAAAAGATTCTGTATTCAAATATTTTATTTTAAACAAGATTTTTCAGTTATTTTCAGTGGTTTTATTACCAGCAATGTACAGTAAGTACATTATCAGGTCTATTTCATGGGATAGGATGAATTTCTCCTGAATTCAAATAATGAACTGATTGACCTGACTTTAATCTTCCACTAGCATTTTCATCCACAAAAAATGCAATTTCAATGTTTCCTAAAATACACTATTTAAATATTTTCAGAGGTTAAATATTCAAAATTTGTACAACCAAATACAAAGTTGACGGGAATATTTCTTGACCCACTTGGTCACCATCTCCTCATGTCATTTGCTCCAAGAACTAAAGACGGTGACCCCGAGCTGGTGTATTTGCACCGAAAGAGCTCAAAGCTAAAATCTGTTAGCAAATCCAGAAACTATGAAGTGACAGAAGTTGGTTGGAACAATGAAAACACATCAGATTTTACGACTGGACCTATATTGTTGGGCACCTCACAGGGACACATCCTGGAGACTGAACTAGAGGCTGACAATGATAAGAGATTCACAGCCAATCAACAGTACTGGAGACAGGTATTTATTAAATCTCAAAGCATTGAATTAAATAGTTTAAGGTACATAGATTTAAATATGTAAAAGCATCAATTATCTTTTATAATAAAACCAACTTCTGTTTTTATATAGTAATAATTTGTACTGTAAACCCTTAAAACTAAAAAATAATTAACCCCAATATATTTAAGAAATTGGTGCACATAATATACATTAATTAAATTTGCTTCAAACATAATAATAATCATTACTATAGGAAATAATCTAAATTAACAATGTAACATCCTTATCAAATTATACCTCATTCAAATACATGTACATATAAACAACATGTTAAAGTATTAATATTAATATAATTAAATTTTTAAACAAATTAATTATAACTCGGTACATGGCCTATGTCCGGCCTGAGATGATGATGAAGATGAACTCGGTACATCTGAGTTGTATTATACTTTTAACTAATACTACTGAGAGATGCTTTAATTTATAATAATTTCTTTTACTTTTGAACATTTTTTTATTTATGTTTTTAATTTCTAACAAGCTGCCCCATTACCTGCCTTTGTATGGATACAAGGAAATTGATGGATTGGTAAATTTAGTAATTTATTATGGTTTATGCTTAAGTAGTGTCGTCAGCTTCTGTACATGTTGTGTTAATGTATACAATTTTCATAAAATGTTTATTTACGATGACTAGATGTTACCTGTGATTGCGTTTTTTTTAGAGAATCATAATCCATGTCTATAAATCTATCAAATAATCTTCATTCACATCCAGTTTCATTCTGATTCAAGCAAATATTTTGGATTCGAAAAATAACAAATGGACACATCACCACATTCCTTTTGAGATAAATATGTCTATCTTGATAATACAAACTTTACTTCCAAATTCTGGAAAGAAAACAATTAGACAGACAGAAATACCTTTGAATTTCTAATATTTGTTGTACATGTGAAAGGGTGATGTTTGTGGGGACTGGTCTATTTGGGTAACGACTACTGATTAGACTATTTATTTTTGACTAAATTGCAGTTGTATATGCTGTCATAAGAGTCTGTAATAAACCTACTAATAAATAAATATATTTTAATTGGATTGTATGGGTAGGTACCTGTTTTTCATACAATTGTTTGTGTATTTTTTTAAACTAGCTGAATATGCTATTGTCTGTAATGCTGTTGTGACATTCAGATATTGAAACAAGTGTTTCTCAATCACAGATCTTCGACATCGGCCAAGGCACAGATATGCCTATAACTGGTATACAGTTCCAACGAGTCAGCAACAGTAACAAGTACTTCATATTTATCACAACACCCACCCGACTCTACCAGTTTATGGGAAATGCCGTAATTACAGACGGAAAGCCTAGTCTTCAATCGATCTTCTACCAGTATCTCACAATGCCGGATACCGGTTTCCAAGAGATTCCGTCGACACTGAAATATTCAAAACTTCAGTTTTTCTTCGATAGATACGACGTGCCGAAAACATTTGCATGGCTCACTGAACCTGGCATATTTTTTGGACAGGTTCGTATTTTTTATATTAATAATATGTTATTACATGTTTTTATAGATATAAAATACTGATTTTGATGAAATTTTATATGTATAAACAGTAGTTCTGAGAATATGTTGTTGTTTATTTTTTATACCATGTGATTGGGGTATTGTTACTAATGTGAATTAATGACTAATAATAATAATAGATGTGGTCAGCCATTTAGTGTAAAATGGGAACAAAAAGACAGAGAGATTTTCATATTTATATTATCAATATGAATCTATATCCAATAGGTAATTAATTCACTTTTCACTTGAATGTAAATATGAATAATATTAAAGAATAGGTTCAATTGACCTATGAAAAGATGAAAATATCACTCTTTGAAGACGTTATTATATTTCGGTTAAATTTCATTACTCTTCCTATTAAATGATTTATTATTATACTTTCTTTATTAAAAGTCATAAGTATACAATTCTAATAAGTAATATTTTTATTTTATATTGATATTTTGCATTTCAGTTGGATCCAACATGCCAACAGAATTCTAATACCTTGTTCACGCAAGGGGAACTCATAAACTACCCACCTGAATCTGAATCCAAAGATAAAGCGCCTCTTTGTTTCGTTTTAACGGAGTTTCATGCACTAGTGATGTATTCAGACAAAGTTAAAGCTATATCACTATTGAATCAAGAATGTGTATATGAAGACAGATTTTCCGAAGCGCATGGTAAACTTAAAAGTGTAGTGAAAGACTCGAAGAGGAGAACAATCTGGGCAGTGACTGATAAGGCTGTGTTTAGATATAAAGTTGTCAGAGAAGAAAGGAATGTATGGAGAATATACACAGACAAAGAACAATTCCATTTAGCTAAGGAGTATTGCCAAGACAATCCCGCTTTCTTAGACATTGTAAACGTGAAAGAGGCAGAGCTATTGTTTTCGGTAGGTAAGTATGTGGAGAGTGCTAGAATCTACGCGGAGACGCAAAGTAGTTTTGAGACTATATGTCTAAAGTTTTTGGAGGTGAACCAGATAAATGCACTGAAGATATACCTGAGCCAACGATTGGAGTCTTTGAAAGAAGACGATAACACGTTAATATCTATGATTGTTATATGGATGACGGAACTCTTCCTTTCGCAACTAGGTTTACTCAGGCGCACTGGGAAAGAAAAAACAAATGAATACAATCAAATACAGAGTGATTTCGAAGTGTTTTTACTCAACCCGAAGGTGTCCAAATGCATGCAGCACGTCAAAACTGTTATATACGACTTGATGTCTTCACATGGTGATAAACAGAATTTGATAAAGCTGACACTGATGAACGAAGATTACGAGAATGTGGTTGCACAGAATATTTATAAAAAATCTTATACGGAAGCGTTGAGTACGCTGCGGGAGCTGCAGAAACCGGATCTGTTCTATCAGTTTGCTCCTGTGCTAATGGAGGAGGATCCTAAGCATACAGTTAATGCGTTAATCTCTCAAGGACAGAAATTAAGCCCGTCGAAACTTCTGCCCGCTTTCCTTTCTTGTGAAAACGATGAAGCACATATATCCGAGATTATTAGATACTTGGAGTTTATGCTGCAGAATTTTAATGTCAAAGATAAGGCCATACATAATTATCTGTTGACTCTGTACTCTGAGTATGATCAGGCGGCTCTTATGAAGTATTTAGAGCGACAAGGCCAGGATATAGTACTTGTCAATTATGATGTTCATTATGCATTACGGTGAGTATTGTTACTTAATTATATTTTATAACTAGTTACGCATCCCGGCTTCGCACCTGATACCGGATACCTAATTATTTGAAAATATCCTAATGAAAATAAGAATGCCTTAATAATCTCGCGTTGTTTTATTCTAACGTGAATTTTTAAACTACTTATATATCAATTTATCAAATTTGGTTCACTATGTGTATTTTCATACAATTTAAAAGAGTACAATTTTATTGTAAGTGACAGTGGATTGTTTTATGTCACAAACAGTTACATCTATTCACACCAAAAACAAAACATTGTAATCCAACGCGCCACATCGAGGCAGTGTACCCAAAATAATGGCTGCGTTGCCTTTTTGAATAGCCATATTTACCTTCAGGGCAAAGTACCTGTAAGCTACCAGCTCTCGGGTCACAAGTAACCTCGAAGAGCCGCGCTTAATTACACGTTAAAATTTAGTTTCCGAGCTCCATGGGCCTAACGGCAACGTACCGTAGAGTTCAATTTAGAATATTCAAATAATTTTAGGTTATGTCGCGAGAAGAATCTATCAGAAGCCTGTGTGAAACTGTCCGCGTTGCTAGGACTCTGGGAGTCTGCTGTGGAACTGGCGTTGGAGGTGAATCTGAATTTAGCGAAGAGTATCGCCAACCTTCCGGATGATGAGGAAATGCAAAGACAGATGTGGCTGAATATTGGTAAGAAGTGTTAGATATTGACTTCTGGCTGCGACGTCAGTTGACCATGATTGACTAGGATTTAACTACTAATCGGTTAAGTTCTGCTCATGCAACATGGCGAACTTAGGCCTCAGCTTAACTACACTGTGCAGTTTTTCCAAGAGGAAACGCCACTACACATCCTATGTGATTGTAGCGCACTCGCGCATAAGCGAAATATCTTCTCATTCTTCTTAATCACTATATCCCGAGGAGGTAAAAACCATCGCTCCTAAGAATATCCTTCAATTCTTGTCCTTCACGGGTCTAGGTAGCGAACTTTGAAAAAGGGCGACCACAATAGATCTATGTAGGTCGCAGGCCTTAACATCTGACAGTAGTCCAAAACCCTGAATCAAAAAAATAAGTTTTGCTCTATTCCTAGAATTATAATTTGTAACTTTAGTAAGTTACAAATGTAACGTGCCAAACATCATGATAACTGGTTAAGTTAATTTCCTATTTATAAGGATGTGTACACAAATGCTCTCTTTCTAAGAGAAAAATAGACTAAACCATTTCAGAGATTTGCGCCTACAAACATACATACGAATATTAAATATCTTTGTTTTAAGTTCTGTTATAATGATAGGCCAGTGGGATAATAAAATAAATGAACAACAATAATAATAAATTATATTTACAGCGGAGCATGTAATCACTAAAAACCAGGATCTAAAAGAAGCGATGACTTTCCTCGAGGAGTGCCCCTTGATAAAGATAGAGGACATCCTGCCTTTCTTCAGCGACGTGGTCACCATTGACCACTTTAGGGAGCCCATCTGTCAGTCATTACAGGTATTGTGTTTTTTTTAAATAATATTTTTTATATTAACGGAATGATGAACCCGCCTGCTCTAATGGTATATGCTGGCGGGGTACCAGTGGAGGGTGATGAAATGAGCATGAAGTCTGGTCGGGTATCTATCTTGGTAAATGGCAATTTGACATTGCAGTTTCCAGAGGGAACCATGTGGAGAGTGGTTGAAATTCAACTATAATTGATTTAATATTCAATAAGACTATAGAAAAACAATAGTCTCAATTACACCACAGACTAACAATAAACAATAGAGTATATATACGTGTATGTGTCAAATATATGGTAGTATGTAATGTTTTTTACTGATATTAATATGATAATGTATTTTTTATGCATAATTTTATAAAAATATTAGCATTCTGCACTCATCTATAAAAACTGTAAGTGTGAGAAATTTAATACTCGTTCATTAGTACAATTATCGTAAAAAGGGGTACAAACTTTTTGCTTCATGTATTAATAAATCTATATTTCTTTGAAGGAGTATAACATGCAAATAGAAGAGCTCAAAACTGAAATGGAGGAAGCAACCCGAGCGGCAGAAGAGGTGAGTGTCATTATTATTAAAATAACTCTGGACAATTGATAAAAACTATTTATTTATAAAGGAGTTTCATATCAACATAGCTTTTGTAATGGCGGTAATTAATAATATGAAAGAAGACCAAAAAAATATGTTTTTACGATGTTACATTTAGAATGTCACGATTGTTCTATACTATAATATAATAATTAAAATAATATCTCAGGACAATTCACACAGGACCTAGATGTTGTTGAACCAACCAAAAATTATATTTAAGTATTTCTATCAGAGTTATAGGTACTATAACACTAGCTCTGCTTAACTTGGAACTAGAATTATGTCAATTTTCCAGGGGTTATTATTAATATTATTAAAATAATACCATTAAACATGAAATTCCTTTATTATTGTAAGATATATAACTAAATGCAGGGACTTCAATAGTAGCACGTTATTTAATCTTTTTGTGTTGTCAAATAAATAACAATTTTTTTTCTAACTATAGGTCCGTTCGGAGATCCAGTCGTTCAGGGGGCGCAGTGTGTTGGTGTCGGCGGCGGATGTGTGCTGTCTGTGCGACATAGCACTGTTGCTGCGTCCATTTTACCTGTTCCCATGTTCGCACAAGTTCCACAGTGACTGCCTGCTGCACGAGATACAACCCATACTCGGTATAGAATAAAATAGAAAATTCTTTATTAAAATAAACTTACATTTAAGCAACTTTGAATTGCCAGTACTTATGTTGTAGAATCTACCACTCATTTGAAAAGCTGTCTCACAAGAAGAATGAGCAAGAAACTTGCGTAATCTGTCCGGCTTGAAGGACCAGAGATTAGCGTGTTAAATATACGGTATAATAATTGTGGACTGTATTAATGTGTATTTTAGTTTAATATAAGTATAATGAGTGCGATGTGCGGTGCCTAATGCATGGAACGATTGACGCTCCTCGGTGCTCGTAGCCCCCGCAGCCGTAGTCGTGCTTTATCGACGGTTGTGTGCTATCAATAATTATTTTCATTTTGTCTGTTATCTTTACTCATGTAGGTCTATTATAGACTCTTATGATATGTCAAATCTACAGTCAATTCGGAGTGCCTTGAAGCTAAGAAAATCTGACAAGAAACACAGCACTTATTCTTATCAACTGAGCTTGTATATATTTCCAAAAACACATTGGTTTTTAAAATCAATTACGAAGAATAGAGTGATTGGCTTATTGCGTTTTTGTCCGTACAAACCCTAATAATCCCACAAGCACCACCCATTCATAAGTACAATGAATGGGCCAGCTATCATCGCACTCAACTATAGTTGAGTAATATAATAGTACCCCACCTCTGATTACAGTCGTATAGATATTTCTTCATGATAACTTTTATTTTGCAATGCTACAGGTCCGGCTCGTCGCAAACAGTTGCAAGATCTACAACGCAAACTGAGTTATCTCCCTAACATCGAGCTCCAGACGCGGACTTTCAGCGGTCTACCACTTCGGGAGCAAATAAAAAATGAAATTGACGACATAGTAGCCAGCGAGTGTGTGTTCTGCGGCGAGTACATGATTGCATGCATTGATAAACCATTCATTTCAGATGAAGATTGGGACAAAGTTATGAAGGAATGGGAATGAACGGTTGAAAAGTATTTGCAGTACCAAACTCCTCTGACCCGGTGACAGGCTCACTGCTGTTGCCTCGTGTGCGGACCATCTCATTTCCTTAAAATTTCCTTGGCCTACATCTTTTTAAGTATATTGGCTTATTCGGATTACAAATCATTAGTTTCATTTATTAATAACTGTATTTCACAAAATCCTTTCGTAAATTCCTATTAGTTCCTATTTATTTACCCATCCTGTGTGCCGTTAATTGTAAGTTGCATATTGGGCAACATATACCTCTTACCAAAAAGGAAAGAAAACGGTCACCTGGAATGATAAATGTGTGGCACTGTACATACTCGTATTTACGTTTATAATCTGTAGTCCTATATGAGTATATTAACCTATATAGGATAACTAATAACCTATATAGGCGTTATAAAACATATATAGGATCAATTGTATAAATATTGTTTGTAACTTTTTTTTTATATATTTATGGTATTTATGTATACATACGTACTATAGTTATTTAGAAGACATGTGTCATTCCCGGCTGAAATATTTAAATTTATTCATTTTTACAAGCTTAGAAATATTTTTTACCTGTGTAAACAATTAAAAACTTAATCAGAATTGTGTTGTTATAAATGTTTTTTATGAATGCGTACTGAAGTTGGACAGTTCTGCATTAAGTATCGTTTGATTTGTAATAGAATTTATTCATTTACATATTTCTTATTTAAATTAGTCAAAATGCTATTGAGTTTTTGTAGGCCATACTACTTTTTTATTTGTTTAAAATATATACTGTAGTAAATAAATTCATCTATTGTAATAATTGCTTTCTGTGATAGACTATAGAATAAGTATAGGATTAGACTATAAATTGCTTACTAAATATATAAATAAATGTAAGCTAAAATATATTCTGTATACTTTGGAAATCAATTACATTTTATTTCAAATACTCAATCTGACTATTTTCTCACTAGATTATAGGTAGCACAAAAACAAACACATTTTAAATTTAATATTTATTGACAAAATTGTGTTATCAAGTAATGATAAGCAATAAATTAATTAAATATTAGGATTTAAATAACAAAAAGACCATTCAAATCCTAAGGACAACAAATCATTTTACATTAAGTGTAATGTTTTAATATTAAAAACATAAATGTACAAACATAAACACTATAGTATAGTAGAATGTCAACACCAGTGTTATTTATGCACAAAAAGTTAACAGAAGGAAGGCAGATAAGTTTAGGCCCCGTGCATCAGATATTATACTGTGTATCTACATGAAACAATTCACTAACGCGAAGCTAAATTTATTGACTAGCAGCACCGTCCACTTCCATAGTCTGCGTATCTGCTTTATCACCTTTATCGTCCACTTGCATTACTTCTACTTTATTTACTGCTTTACCTTCTATTTGTTCCTTATTACTATCTACATTTGCCTTCTTATCTTTACTTTTATCGCGTTTCTTTACATTTTTTGCACCTTTGGTGACCTTTTCTTCACCGTCTTGTTTGGTTTCAGTTTTTTGATTTGGTGCTTCAGCAGGCCGTGTGTCTGCTACCTCTGGCTGTGCACCCTCTTTATTGACATCAGTTTTTTGTTCCTGTTGTTTGGGCACCTCAGTTTTAACTTCAGCACCTTGTGCAACTTGTTCCTGAAGCTCTGGCTGAGTTGCCTGAGGCTCATTACTAATCTCCTCTTTGGTATTTTTCATCTCAACTTCACCATTCTCTGTAATCTCATTTGTGTTTTGTATATTATTAGTATTTTCCTTCATATCTACATCTTGAGATTGAGGAACTTCCTGAGGCTGGGGTGTACTTACACCTTTGTTTTCAGCTTTAGCTTCTAATACTGCTATACATTTCTGAATGCATTTTATTGCCTCCTTTCTCGCCTGTCTTATATTTTCTTTACCATCAGTTTCAATATTATCTAATTTAATGAGATTCCTTGTTAACATCTCATCTAGATACATGTACTTCTTGTCTTTTTTAGTACCTGTGAAGTTTTCCACGTCAGTCATAAGGTTTAAAACATCTGTTTGAATACTGAGAATTTGAGAAATTGGATCATTAGCAGTTGGTTGTTGTGGTTTGGGCTGAGGGGGAGATTGTTGTTGCTGTGTGGGAACTTCCTGGTGCGGCGGAGTTTGTTGTTTTGGTGGATGTTGTTGGGGAGGCTGCTGTTGGGGTTGTTGTTGTTGATGTGGGTGTTGCTGCGGCTGTTGTTGATGTGGATGCTGCTGCGGCTGTTGTTGAGCCCATTGTTGCTGTCTAGGTTGGGACGGAGGCGCAGTCTTACTGAATTCATGACGTACTGGAACTTTAACAAAATGCTCTTCAGGGTAATGAGGCTTTGGAGACTGAGATCTTTGGGGTGAAGCACCACGCGCAAATGCAGTTTGTGGATATACCTTTTGCTGTGCAAATGGTTGTGGACCTTGTCTAAAAGTATTAAACGGCGTGCCAAATGCCCTTGAAAAGTTGGGAGGTGCATGAAAGCTGACAGGCTCGTCTGCGAAATACTGTTCTCTGTCTACGTGAGGTTGTGGCGGCGGTGGAGCGTAACCTTGTTTGGGTTCACCATGATCAACGGACCTGTTAATTACTGGTTCATCGCGTCCCTCCACGAATATAGGAATATGTCGCACATTAGACGCTTGCTGTTGTTGCTCAGGATGAGCTGGATGTTGTTGTTCGTGATGGTTTTGGTCACTCATTTTGTTAGGGATATTTTGATTAACTGCGCGATTGTCTGGAGGCGCTGACATAGACCTCTGGTTCCTTTCCTCAGCATCAACTAAGCTCGGATCGGCTGGACTTTTTTGACCGAGATCTACTGTGTTTCTTAATCCGTACTGTGGTAGAAATGGTTGTTGGTCGTGTTGGGAGGGTCCTGGATTCTGTTCAGTCTGTGTAGCTGTGGTCTGTTGGCTCGGCGATTGTGGTTGTGGAGATCCTTGTGTCTGTGGTTCTGATTCGTCACGGGAGTTGAACCTACGGTTCCAACGGGACGGGAAGTGTTCTCTGAATTCTGGTGGAATATCGTCGAATGGGAATCTGTCGAATCCACTGAAACCGTCCCCGAAATCTGGAATAATGAAACGTTTATATTACGCAACTTAAAAGAAAATTATTACATGCTCAGTTTTTGGCAAACCTGAAAACTATATCCAGTAAATAAAATAAAAATTAAATGTAAACAGGATTGGTTGAAGATTTAAAATTGTTTATGTACCCATATCGCGTGCTTACTCGTAGTTATTATATTAGTAGTTACAGTACTTTTAGTAGTTTTACTTTTTATAATTAAATTACCGATTGCTCTTGTCTTTACTACGTAGTTCAGATATGTTTTAAAAATTAGTATAAATTACATCTGCGTTACATATAATCATGTTTATATTCGACCTACTATAAAAAGGAAGAGGATCTAAATTACTGTTTTGTTTACGTCTCTCGTCTGAGATACTGTCTATAGCACGTTAAAGACTGTATGCGGTGGGTTATTCCGCAACGAAAGTAAATTTACACGTTGGGACCGGGAGATCACCTCGGCACTTTTATTGAAATAAACTAGAGGGTGCGTGTGTGCGCGGGCCTCAAGAGGCCCGCGAGGCGTTGTCGTTGATTTTTTTTGTGCAGACGGTTTTCTTTTCGAATAGACTTGGTTGGCAAGTAGAGTTGTCTGTTTTGATACGATTAGGTGACTTCCTATTGTAACAGTGAATTTTTGTTTCACGTGTACCATCCTGTGGCGAAACTTTGTATTGTAATGGTCACAATACAAAACCTAACCTAACCTACCGTTCTGTATACTATATTAGTCTAGGGTCAAAGTTTTTAATGTAGAGATCATAATACGAAACCTAACCTAACCTACCTTTTTGTTTACTATATTATTCTGTGGCTTTAATTTTTATTGCAATGGTCACAATACAAAACCTCACATTACCTACCTTTCTGTATTAGTATACAGAAATGTATGCTTAGTGTTGCCACCTAATTTTACAAAAAAATCGCATGAAACTATTAAGATGAGATTTATTATAGATCCCCGTCACTCTTATGTTAGAATGTCGAAACAAAAAATTCCCACATTTTGGGTTTGCAAAATTACCTAAAAATCGGGGAAAATTTGTAGCCTAGATAATATTTCAAACCGAAATCTACCATGGCTCAATAAAGGCCGACTCGCTGCAGGGAAGCCAGGTACCCCAAAATGTATTCCTAAATTTATCATCAGAGATAAAATACTCGAACTCGGCCGCCATCTTGGATTTTTCCTTTTTGAATACTTTTAACTTATCCACTTTGGCGATTGAAACATTTTGTCCATACATTGTACAGAGCTAAGGTGACTCCTAGTAGTTCCTTAGTACTGTTTACTATGAAAATTAGTTAATACTTCGCACCGAGAGTTTCCATTCCTCAATACAAGTCAATTCGTTGCAGGGATGATGCCACAGAACTGAATTTTAAAAAGTTCTTAAAATTGTCATCATAGATAAAGTATCCTAATTCGGCCGCCATCTTGGATTTTTTATTTTTAAATACTTTTAACATATACACTGGTGATAGAAACATTTCATCCATATATTGTACAGAGCCCAGGTTACATACACCTAAGAGTTCCTTAGTACGGTTTACTATGAAAATCGATGTATGGTGTTGCCAGGAGATTTTGACAAAAACCACCTAGGGCCCTTTGAGGGATAATTTTGGACCAATGCTTATCACTGTTTTGTTCAAATTGACGAAAAAAAAAATTCCACGTTTTTTTACTTTTCTTCGAAATTACCCCAAAATCGGGAAAATTTTTTGGACCAGGTAATATTTCCCACCGAGAATTTCCATTGCTCTATAGAAGTCAACTCGCTGCAACGTTTAGTGGTACCCCAAAATTGAATTTTTAAAAGTCCCTAAAAATGTCAACATAAATTAAGTACCCTAACTCGGCCGCCATCTTAGATTTTTACTTTTTAATACTTTTGACGTATTCACCCTAGTGACAGAAACATTTCGTTCATACATTGTATAGAGCCTCAGTGACTCCTTCTAGTACTATTCTCTAAGAAAACTGATGTAAGGTGTTGCCAGATAATTCTGACAAAAACCACCTAAAATCAATAGGGGGATTGTTTTTGACAGATTTTCATCATTCTTTTGTTTGAAATGTCCGAAAATTATTGTCCCACTTTTTAGGACTTATCTCAAAAATTACCCTAAAATTGGGGAAAATTTTTATACCAGGTAATACTTTGTATTGAGACACATCATCTCTCCATAGAAGTCGACTGGCTGTGGGGTTGGCAAGTGTCCTAAAACTACATTTAAAAATATCCCAAATTTTCTCCGAAAAGCAAAACTCCCCTATCTCTGCCGCCATTTTGGATTTTTACTTCTTAATACTTTTGACGTATTCACCTTAGTAACAGAAACATTTCGTCCATACATTATGTAGAGCCTCGGTGACTTCTTCTTGTACTATTCCCTAAGAAAACTGATCTGAGGTGTTGCCAGATAATTTTGACAAAAACCACCAAAAATCCTTAAGGGGATGACTTTTGACAGATTTTCATCATTCTTTAGTTTGAAATGTCGAAAAAAAATTTTTCCACTTTTTAGGACCTGTCTCAAAAAATACCCCAAAATCGGGGAAAATTTTCATACCAGGTAATACTTTGTGTCAATAGACATCATCTCTCCGTAGAAGTCGACTCGCTGCGGTGTTGCCATGTGTCCTAAAACAACATTTAAAAATGTCCCAAATTTTATCCGAAAAGCAAAACTCCCCTATCTGTGCCGCCATCTTGGATTTCTAAAATTTCATAATTTTCACTAGATGCCGGGTCCTTCGGCTATCCGACGCCGCACAGTGCGTTGACCTAGCACACTCGTAGGTACCCTATCAATTTCAGTTTTTAAAGCTAGACCTCAATTTCAATATTTGTCCCATGATGTATGGGTGTTGCCAGCGAATTCTGACAAAATTCCCCTAAAACCCTTCAGGGGACGATTTTTGGTAGACCAACAAGACTTTTTCATTTGAAATGTCGAAAAAAATTTTTCCCACTTTATGGGACTTTTCTCCAAATTTAACCCAAAATCGGGGAAAATTTTTAGCCCTGGCAAATCTTCTTACTGAGACTTACCCATGTCAGTAGGTGGCGTTTAGCTACGGGGTTGCCATGAGCAGCAAAAACGCGATTGAAAATATCCCAAAATTTTTCCAAAAACTAAATCTCCCATAGCTTGGCCGCCATCTTGGATTTCTGAAATTTCATAATTTTCCCTAGAGGCCGGGTTTTTCAGCCTCCCAATGGCCTACAATAGGGATCGGTAGTATCCCCGCAAGTACCCTAGGAATTTCAGTTTTTGGAGAGACACCCCAATTTCTATTTTGGTCAAACCATGTATGGGTGTTGCCAGCAAATTCCAACAAAACACATCTAAAACCCTTTAGGGGATGTTTCTCGATAGGGCTTGATGCCTCTTTTGTCAAAAATGTCGAAAAAAATTTTTCCCACTTTTTGGACCATTTCTCCCAAATTACCCCAAATTCGGGAATTCTTTTTAGCGCTGGCAATACTTCTTACCGAGACCCATCATCGCCCCATAGAAGCCGACTCGCTGCGGGGTTGCCCTGTACCTAAAAAATGACTTTGAAAATAATCCGGATTTTTAGGACCAATTTCACACGCCCCCAACTCGGCGGCCATCTTGGATTTTCCAAATTTCATAATTTTCCCTAGAGGTCGGGTCCTTCGAGTTTCCTATGTCCCACAACCGGAGTCGCCAGCACCCCCGCAACTACCCTGGGAATTTCGGTTTTTGAAACTGTAGAAAATTTTCAACCAGTTTTTGGCAATTTTTTCGCCGCCATCTTGGATTTTAATTTTTTGTTTTTACGCCATATTCTGGGTCCCGCCGAGACGTGCCAAATCACTCTTTGAACGGAATCGATCCGAGCGAAACTGTAAAAGTTAGCCGCCATCTTTGTCCGCCATCTTGGATTTTCCCAAATTTCGGAATTTTCTCGTGGTCACCCTAGCCAAAGGAACATTTCCCCCATACATCGTCTCGACCCCCGGACGCTCCTTCTGGGAGAACAACTATGTCAATCAGTGAGTGAGTCACCGTAATGCAGCTTTATATATTATAGATCTAGGGGTTAAATAATGTTTATCTCAAATTATTGTACACTAGAAACATATTTAAAAAAGAATCTATGTGTATAACAATAAACAAAATGTCGGTCCCTATGTGTGAAATAAGTTTTCAATGGGGTCTTCAACGTGATAGACTATGGTGACCACTTTCTATGTAGTCTGAAATCAGATCGACTATCACGTCAGGCTCTAAATAAAGAAACATTGATCGTACCGTCAGTAGCGTCCTGGCTGGAGGGTCGTCGCTTCCTGGCCCAGGTGGCAGGCCGTTGCCGCAGCCGCGCCGCTATGTCAGGGTGCCGCGCCGCGAGCTCGCTCCACGCACCTGACGTCTCCTCCTCATCAAATGGGAAACCGCGCTGTTGACAATGAAAAAAATACCGTTAGACATTTATGATTTTATGTCTGTGTCTAAACTCTTGACTTTAAAAAATAGAACAGCTGATATCAGAGATTTGTGTTTCTGTGGAAAAAATATATGGTTTTAGGAAAAGTTGGAGAACAAACACAATTGTTTTGCCACTTTCATATCTTTGTGCCTTAGTATATATATACTTTTTGATTAACTCTGTATAATTCATAATTATTAAGTAAATATTTTTTGCAAGCAAGTTCTAAGAAAAAGCCTATTGTTTTATATCTCTGGTTGTCTATCTTTGCTTGTTGATATTAGTGGAGATTGTAAGTAATAGATTCTGTAGATTAGCTATGTCATAATTGTCTTGCTTGTCTTTCTAACTTTCTCGTAGATAAACATTCATTATTCTATCATTCTTGGTTAGTTCAACACATTCATCTGCAGAGATGACTGTGTTGCATCTTTCATGCATTCTACTAAATTAATTGTGCAATTAAATAGCATCGCTGCTTGTGGGGACTTCTCTTCTCTAATTACCACTATGACTAATTTAATCTTTAAGTCTATTTAATATTTTGACTCTAATAAATTAGTGCTAGTTGGTTTGGTGCAATATTTAAAAGAGCAACACGCAGGTTTTTTGCTCATTCTTCGTGTAATGAGACAGCTTTTCTATTGATCGGTAGATTAAAAAAAAGATTACTAATTCAAAAGTCCTTAAATTTAGTTTATTTCAATAAAGAATTTTCTATTTTATACTACTCTATATAGGCGACGTTTACAAGTTTCTGAACTATGACCATAATGAAAGGATGAGAATATCGAATATGAAAATAACGATATTTATCGTATAATTCCAAAACTGCCACGTCCATTTATACGAATTACTGCCAACAGACACCTACAATTTAAATGTGTATTAAAAAACGACATTCACGTTAATAAACAGGAAGCGGTCAATTATTGCTTCTGACTCGAATAGTTCTCGACTTGTTGCTATTATACATGCAAAGAACACTTGAGGTAGGTAGCTATAGCGGTTGCGTCGCGAAGATCCTACCATATAAGGCAAGGACGGCCGAGGTGGCCTTACTGTTGAGACTTTCGTATTTTTATAATTCTATGTGATTGGTGTACAATATCAAAATTGAACATTTCATTAATACGTAAACCATACCTATTTCAATAACAAAAGTTGCAAGTCCGATTTAAACGTAATCTTTACTAGAGCCCCGCCCAGGCTTCGCTCGGTGTTAATAAGTTTGCGAGTTGTGTGCATATTAACATAATAATAATATGTAACTATATATTTAAAATAATATTTATTCCAAGAGTGACACGCAAAGTTCTCGCTTTTTTTTTGTACCGAATGAGTTGTAGACTATATTTTCAAAAATATATTTAAAATAAGACTTATAACAAAAAATTTGTATTTCAAAGTGCATAGTGTAAATTTACTTGAATAAATAATTTTACATTCTATTCTTATACACTTTAGAATAGTGAGAGAATTTTCAATAAATCGCGTAACAAAATCCACTCTCTCCTTGTAATATAGATTTTATTCATTAGATTCAGACGCTAAGCTACAAATCTTACTAATATTATTAAAGTGAAACTATGTGAGTATGGACGGATGTTTGTTACTCTTATACTATAGCTCGTGTGTGTCAAATACATGGCAGTGTGTTTTATGTTTTTTTATAAGATTTAAAGTATTTTATATGCATAATTTTTAAAAAATATTAGCACTTTGCACTCCCCTATATAACTTCTAACTATGCGCCACGACTTCGCATAGTTGTACACGTATTATACATATAAACCTTCCTCTTGAATCACTATCTACTCCTAAAAACTGCACAAAATCCGTCTCGTAGTTTAAAATATTGAAGCGATTTTATTTTATACCAGGTAAAGATAAGTGTGCGAAATTTTATACTTCACCATCCGGGCGATTTCCGTAAAAAGAGGTACAAAACTTTTGCTTCCATTATTAATATATAGATTTCCATTCCAAGGTCATATCACATACCACACATCAAGTTTAATAACATTGACCGGTTTTATAACATTTGGACAATCTCCACCAATTGTATAAACCACGACAATAATTATTCTGCAGACAATTGCACAATTATTGTTGCAATTACAATGCAGGTTTTGCTACCTACACGTTTAATTATTAATCGACTTGTGGTGAACTTCTCGGAAGAAATATGTTTACCATATCTGTGTGGGTGGTTTTGTCATTTCATTGCGAGATATTATTCATTGAACATTCAATAGCTTTAAGGCGACGCCGTGATAAACTATTACTTCAAAATCGGGCCCCGCGCTCTGCGCACCTCATGCACCCCGATAGTTTTACGTGTCGCCGATCGACCGCCAGCGCTCGCTCGCTCTCCCCGTACCACGATATCACGAACATGCGTCCGTGTCGCAATGTAACGCGTGAATCAAGTAGACGAAGCTTCGGTCCCCAATTGAACAAAACTATTACGGAGTCTTCCTGTTTGTTTATATAATTTATATTTATGAAGGCACATTGATATTTTAGAATTTACAATACAGTGGAACTAACTACGATACGAATTAATTAAAAAGATTCTTAAAGTAAAGAATTAAATAGAAATATTGAGGTAGAGTTACATATTCCCGTGATTATAATTAACGTAAACTAGTGCTTTTATTACTATCTTTGAAAGAAATACCAAAAAATAATCTTTGTGTTTTCCGTATATATTGTAATTGGTAATTACGACGTTTATTTATTTCCCAACGACATTTTTTTGAAACAGCTAGATATTTTAATGTATACTACATTAACGTACTTACGTTAAATGAAATGTGAAAATATACGAAGGTTAGTTACTTTATAAAAGAGACAATAAGTCTGCGTTTCTGTGAATGATAGGTATATCAATTAAAAAATCTATATATATTATATATTTGATACAATAAACCTAAATTTAGTAATAATGTATGTGCCTTTAATTTTATTTATATAAGTAAGTATTTTAACATTATATGTAAGTAAAGTACGTAAAGATATACACTTTATGACAAAATAGTAAAACTTTTACAGTAATTTATAAATTATTATAATAAATATTAAGTTTTAATTACATGTAAAAAGGACGTGAACAATTACAACCTAATCATAAAAGATCTATTAACTTCATACAAATGAAATTATTGAATAATTATAGGTTTGAACATGATTATTTATATTTTTATGCATAATTTAAATAAAAAAATATGACTATTCTGCAAACCTTTTCTATATAAACTATAAGTACGCGAAATTTCATATTCATCCGTCCGCGCTGTTTTTCGTAAAAAGGATACAAAGTTATTACTTCACGTATTAATAAATTTATATAATACTTTTCATTATTTCACTTTTTTATTTATTTATTTCCTTGGACCTACCAAGGAATCTTAATTTTACGGCAAAATAATAAGGGAGATGGATAGTGGACATGTTTGCCATGAGTGAGCGAGACAGATATGACGCCACTTTTATCAAAGTCAACAAAAGTAAGTAAAATAATTAAAATAAAGAAAAATCTTAACCTAGTTTAGGTTTATTTAAATAAGGATAATATTGAGGAAGAAAAGTTTGAACTCGTTGTACGTGAAACGGATGCATTTCGGGTCTTTGTAAAATACGATGTGCTGTGCTATTACAATAAGAAAGAACGGGAAAAAGAAAAAAAAAAAAGAAAAAAGAAGAAAAGTATTTTCATTTGTGTACAAACGAAAATACTTTGGTCATCTGCGACCTTTTGCAACACTTCTTCCTAATAAGGAAAGCGAGTTCTACCTCCAGCCCGTATTTGATTCGGGAAATGGCCGCCGCCGTGCGGCCGGTACATATAAGCAGTGATCTGGATAGCGCTCTAAATTTGGATATCTTTCACGATAAAGCCTAGCGGCAGCAATTGCATTGCATCTGCATTCCCCATAAATGAAGTGCTTGTTCGCAATTTTTTGTGAAGTAAATAACAAGGATACCAACACAAAAGTCCAATTCCAAAAGAGACAACCCAAAGTTGTCGGTATGGAATCAACAAGTTCAATTCACAAAAATCCAAGTCCAAAAAAAGAAGCCAACAACAGCGAATACGGAAAGACGCGCAGTAGGCTGAGCTGAAGCTGAAACAGAAAGATCAAAATGTACTAACTGGTGTCAGACTGGTAGCGTAGCCATTTGCTTGGTATGGCGACTGTATCTGTTTCATTCGCGCGCGTTTAAACGACGCATCTCCGTCTCACTGGGTGGCACATCTGTCTCGCTCGCTCACGACAACATGTCCACTACCTATTTCTCTTATCATTTTGCCGTAAAATTAAGAACCTACTACTATAAGCTTGTGTGAATAAGAAACATTTGAACGGAGTAAAATAGGTTAGCAAAAATCGGGTTACTTGAGGTTTTTTTCTCGTTTTTTTTTAGTATGAAACTAACAAGTATTATACATTTACAATCCTGATTAAATGTCCGAACTTTTAATGGCACTTGCCAAGGCACTTTAGTACATTTTTTTAAAAGAGGGCCTTTCAAACTCGACAATTTATGAAAATTTTAAATGTAGTTTAACAAATAGTCTTAATTCTAGAAAACTTGGGGCAATTGTGTCATTATTTTTTACTGTGATTCTAGAAATGTTATTTGGCTTTATGGTTCCAAAGTTTAAATGAACAAAAATAATAAAAATTAAGCACAATGACCGAATAATGGTTATAGTTTGACCAAATTTCTAAGTTTTTCTTTAATGCCCCTAATTTTCAAACTGCATGGGATAGATTTTTTTCAGATTTTTCTCATGATGGTTACAATCAATTCTCTCACTGCTTGAAATTGAGTTCTGGGACAGCCTGTATAGTATAATCGAAGCCAAATATTTCACCATTACTTTGTTTTGCTTTCCATAGCTACAAAGACAAGTGCTTACCTAGACCTACTACAGATAAAAAGTACTTATCGGAGAAAAT